GAAGAAACTTGTACACGGAATACTCAAAAGATGCTGACCCACAAGAAAGAAGGAACTTTTTGGGTTGTTTTCTTTTTCTTTCCTGAGTCTGACTGTGCACGCGCGCGCCTTGGACCCCCGAAACGTGGGAGATGGTCATCGTCAGATTCGAGAAGCAAGAAGAAGACTCGTGTCGAGCATGCGGCGGTCCCAGGAGATCCAAAAGAGACATGAGCGAAGGAGAGACGGCCAGAAATCGGTGGGGAGGTGAGGTGGGGGGCGTGCGTTGGATTAAGGCTGGTCGCCCATCAGAGTTCCACAGCAAAACATCGGCTGAGGCTTAATACACCCGAGAGATCAAGCGAGCGCTGTCTTCTTTGCAGATTCTCTGACATTGCATGTCTTGATGTTCGGTGGCGACGAGCCAATTGCGCTGCGCCGAATGAAACTTTGTTAACCTTTTCTGGTCCATGCTGGACCCGGTAGCTGGCCTGTCCCGAGCCGAAGAAGTTGGGAGAAAATGATCGCCGGGGGACAAGAGGGGGCGGACAGGCCGCCGGGGGAAGCGCATTGCTACCCGTAGCGTAGCGTGGTGCCTTCTGGGCCGGTGCGTTCACACTAATACTGCCGTGCTAACTCGAGTTGGTGTTGAGTTTGTCGGTGCCTCTCCCCTCCTAGGGCCACGAGAAACTTGCAAGTATTAGTTTCGGGACCGTTGGGGTACCCGAGCAGCAGCCTCCTAGGCACAACAGATTGAACAGCTTGGGTGCTTGCCAGTCTCGTCGATTGCTGGATACCGAGGTAGGAGCGTGTCTATCGCATCCATTGATCCATTGGGATTGACGAATCTGCTTGTACATTGGCAGCTAGTGGACGTTTTTGCGTGTCCTTTCCACGCCTCCGGAGAACCTTTGTTTAGTCAGCCGCGGCCACTCCGGCTGTCACGGGCAAATTGGGCCTGCTGAAGGCTTCCAGACGTCCGTCGGGTCCCATAAACCAAAGTTGAGACACTTGTGGATGAATCAAAGTCGCTGGCCGATCCACTTACTCACCCGCTCACACGCTCACACAGCTCATACACACACGCGCGCACACAACACGCGCACACTCACACACACACAGACACACACGCTGACTACAGTAGTCGGGGCCTTGAGCCCGTCCCGAGACACCTTACCCGGGCCAAGACAGTGCACGAAAGAGAATTGGATCAGGTCAATCTGGAGAGAGGTGCGGCCCGAAAAGTTCGGGATTTCAGCCCCGTGTGTGAAGTACCACAGATCCAAAGATTCATTTGGGTCCATATGTTCAATTGCAAGATTGAAGGCCCTAATAATACGCGCCAGCCTAGCCATCAATCACCCGCTTTGATTTCCAAAGATAAGGAATGAGACACCCTTCTTGCGCCTCCTCCTTCACCCCGCAATATATCTCGTATAATTGTTTTAAAAGATTAAATAAGAGGAGAAGAGTCAATAAACCCTATAGAGGAGCCCGGGCTTCTAAAAGCCCTAGAGTTATTGCGGCATCGCTGGAAACCGGCCAAAACTAACAATGGATATCCAATGGCAAGAATTGTGGAGGGGGTTTTTCCTTGTCACGGGAGTGTGCCGGCTTGGAGATAGAGTGTGAGCACTCCAGCCTCGAGGCTAAACAGTTGGGCCCGGGAGCAACCCGGAATAGCAGTGTCTACCCCTAGCACCTGTGTGGTGAATTTCCCGACGGGACGTGTTCACTCACAAAGCAGAGGTATCAAGAGGGGAAAGAAAACACAGCCTGGCCATACTCTAACGCCAGGGGATGGGGTCTGGTGTGGATCCTCCCGAGCACCCTGCCGATTGACCCCTTCCTCTCCACAATCCAAAGGAAACCACTTTGATGTAGTGTACAGTATCACCATGAAGAGCCTACCGAGGTACACTAGGTCCTTTCTACATGCACATTATTCCTGGAGTAAATATGCGCCGTGGGTGCGCAACGGCACGACTGCAAGGCTCCACATTCAATACTGGCCTTGCATTCCTCGACGAACGAACCATTTCGCGACGCCGCACGTCCTCGCCCTCTCTTGCCATTGCTCGAGGTTCGGTGGGCGGGGAGTGGGTTACGTTACGACTTCAAAGCTTGTCCAGTCCTTCCAGGACTTGGAGGATGATCCCCATAATCGCAGGAAAGCCTTGTGTTTGTAATATAGCCGTTCTACTTGTATATACCGAGGTGGGGATCTCATTGATGAGGCGCTTGGGCGACTCTCGCCTCAGATCCTCGCTTTCGAGTTAGGCGGGGGACGGGGGTTGTGGAGGCTCCTTGAGAAAGAGAGAGGCCAAGAATTCTCGGCAAGGAACGAAAGAGGACTGTGTTTGAAGACGGATGGGTTTGCGCGCTCTTCCGCACCACATCCCCATCGTTCGCTGGGACACCCAGGGCAGGGATCGTCAGGCAGTCTGTGCAGCCGGCCGTGGCGTGGCAGAGCTTCAAAGCTACTAACATGAAGGGGAAGCCCCGTCAGAGGGTCAGACCCAGGTCGTTTCCGTCCCCAATGCTGCAGGGTCCCCTTGGTCCCCTACCCTTGAGGCTAGGCTTGGCGACATCAGGATTGACTTTTACATCACTCAACGTGTTTCTGCTTCTCCCTCACCTTGCTCGCTGACCTGCCCTGAGCTGACCTGACCAGACCAGACCAGACCAGACCGGACCGGACCAGATCTGACCGAGGGCGGGCGGAGATATATTTCCTTTCTTTGGAATATTATGGGCCGTGTCTAATTTTCGGGAAAATGAAACAAAAGAAGAGGCAAGGAAGGGCGAGGAAAAAGAAAGAGAAAACAAGGGAACAACAAAAGAAATGCACAAAAAGCAAGTTCTGGCTGACCTGAGCTTGACTCGTTCTCTGGCAGGCCAGTCGGAGCGGAGCGTGGCACACACGCTCCGCTTGCTCGACGACAAAGTAGATTCCCATCTCCCTCTCGAACACCAACCGCAGGCGCCACATTGCCTGCCTCAAGTATTCCCACTCGCCTGCTTGGAGAAGCACTACTCCTGCAGGCTAAACCCAATTCTTCCTTTTCGATCTGGACTGATCACGGACCCCCCTCTCCCTCTCTCTCTCCCTCTTTCTTTCAAGCGAGGAAAAGAAAAAAAAGATGCAAAGAAAAAAAAAGAAAAGAAAACCCAACACCAAAAGACCTCTAGCATTGCTTAGGAGGGAAAACTGGAGCTGCCGACTGGGCTCTTCAAGGCCCCGTTCCCGTTTCTTAATTGGGACAGACGCTGGGCGAGAGCGAGGTTAGCTTCTCCACATCTACGTACCTGTATTTGCGCCAGTGCTGTTTCCCCGTCTGTACCGCATACCGCACCCTACGCTTGGCCGACAGATGTTTCCCGCAATTGACCAGTCGTCTCGCTGGCCCTCCTGACTTGAAGAGAGGTGAATTTGCTGCTTGCCGTTGATGACATGCCTCCCGTAAAGTTACAACCCGAGAAGACGCTCTAGAGTTCGACGCCCTTCCCCATCCCTCTCGCATGTACCTCGATGTCGACCAAACAGACCCAGGCCTCCCCTCCTCCTCAGTTGAAATGCTTTCCTGCCCTGGGTGCAGCTTGCCTGGGGGTGTTGGTCTGAAAATTGACGCTTCATGTTGTTTCCCTCTGCCACTCCCCTTCACACCTTCCCCTCTTGCACTCCACTCAATCCAATGCCAGCAACCGGTAGCATCCACAAACCCCCCTTCCCTTCCCTTCCCTTCCCCTTCCCCCAGTCAAGACGGACCCATTTGGACATCGACTCCATAGCACCAAAAGGTGTAGCCCCGAGCCGATGCGCTAATCAACTTCCTTTCCAAGAAGAGAAGCGCACTGGCCAGCTTCCTCCCCTGATCATCTACCCAAGTGATCCATCCATCGTCCCCCATCAATTGATTCCCTTCCATCCCATCCCATTGAGCCCATCCTCCTTTTAGTTCCCCGTAATTCCTCCCCCAGCCCTCGAGCCTAGGGCGGCCGGCGATTTGCGCACACACCCCCAGGCCACCTTCCTACCTGGAGTGTACATTCACCCGTTGCTCTTTGACAGGATTTTGTTTCCTGTTAATAGCCCTCCTCGTCTTCATTCGCCGGAACTCTCCGCCTCCTCTTTCTTCCCCTGTCGGGCCAGCTTCTTCCATTGTTATTTTTGTACCTCCCACGTTCAATCCACCCCAACTCACTTCGACACTACCTCCCCCCCAGTGCGCCAACAGAAAGAGACGAGGCAGCCAGAAAAAAAAAGGTGGCTCCTCGCCCACATGGAAGACTAAACCGCCATCCTAAATTCTAAAAACCTACCAACCTTAAAAGCGGGAAACTCTATGTCGGGCACTCCGGTACGGGCGAGGCGATAGACAGATCGAACCGGTCTCTAGTCGCGATCCGAAGAGGGAGAGCTTGAGAAGGCCGACGACGGGACCCCTTTCCTACTGCCGCTACTCTCTTCCCCTTTCTCATCGGAGCTTGACCCCCGACCAGACAACCACCAAGAAGAATCAGAGTTTCCTTACTGTTCCAAAGGGTAAAGCCATGAGGTAAAAACGAGATTGATGACCCCTTCCCCCTCCCTTCCTTCACCCCCTGGTCCTCTGGCCCTCCGTTCCCATAAAGCAGATCGTCCTCCCACACCCCCAAGCACAATGGTCCACCCTCCTCTTCACACCAAGCGTAGCTCTTCGTCTTCCTTTCCTGTTTCCCTTGGACCAACAACACTGGATGGCGAGTGAAGGGAGCAAAGCACTTCTCATCGCGACCAACGCCAACATCAGCTACCATGGCGACCCAGGCTATCCATAGACCTTTACTAACAACCGCTACTCGACAGTGCAGATGGCTGCCGTCACTGAGACCTCGCAACGACCGTCCATGCTCGCAGATTGCTCCGACGACCACCTTACAAGCCGTATCATCCCAATCCCGACACCCAAGATTCAGATGACAGCCCCTCTCCCGGAGAGCCGATGGACATCAGCTCTCCGACGAAGCCCTTCGCCAAGATGGCTAGCACGAGCCCGACCACATCCGCTCCTACCTCCAGCAATGCCAACATCACCATCAATACCAATGCCAACGCCCATGCAAGCCCCAACGGCAACGTGAGCCCTACGAGTGCCAATGATGCCGCCTCCGCGAACGGCACCAACCAAGCAACCACTCCTACGCCTAGCGAAAAGAAGCAGATCTCGCAGGCGGACGTGCAGTCAAGCATGTCGTCTATGCCCGCGCCTCCTGCGGCGGCGGCGGCGGCGGTTCATCAACCCAAGATCGTGCAAACAGCCTTCATCCACAAACTCTACAAGTGAGTTCAATCGCCCATCAGCCTCTTCAGTGATCGGTGTAGAACAACGAAGTTAGAATGTGCTAACCCTATTGAACAGCATGCTCGAGGATCAGAGCATCCAACACCTCATCTCTTGGTCGCCGAGCGCCGAGAGTTTCGTCATGTCACCCACCGCCGATTTTTCCAAAGTCCTAGCGTATGTCTTCTGCCGTCCCTTACGGACAACCGATAATCCCGCTTGGTAGCTGACCTCAAGCCTTTTTAGTCAATACTTCAAGCACACAAACATCTCATCTTTCGTACGGCAATTGAACATGTACGGTTTCCACAAAGGTATGTGCTGTCCCACGTGTTCCTCGCGGTTCTCCCCCCTCCCCCTTTTGCGCTTGGGCAGCCGAGCAAGTGTGTTAACCAACGAATTAGTGAGCGACGTCTTCCATACCGGCAATCCAGAGACGGCCCTTTGGGAATTCAAGCACGGCAACGGAAATTTCAAGCGGGGCGACCTTATTAGCTTGAGGGAGATTAAGCGGCGAGCGTCTAAGCATGCACTCGTCCACCGCGAGTTTAATAGCCAAAAGCCCAGCCCCTGCAGCCTGGCGCGCCCACCGAGCCGATGCCGATGACTTCTGATTCGGGCGACCCACGCCTTGTGGGCGTGGAGCATACGATCTACGAAATGAATATGCGGCTTCAAAGAAGCGAAGAGCATGCCCACTTCATGCATTTGAGGCAGCAGACAGTAATGGACATGCTAGGCAAGGCGATGCAGCTGAACCAAGAGCTTGCTAGGGCACTGCTCACCCTCGTCCCGGGCCCCGATCACCCTGTCCACCGTGATGGTAAGCCCCAACCTTCTAGACTTGTGCAGCGATAGCCCCATGTCCTCTTCGATTGTGCTAACCGTTCCCTTTACTCTGGTAGTCGTTGCGCTGCAAGGAGAATTCCAAAGGCAGTCGGAAGTTTTGCGGGCGATGGACGAACCGCAGGAGCATTTCATGAGCAGTCGACAATATTTTACCAATATCGAGAACCCACCTGTGTCTCCCAGGCAGCTGGCGCATGATGATCCGCGCCGGAGCACGCTTGCGGTTCCTCAACCTAACCGCAGCAACAACTTCTACCGTCCGCCTGTCCCCTCGAATCTTGCCGTCACCCCGCGCCGACCCTTTGGGTCATTTGGCGCCAACAGCGCGCAAACGTCTCCCAGCTCCGTCCGGCCACCTCCGCCTCCGCCTCCGGGCCCTCCGGGCCCTCACCCGCTTTCGCACGTCGAACCTCCTCCTGGCCATCTTGCGCGACGTCACACGGCAGCGGATATCCGCGCTCATGGCTGGCAAGGCCAGCCGAACCACAACCCCTACGCGGGTGGTCCGCCACCTCCGCCTGTGGGTCAATGGCCACCTTCCCCGAACCGCGTTGCCCCCGAAGATCAACGTATACGCGACTCCTTCTCCAGCTACTCTATTCAATCCGCCTCGCAGACCCGACCCCACTCACGACCTACCACCCCCGCCACCGTTTGCCAATGGTGCCCCAGGTGCTGATACTTTTGGAAGCTGGTCCTTCAATTCGGCTGGGAGTCGCGAGAACAAAAACCTTTCCGTTCGAGACAGTTCAGGTCCCCCAACCCGACGTGGGAGCATGGCGCACATTCTTAACCCGGCAGATACGGCCGAGAGGGAAGGCGAGGATGAGGATCCCCGAGGGGATGACGACCGTAAGAGGAAGCGGGTTCAATAAGCGATCCCTAGTACACTTGCCCTGAATGAACACAGGGGAGAACCTTTAGTCGCCTCTTTACCCTCTGGATGCGCCGAACTGGGGGAACCCAACTTATCGGACCCATTAGTACCACGCCGGGTTTCCACTCGCGACGTCTCCGATCAACCGTGTCACACGGTTATAACAGACAACTCTCTGGAAAAGGGTGCCCATCCCTCACATTTTCCTTTGTCGCTTTAAATTTCTTTTTGTGCGAATCCCCTTCTTCCTCCTCGTTGATTTCGTCGTCATCTTGGCAAAAGTAGTCTAGAGTTTACTACTCGACTCTCTTTTGCGTATCGCTGTCTTGGATATCAGCTCTCTCGAAGAGAAGAGGTGCTTCCTGCTTGTACTTTATTTCCTATCTGTTTACCCCTGCATTGGGGATGAAAAACTTGCACCAGCGCCAGTCGAAGAGGCGTAATGTCACCGCTTGAGTTGGAGAAAGCGGCGGACCTCTTCGTCGTGTTTTTAGCTTTCTTTTTGTTCCATTTCCTTATGCTCTACTCTGATATCCGGAGCCTCCACGGAGGAAAGCCATCTAGTGTTTCTTGTTCTCTTTTTATTTCTTTATTTTTGGAGATTGGCGGGCGGTTGCTACGGCGGCATGGATGACTCTTACGAGGACACGCATCAGGAAAGCGGCGGGCTTCTTTTCGGAGTGCTTCATTGCATTTGGACACGAGGAATGGGATCGGCCGGTGGAGGCAATCATAGGTTTTAAAACACTGATGCACCTGTACCTAGATGCAGCGTGTTCAGTAACATTGTAATCTTTATATCCTTACCAACACATTATGGACATGTCCAACCTCTTTTTGTTAGTGAAAAGAACAGTATCAAGATGGGGGATGGGAATTAGACCGCCACTCGGTGCCCACCCCGATGTGACGAGGGAGAAGGGTGATTATGGACGTCGAGATATCACAGATCTTATGTATCCAACCAAGCAGGTTCCTGTTGCCACTTCTGAATCTTTTCTATTGAAAAATAAACCTTTGACATGGGTATCGTAGATGTAAACTATCTATATGTGTAAAATTCACTTGCATCAAGTTAAGCCGCCCCGCCCCCTCTCTCCGCGCCCTCGGGGAACATGGCAGTAATGAGATCATCCCTCTAAAACTACTCAGTTCCACCTTCACCGGGACCCTTATTCTTCTTTTTCTTCTTCTTCTTCTTCTTCTTCGTCTGCCCTGTCGTAGTGTCATTGGCCTGGCACAAGGCCTGGTCCTCGTCGACCGCAAGGGTCTGTGCTGCTAATATCGTGGTTTCGAGTTGAGGAGATGGGCTCGGCTGGTCTGTAGTCGAGGTAGCAGCAGCGGCAGCGGCAGCGGCAGCGGCGGCCGCAACCATGGGATGCTCCCTGGGCGTCCCTCGCCCGGCTTCATGGCCTCCCCGTTTCGCCTTTTTCCGTTTACCGAGACCACTTCTGCCTTGATCGTCGTCGTCGTCATCGTCGTCGTTGCCTTGGGACGCAAATTTCCCCGCGCGTGCCGCTGCGCCCGCCGCGCCGTGATCATCCCTCTGCCGCTTCCCCAGCAGCCTCTTTTGAGAGCGAGGTCCTCCCTAGCGGCGTTGGCCTGGCGGGCCGCCGCGGCATCCTTGCCGGCGCCGATGCCGACGTTGGGCGCGAGGGCGGCGGCGAAGTCGTCGTCTTCGTCACGGAGCCGCTTGCGCTGGGACTCTGTGGGCGTGCTGCCGCCTGCGGTGGCGCCGCCGGAGGCGAGGGAGGAGAAGGGCGCCGGGGCCGAGGTGGAGGCGGAAGGCGGGAGGGAGGTGCCGAAGAGGGCGTGCGCTTTGGATTGCTTGGTGGCGAGGAGGAGGGAGATGCGGTTGCGGAGGTCGAGGGGGCAGGGTGTGGTGGTTTGGGGGCGGGCGGTTTCGTTGGCGCGGGCGCCATTGCTGGCTTTGTGGATTCGTGTTGCTGAGGGGTTTTTTTTCTTTCTTTTTGCGGTTGAGGGTCTTGTGTCCAGGCGGGGACGCCCCGGTGAAGGAGTTTTTATTGCCCTTTCTTTTGGGGGTTCTGTTTTTCTCTTGTCGAAGATTGGGGATGAGGGTATGGAATGGAGGAATTGGGGGAAAAAGTTCTGGAGGACCCCACTCATTGGCTCGATAAGGGGAGCGAGCTCTTATCGGAGGAACGGCTGGTTGATGGCTGGGAGAGAAGAGGTGATGAGCATTCTCATGAGCTGCCATTTTCAAATTATTTTATAAGAGTTGATTCTTCTATTATTCTATCCATTTTATCTTGAAATGGCTTTTGTGGCGACTGGTCGTCGCTTTAGTCACGTAGAAGTGGTCAAGTCGGGCTAGAATAGCATGTACGTTCTAGACAGGCGACTTGGATACACAGAAAAGCGAAAAGGTATGACGATGAGCAAGCAATATCACTACGCCGTGGCCAACTGCTTCGTTTGAAACTAGATATTAGGCATTACTATCTATGAGAAAAGTGTTTGTGCGGTGGGGTATGGCATTCATCTCTGGGCCGTCCCCATCCTTTTCGTATGTGCTCTGGGTAAGCCAGAGACTGCTCGTACAGTTTCCAAAGTCATCAAAACCTCTTACTACCCGCATTCATCTCCAATGGGCAAGTAAGGAGGGAAAAAAAAGGGAAGTCGTTATATGTATACAGGTCTCTCTGCGTCAGGCGAGCTGTATTCACACCCCGGACAGCCGTGGCTGGTTACTCTCTCAGCTCATAGGGCTGTCCGCTCCATTTTCAAACCGCACAACGGATCCAGTGGCGGAAAGGCCGGACCGAATGCTACCAGAGGACGTTCCGCCGCTCATAGAATACGGCAGCCTCGTCTGGGCAAAGGAATCTAAGGTGGACACTAGGGACGAGGCTCTGGAGACGGAATCGGCAACTCTGCTCTTCGGGGTGGTAGGTGCCGTGCGGAAGCCCCAGTCTCCTCCTGCGAGCGATGGCGTCCGTGTGAGGATCCGGTGGGGTATTACCCTCGAGGAACTGCTGCTACTCGATGTTGGCGGCCGTAGTGAAGATGCACTGCTCGTGTAGTAGGCGGAAGACGTGTCAGAGAGGGCCTCTGGGTCAAAGGGACGCATCGTCCTTAACAGCTCCGCAAAAGGTGCATTAGGTGTCGGAAATCCGCGTCGGTGATGGGGCGAGTAGAGAACCGCGCATTTTCGTAGCACGTGAGGAACTCGGTCACGGTCGGGGTGAGGGTCAGGACGCCCAGGGTACAGAGGTGTCCAATGTATTCGCGCAAGCTCATATTGATCGGCCGGTGGAGCACGGCAACGAAGTCGGGATCCAAAGCGGGATTTCCATCGGCAGCTTCGGTCGGCTGTTCCTGGGCAGGTGGCGCAAGGGTGAGGGCCTTTGCCTCGACGAGGGTGGGAAATTCGGCAAAGACGGTGCTGTACTGGATATCAGCGAGGTCGGGGGAGATTGGCGAGCCCCATCCCGGCTGTTCGACGTCGTTGGAGATGGGCTCGTGCGGCGGCAACACGATGGCCGCGTCGTCCTCGGCCTCGCTCGACCTGCCCAGCCGAAAGAGGCGCGACGTGCGCTTCTCTAATTGTCTGTCGGGATCGGTCCCGTCGGTGCCTCGAGACTCGGCCGTGACTGCCGCCTCGAGGGGTCGAGCCACGCGAGGCCGAGCGCTGTACGCAATGGCGGCGCTCCTGTCGAGGCCGTACCTGACGAGCCGGTAGACCACGAGGTGGACGTCGCCCCTGTCGATGGGGATCCACTGCTTCGGAATGGCCGCGAGGGCCGTCTTGTTGATGTAGAGCCTCGTCGCGTAGATAAAGGCCACGAGCACGAGCGTGAAGACGTAGCACACGGCGACGATCCAGATGTTGTAGATCTGCCCGTTTTCCCAGGCCCGGTAGATGACGTCGCTCGGGGTGATGACGAGCAGCGCGACGAGGACCACGTAGAAAAGAGTATACAGGGTATTATATATGAATCGGAATACCGCCCGGGCGGTCACCATGGCTGCGGAGATGCTCGGGGTCGGTGGGTTTCTGTTCAAGGCCTGGGGAGAGGCGCGCCGGTTGGCGTGGGCGGCGGGGAGGAGGGGGGCGACCTAGAGGCTGGATGATGGTGGTTGGGCTTGGCGAGCACACTGCAGGCGCGTCCGTAGCAGTCGAGGGTGCATGGCTATATATGATGGCTACATGTATCCATAGGAAGGTACCCAAGAGTATGCTATCGCCTTCCAGGAGAAAGGGGAGAATAGCCTCGACAAGCCGACCGCAGCAAGAGAATTCTCGGGGGCGTGATTGAGGTCATTTACATTTTTAGCCAAGAGGTTAATCTTATGGGGAGAATATTGGCTTGGAGCTGTGTTGGGCAAGAGCATTTCATGGGGTTAATTGCATAGCCCCGTTACACGAAAAAGAGAAGACAGGCATCAGCGACCAGGATCCCGTAAAACATTATGAACCGTTTTGATTGTTTTTGCCATGCTACACATAAAAATGCTACTGATACGAAAAAGAAAAAAAGAGAATTGCATCCTTTCCTGTACTGTACATGCCACTAGGTAGGCTAGCAAGCCACGCTAAGCGGCAAGAATCAATGTTTGACCTCGACCATGTCGGGCTCTGACCCAGCCTGGCCCTGGCTTTCGGGAGCATGAGCCGCCTCCTTTGCAAGGCGGAGATCCGTCAAAGTCAACCGTAGATCATTCCTATAAGGCTCAAATTCGACAATAAGCTTGCCGAGCGCTGATCTTAGCGCATCTAGTAAGGCGTCCACCTCGGGACACTCCTTCTTGGCCTCCACGTCGGTCCAGTGAAGGGGAAAGCTCGCCCTGAAGTCGTCAAGCTTCCTGATAGTATTTGTAAAGGTGCGAATGATTGTCAGCACGTCGCGATGGACGTTGCCAAACTTATCCTCGCCTAGGCTGTTGACTGCCAAGGAGCCGAGGACGTCAACGGCATTGACGTAGAGAGCCAGCTCGGCGGACGGTGTGCCGAGGATGGCCACTGTCAACCTCCGCCCATACTCCTGCCGGAAGAATGGCCCAATCTTGTCGTTCTGGAGGACCTTGAGAGCGAGCTGCCTGAATTGACCCGCCATGCTTTCCGGGCGGAATGCGTTTTGCTGGCCCTCCGTCAGGACCGAGTCCTTGGCCCTCTTCCACGTCTTTTGGCCATGGGGCTGAGTCGCGACATGGGCGTCTTCCCGGGAGATCTCGCTACCTGATCAATGGCATGTTCGACCTCGCTCCGCATAGACTTGTTTGAGGGCTGACGCCTGAAGATAGCCTCGTCTTTGGGGGTGCAGTGGTGCGCGCCTTCGGCTCTTCCTGCTTCGGCTCCAACTGAGGCACAACAGGCTGCTTCCCGTACTCGTCAACCCTCGTGGTAATGGACTTGACAACCTCAAGGCAAATCGAGTAGACCTGAGACCACATGGGTCCGTCTTTACGATCAATATCCTCGAAAATGGCCTTGCGGCGGTCTTGGAAGTCCCTCGCGATGTAGGAAAGCTCCCACATAGCGTAGGCCTAAGGGTTCGTGGTTAGCATTTTGTCACTTTTAGACCTCGTCTCGCCGCCCTACGAATGTTTGCTTACCTAATTGTCGCCTTCTTGCTCTTCAATCCGTTGAGAAGGCTTCCGTTAGGATCCCTAGAATCCGCCGTCAACGGTTTCCCGTTCTTGAGCGGCTCCCTAGCCATGAAGCTCGAAAAAGCGACGTTGGCAGCCTGCCAGACGACGAAAAGCAGGAACCCGCCCGAAATGCTCATCTTTATGGTGTGGAATGTTGCGGGTGTTGCGGGCGGCAGCATGTTGGTCTTGGGTAGGTTGTAAAACATCCGGAAGAAGAACAAGGCCCAACCCCAAGCAAACGAGCGGAACACGAGATGATAGAGTGCCAGGTGGGTTAAGAGGGCCGCGAGCGCCCGGAAGGCAGCCTCGGAGGCGACCGACGGCAATTTGGCGAGGACTTGGCTAATCGTCCCGGCTCCCTTGTTCTCTTTCTTGCCAAATCCCTTGGCCTCTCCCAGGTTCAGCTTGTCCTGGTCCTTGCAAATATGAGAGATAGCCTGGACGATTGCGCAGGAAGTAAAGTAGAATGCCAGGAAAAGAGGCTTCTCGTTGAGTCTGGCCCTGTCTCCATTTCGATAGACGATCCAGTGCAGGGCAGTATCATCGGAGTAGGCTTTGAGAAAAATGGGGCAGAAAAGCAGGCTGGAAATGAAGTAGGACACGAGGGCTTCGTAGGTCTCGAGACGCACAAGATCCTGCATGAAAGACCTAAAGGCCGAATTCGCCGTGCGGATGTCGACATGGTACTGCGCGATTCGAAGAACGAGAACGACAAGGCCGCTACCGAATATGAAGAGCGTTCGAACGCCCGCTGGTCCAATGGGAAACCATGACCAGAAATCTGTTGGAAACAGCAAAGGGGTTAACTACTTGAGAAATTTCCCTTCGAGATGCCATAGTCACAAGGATAAAAGTGGAGGGAGGAACTCACAAGAGTAATCGGAGAGGAAGATGGCAGAGAGGTACGAAACAGCGAGGAGGATGGTGGCCGTTGATGCAAATCTTCTGTGAAGCGCGGGCTGTAAAAGTCCTTGTAGGGAACTCTCCTTCTACCCGAGGGAGTCGCCATGATCAGCGCATCGCCCGGAAGAAGATTAAGTGAATGGGTGTTGTGGCTGTTGAGCGGGGAGATGTCGAGAATTAAGCGTCGCCTGCCCGCAAGTAAATAAAGATTCACAAGAAAATCTGCGTGCTGGCGCAACAACGCGACCTTTCTTTCCCCCAGACTCGGAGAGCTCCGATAAGGTTGTTGGATCACGTGGAGATAAGAAGTATCATATGGGACGGTATGGACTGTGGTGGAGCACATGGTGGTGCCTGACTTGATTGGGGTGGGTACAGTGACGAAAGGCAGCCAAGAATTGAAAACCGATGGACGTCCGATTACGTAGGCAGCCACCTGATTGATTCCTCTAGCTCAGCGCCGAGACCGAGACAAGAGGGGGACTGTTGACCTTTCTCCGACAGCATTCACAATCAATACCAGGACCAACGAGCCCTCAACCTTCTCGGCCCCGTAACTTAAGTCTTCGAGCCGAAAAACGTTGCGCCGGAAAAAAATACCGCCGGAAATCAATTTGTCTGTGGGGATAAACCGCCGTCATGTCGTTCGACCAGCTCTCATCCCTCGAAGCCGGCAGGCACGGCGAAAGCGGCGGATATAGCGATGACCCCGGCTTCAAGACGCTCCTCCACGAGCTTCGGACGAAGCTAAGCGACCTCGAGCGAAACATCCTCAAGCTCCGGACGGATGTGAACCTCTTAGGGACAAGGCGTGATACTGCTCGAGTTCGGGAACGAGTGCACGACTTCCTAGAAAAATCGCGCGACACTTGCCTTGAACTCGGCGAGGGAATCAAGAAGTTGCAAACCTGGGACGAGCTTTCTGTACGCATACCCTATCTACTTTCTTTATTTTCTCCATCTTTCTTTATTTTTCTCTGCTACCCTACTACTATTCCCTCTCGCTCCTTGTTTCACGTTATCTTCTGTGCTTCTACTAAGGTCTCGCCCCATTCTTGCAGAAACAACAAAAGTACGAACGCAACAAAATCTCAACCGAGTTCCAAGACGCTTTCAAAGAGTTCCAAGATCTCCAACGCATCGCGCTCGAGAAGCAACGGGCATCCGTCAGTGCGGCACGAGCTGCCCACGAATCCGAGACGGGCGCCGACCAGAGCTACGCTGGCCATTTGGAGCAGCAGCAACAACAGCAGGAGCTCTCTAGTCTTGCCGCGCAGGACGAGGTCGACTTCCAGGAGGCGCTCATTGTCGAACGAGAGGAGGAGATCCGCAATATCGAGCAGGGCGTTGGCGATCTCAACGTGCTCTTCCGCCAGGTAGCGCAAATCGTGAGCGAGCAAGGGGAGCAGCTCAACACCATCGCAGACAACGTCGAGGTCACCCGAGATGATACTCGCGGCGCCATGGTTGAGCTGTCCCAGGCTTCCCGGTACCAGAAGGCCGCCAGGAACAAGAGCTGCTGTTTGCTCATTATCCTCGCCGTCATTCTCACCATTGTGCTTCTCGCAATTTTCTTGGATTAATGGGTGCTTTGTACTGCGGAATTCCCTTGCTGCTTTGATCTTTCTTTTTCATCATAACTCTTTTTCCCCCTCTGGTATCACTTGTTTTGGGCTCCTGGCCAGCGAGCATCAACTATCGCGGAGTTTTATGGCGTTCCTACCAGGGCAAACCCTGTATCTTACATTCGAGTCTCTTTTGTAACTGTACATAGCAATGAAGCACATATATAATGATGCCACCCTCAAACGGTTTCCTCGCCTATTGCTAGCCGATCTAGACGGTCGATTTCATAACGCTCTACCGCCTGGCTATTTTAATCCTTTAACATACCATGTTCCTCTCGTCGCGTTTTTTACCCACGGGTTTTGTAATTTGGTGGGGAGGAAGAACCTGTCCATGACAATGGTCAGGACGCGGTTCGAGGCGGCCGAGGAAACCCAGAATAGAACGACGCCGGAGGGGAATGAAATAACGGCTGTCATCATGAAGGGGATAACAAAAAGAAGGGCGCGGCGGGCTCGGATGGAGAAGGACGAGACCTTGGGGTCGAACAGCCTCCGAACTTCATCCATAGAACGAGGCATGGCGTTATACAGCATGCTGGCGCCGAAAATGGCGGGCAGGATGTAGGTGGGATCGGCGACGGTAAGATCAGGGAACCACAGCAAGCCCTCCGTCGCGAGGGAAGGGTCTAGGGGCGCGGCCTTGCCTTGGCCGGCAATGACTCTGAGGGCCTGGGAGAGGAGGATCCAGGCAGGGAGATGGAGGAGTAGAGGCGCAACCGCCTGCCTAAAGATACCGAGGCCGGCCTCCTTTTGAATGCGGCTAAACTCGCGGTCGGCCCTTTTCTGGGGGTTGTCGAGCCCGAGGCGCACGGCCTTGCGGTACCAGGCGAGGCGCAAGTCCCCCAGGCGCACCATCCTGTTGGCGGCATCCCTCTCGCGGCGCTTAAAGGGGAGCCTCGCGCACACGGTGAGGGTGGCGGCGAGCCCGGGGATGAGAACGTACCAGGGCAGGCCTGAGACGGAGTGCGCGGCGACAATGGTGTTGACGGTGCCGTCGAAGATGTCCGGAAGGGTCACCATGGTGCGGGAGCCTCCCGACCTCGACCCGATGGAAGCCGGAGCTGAGCCCGCAGCGGCGAGAAGGCCATGGCTGAGACCGCACCGACGGCGTGCAATGGCTGTGCTGGGGCTGAGGGTGGACCTGGATGGTGTGAGCAGGTGAGCTCGACACCTCTGGGCGAGCATGATTGACGCTGGGGTGGCTAGCGGTGGGAGTGGTTAATGAGCAATTCGGAGAATCATAGTAGTGTTATAAGAGAAACAGAGAGGGAAATCTTACGTAGATGGTTCCCAGCCGCCCAGTGATATTGGTGTTTCCTTGCTAGGGGATAATCTTTTGGACTAGGTCATCTTCAACGCACCTTTGACGATGAGCTTGAGATAAACCGGTGGTTTGGTGTTGTGCTGACTGAGTGGTGGCCGAGCTCTGGCTTGGTTCACTAAAAGTGTTGCCAGCTGTCTGAACCTGTCAGCGCAAACATCGAATGTTCCTTCCTCGTTCCGTTCGGCAGAGTGCAAGCAAGTACCTTGATATGTGGCTACTAGTCAATCCGAATCGCTCGACTGGACCCGCGCAGGCGGGACCGGCATGTGCTGCCGTCCCCCTGAACCTACTAAACTCGTGCCAACCTCAAGTCTCAGAACAGAAAAGGTTGCAAGCCACACCAGACCCCAGCTTTCAAGGGCCAGCCAGCCAGAGACAGGTCAAACAGGGGTTCACTTTTTTCTCCCTTTCTTTTAGTGGGGTCCCGGGTTGTCCTGAGGCCAGCTGAGCAGCCAGGTGACCGAACCGAGCGTTTTGACTCGCTCGTCAGAGCAAACGTCAAGCTGCAGGTGCTTGCTTGCTTCCAGCATTTCAACCGATCACAAGCGAGCCCTTCGCGAGCCACCTTTTCCCACTTTCACAGCCAGAACATTTCCGGAGCAGAGCAGATCGCCGCCCCCTCCTCCTCCACCATACTGACCGTTCCCCACCCCCATCGAATCTTTGCTTCCCCCACTATCACCAGTCTCCGGATTTAACGAGCATCTTCAACTTACCTTTTACTCCCTCTCGCTGGGGGATTCTCCCACAGCTACCGAAATGTCCTCGGCCATGCTGGAAGAATCGACCTGCGACACGACCTGCCGTGATGACACGTCTGCGCTGACGCTTTCCTCCTTGGGCATGCTCCTGGCCTCCGTACCCTTGGCCTATTTCGTCCTCCTCCCCTTACTCAGTCGCCTCGTCGGGACCACCCTTGCGTGGTACCTCAGGAGGAGGTCGTCGGGCCGCAGGGCCTTTCTACTCAACCTGCAGCAGGAGGACCAGCGACGACTCGAGAAGGAGACCACACGCGCCGCGCAGCTCCGGGTCGACGATGGCTGGGAAAAGATCGACTCGCAGTCCGCTCGCGCCACGGGGACAGCGGAGGTCAAGGCGGAGAACGGCTGGGCCGGGATCATCGGCTTCTTTCACCCCTTTTGGTACGTTGTCTTCACATGTTTTTTGTTTGCGCCCCAACCCCCAGATGCCCGGCCACCGTGGGCTAACATACGTGCAGTAATGCGGGCGGCGGCGGCGAACGAGTACTCTGGGCCGCTATCCGCGCCACCCAGCTCCGGTGGCCCAATGCCCTGTGTGTCGTTTATACGGGGGATCATGAGATGTCCAAGGATGCCATGATCTCGCGGGTCAAGGTAAGCTGCCCGAATTGTCCTCCGTCGCTACAGTGAGCTCCATTTGCTAATCACCTCCGATCCGCCCTCACGTACCAGAACCGCTTCAATATCCAGCTCCACGCTCCAACCGTTACCTTCGTATACCTCTCCACGCGCCATCTGGTCCTGGCCTCTACCTGGCCTCGGTTTACCCTCATCGGCCAATCGATTGGCTCCGTAATCATGGCCTGGGATGCCTTTCACCTCGTAGTCCCCGACATATTTGTTGATACCATGGGCTACGCATTCGCGCAAGGCTTTTCGAAATTCCTCTTCAGGCACATGCCGACTTGCGCCTACGTACACTACCCCACCATCTCGACCGACATGCTTGAATCACTCGACCCCTCCTCCCCCTCGGCTCGCGTGGCCTCAACGCCGGTCAAGGCACCGGAACCCGCGGCAAGCTCAAGAAGGCGTACTGGCAACTTTTTGCCATGCTGTACTCGCGCATGGGCTCCACCATTGACGTTGTCATGACCAACTCCACCTGGACGCAGGCCCATATCAAGAAGCTCTGGGGTCCCTATAGGAACGCAAAGGCTAACCCCATCACCGCCGTATACCCACCCGTCGCTGTCGAAGTGCTCGAGAGCGCCATTGACGTGACGGCGGAATCCGAGGCGAAACGTGAAAAGATTATCCTCTCCATTGCCCAGTTCCGCCCCGAAAAGGACCACACCCGCATCATCCAGGCCTTTGCCCAGTTCGCCAAGTCAGGTTCCCCACCGCCAAGGATTCGCGACTTGTTCTCATTGGCAGCGTCAGAGATGATGGCGATTCTAAGAGGGTCTACCAGCTGCGTCTCCTCGCCAACGAGCTGAACATCAAAGATCGCGTCCACTTCCACCTTGATGCGTCCTGGCCCGAGGTCCTCGACTGGCTGAGGAAAGCGTCTGTTGGTGTGAATGGCATGTGGAACGAACACTTTGGCATCGGCGTCGTTGAATATCAGGCCGCCGGTTTAATCTCCGTCGTGCACAGTAGTGGTGGGCCGAAGCTCGACATTGTCGTCGATATCGATGGTCTACCAACTGGTAAGCCTTCCCCGTGACATTCCATTGTATTACCGCATCTGCAGGCGTACTTTTTCTTAGGACAATGCTAGGAAATGGAAGAGAAACTCAAGATAAGGGAAGCTAACAACTTGTACTTTTACTCCAGGTTACCACGCTGTCAGCGTCGATGAATTCGCCGAGGGCTTCGAGAAGGCTCTTTCCGAGCCGAACCCGTTGGCGATCAGGCAGAGGGCGCGCAAGTCGGCGCTCCGCTTCACAGAGGAAGAGTTTGCTAAAAAGTGGCTCGAGCAGATGGAGAAGATCGTGCCCAACGTCGCCGCTCGAGGCTAGGCAAACTTCATATCCTACAAGTGACTGCCCCTCGTCCTTTGCACCCTTTTCTCTCTTCCTCTCTTCCTCTCTTCTAATCCTCCCTCCCTATCTTTGTCGGGCTACTCTCGCCCTTCGTTTTCCCCTAAACTGTGTGCCCTGCAGTTTGTGTAATCATTTTGCAGTGTGCTCACTGCCCGCATCGGTCCCCCCGTCTTTTCGGCCTCGTGCTTCCCCACTGCCACCGTCGATGGCGTCCACAATAGTTCCTACTCTCCTGTTTTCTCTACACTGCGTTGCTTTGGCTCTTGTCTTGGGGTGTATAGACAGATACCCTTCCTCTCTTGTTTCTGTACTTTATCCTTTGTTTCCGCCTTTGAGATTTGCGGTTCCACTCGCCCCGGTTTCTTTTTGTTGCTGTCTTTTTTATCACCGTTTTCTAGGTTTCAATCCTCATAGCGACTGGCATATAGCATCTATCGAGGCTTTCTAAGTAAGGCTTACGGACTCGTGTAATACTAGCAGTGTTTATTTTGTCTTTTTCTCCAAGACTTGCAATTCTAACCTCTATCAACTGTGATTGCTCAAGGACCTGCTAAAAGGCAAGAAGATAAGAAAGGTAGGAAAAGGGAAAAAAAGATCAGGCAAGTGAAATAAACTCCCATACCAGGTGGGCTCAAGGCTCACTAACTCCATTGACATGCTGTGAAGAATAATCAAATGTCTACTCCATTGAGAAAAATGATGCGCCATATTGGCTCCCAAAGTAAAATCAAACACCAAAGAATGATGGGGGACTGGAGAACAAGAAGTAAAAAGTCAAAGGATGTGTGTAGGAGACGACGGTCCAAAAGAAGAGCGCATGCACTCCGTACACGTCTAGGCCGTTGAGCCGCCGCTGTCTTTTTGCCTAGGTTCAGCCTCGGCCTCGAACACGCCGCCCTGCACGCGCACGGCGTGCACGGCGCTCAAGCCCTCGGCGACCCTGACGATCTCGTGGCCGCGGTCGCGCATGCTGTCGACGGTGGCGTTGTCGAAGCCGTACTCGAAGAGGACGTGGTTGGGCATGAGCTGGTCGTGGAGGCGGGGCTCGGCGAGGGCGCGGCGGAGGGAGAAGTCGTGCTCGACGAGGTGCCAGACGACCTGGGTGGTGGCGCTGATGATGCGGGAGCCGCCGGCGGCGCCGACGGTGGTGTAGAGGCGGGCGGGGCGGCCGGTGGCGGGGTCGGCGGGGATCTCGATGATGACGGGGGTGATGGAGGAGAGGGGCCGCTTGTTGGGGCGGATGAAGTTGGCGGCGGAGGGGCGAAGCCGAATTCGTTGGAGACGTTGGGGATGGAGAAGTCGTTCATTTCGTTGTTGCTGGGGGGAGGAGAGAGAGAAGAGGGAATTTGTTAGGAGATGAAGGGAGAGAACAGAAAGAAGGTAGAGGGGAAGAAAGAGGGGAGGAGTGCGTCCCTCTCCCGGATGATAGGATACAAAACTTACAAGACGACACCGGTAACTGGGTCCATGATGAGGGAGCCGTATAGCAGATTCACGGTCGTGGTCATGGACGTCGCCATGCCCTTCTTGTCGGCGGTGACGATGTGCGACGTGCCCTGGCCGTCGGTGGTGTAAATCTCCCTGGGGTCGTAGACCTCGACGGGCTGCGTCTGGTTGTCGAGGATGATGCCGCGGACGGTCCTCGCCCAGGAATCGCTGAGCAGCATCTTCTCCACCTTGCGGGACGCGGGGACGAAGTCCGGGTCGCCGAGCTCGAGGCGGGCGCCGTAGGCGAAGCGCATGGCTTCGCTGAAGCGGTGGATGGTGAGGTCGACGTCTTCCCAGTCCCGGACCGGGTACTGCTCCATGATCTTGAGGATCCCCATCAGCACCGCTCCGCTGCTGGGCGCGCCCGAGGTGTAGAGCTTGTAGCCGCGGTACGAGATTTCGAGCGCCTCGCGGCTGATGGCTTGGTAGGAGCGCAGATCCTCGAGGGTCATGGTCCCGTTCTCCTTTTGGAGGACGGAGATCATGGACTCGGCGATCTCGCCTTGGTAAAGGCGTCGGCGCCGTATTTGCCAATCTTTTCAAGTGTGCTGCGTTGCACGGGTCAGCAACCGATCGTGGTGTACCCCATGACCGAGGGTTGGGGGAGGGGGCAGGGGCTGTCATCTGTGCACTTACTCGGCGTAGTTCTTTCGGTACATGGTGTCGCCGGCCTGAACGAGCTTGCCTTTACGTTGATATGTTAGTATGAGTGATTGGAACGTGCGCCAACGCCAAGGACCGGGAGAGGATTCCGGCGGGCGGCGGACAACAACGTACCGTTGGGGGCAAAATGCTCTCTCCAAGCAGGGTCATCGAGAAAGATGTTTTCCTGTTTCTGGATGATCGCATTCATGTACCGGATAGTGTCCGGGCCGACTAGGTAGACAAGCAAGGGTCAGTCCGCAAGATTTTAGTCAGAGGCAGGGTTCATATCTTGAAAGTCATACCAATCCAACCGTTTCTCGCCACCTCGGTGGCAGGCTCTACTAGCGATTTCCAGGGCAATTTCTTGTTTTCGGAGGCCAGTTAGTATACAAGTGTATGATGCTTTGGAGGAGCATTCGGTAGAGCGCAGCAGCAGAGGAGAAAGAAAGAGAGAGAGAGAGAGTAGCTTACGCCATATTTTTGTGCATGTATTCGAGTCCACGGACTTCGCCCGGGATGCCAGCAGACAAGCCGGACCTGATACTACCCTGCACATTGCCTTGGTACATGTCTTCGAAAGCCGCCGCCGGCGCGGCTTCCCTAAAGTCAATCACCTCGTAAGCGCCATCCTCGTCCCGGACCACGGCGAAGCCGCCACCACCGATACCGGAGTGGTGAGAAGCGACGACGCCGATGCAAAGGTGGTGGCCACGAGAGAGTCCACCGCGTTGCCCTGTGGCGATGCCCGGTATTAGTATCCTGGATGAAAGGGGAAAGGGCAGGAACGAGGAAAGGGCTCTAAGGATACGTACGCCCTTGCTCAGCACGTTGCGGCCAATCCGGCTGCACTCGGCATTTTCACTGGCGACGCCTCCGTTTACACCGCCCTTGTGAAGTACAATCTCGGGAATGACAAAGGCGTGAGACACGGCGGCGAGGCAAAGAAGACGGGTGAGCATCTTTCCCCTTCTTCGTCTTTTCTTCTTTTTGTTGGGCGAGAAGAGAAAGGGTGATGGACGCGCTATCGCACAAGCGGAAGCAAGTCGGTCGCTAACAAAAGCCCTCCTCTATACGGTTCCTCCCCTCCTAGAATTTTAGGAGCGATGCCCGTCTCAATAAATTATACAGTCTTGCCGGGGGCGTTGACCAGGCCTGCGCCGGGAGGCAGATAACCAGCACGCAGCGAGCACTTGAGACGGCAAGCTGGCGGAGCCAAAGGGCGAAGGGGGACGCTCGGGTAGGTAATACCGAGTCTCGTCCAAAGAGAATCCCGCAACGGACGATAAGCCAGGTTGAGTAGGAAAATCTCCCTGTATGGAATTCTTTCTTTTTCTTTCACTCTTTTTCTTTGTTATTTCTGTTTGCCTTTTTTTCTCTGACGGATACCCGTGTGTGGAAAAAATAAAATTGGGAGAAGAAAAAGGTACAGATGCCAAACTCGCTCGTGACTCTTTATCGTGGGTGACGCGATCGGGTTAAGAGGAGAAACGAGTCCGAGTCAACGATCGGAGCCGGACTTTGTTCACGCGGGCGAATTGATTAGTGATAAGAGGTCCGTGACTAACCGGATTCGGCAGTCTTGGTTCTCCCCTTCCAAGTGGCACCTGCCACTGGAACTGGACCTTGCTATCACGGGCTTTTTCGTCTCGTCTTATCCCTTGAAGGAACGGTCGCGGAAACCTCTGCCTCGTTAGGATATGAACGTGTAGAAAGATGGTCACCTTGATACATGGTCTACATGACGTAGGCAAAGATGAATATCCTGCCCAGTCGTTGTGATGAGATCGAGAAAGGGAAGTGCGCTGCATGCTCCGAGACTCGAAATCTTGCAGAGCCGGAAACGCAGCCATACTAGTTTTGGTCAGACTTCCTTTAGCTATTTACTTGATTTTATATCTGATTTCCTTCGACATAGATGTGCAGATCTCGAGGCAGAGACAGACTGAAAGGTCCATTTTCGAGATAACACTGCACTAGCGCAGACTTGTCGTTTGCTGCTACACCCTCGGGAACCAATCACAAGCGACCAATATCAAAAAGCGCACGAAACTTTAACAATAACCGCTTCAACTTTTTTCCCTCTTCAAGCTTCCCCCAAAACCGAAATATTTCTAGTGGGGCCTCGTCTTTTTTTCCCACGCGCAACACATACATCTCTCTTCTCCCCCACTTCTCGCCCGTTTCCCAACTCGCACCTCGCCTCGTCCCCCCTGCCTTTGCGCATTCCGGGTGCCCATTGGGAAATGAGACTGTTCTCGCGACGGATACTCACAGCCCTGCAATCCCCTAATTCGAGTTTCCTACAGCAGCCAGGCCGCCGCGGTTCCCCGAGGAGGGCCAACTTGGACAGCCGCGCCGCCGCAAGGTCGAACGAGGCTAGAGAGGATGAGCGAACAGAATGGCGCCGCGCCGGTAGCAGCCGCGCCGGCGATGGCAACGGTTACGGATATGACGATGACGCCAGCGACGACCGCGCAAAACGGATTCGCCGCGCCGGCCAACGGGCCCCGACCCGGCCTCAACGCCAACGGCAAACGTCAACAAGGCCTCAGCAAAGGGCGCTCAAGAAGCAAAAAGACCAAGCGGGAAAGGAACATGACCGAAGGCTCGACCGAGGAGGTGCTCATGGCCGACGTGCAAGCCCTGCTCAAGTCGCTTCGAGTGCGCGACGACGACGACAACGAAGACGCCAACGCCGATGCCGACGCCGACGGTACCCAGCAACAGCAACAGCAACGGCAGAAACAGCAGCAGGAAGAGCTCCTCGCTTCGCTACCCCCAGCAGGCTCCGAAATCAACGTCAAAGTCCTCGAACTCTCCTCCACCGGCGAAGGCCTCGCCATCCTCGACAACCCCGACCCCAACGCCCCCGATCCACCCCACCCCACATCTACGTCGTCTCCTTCGTCGCCCCCGGCGACATCGTCCGCGTCAAAGTCTACCGCCACCTGCTCGACGAGGGTCACTCCATCGCCGACTACATCTCCGTCGTGCGCCCCGGCGCCCTCCGCGACGACACCCGCATCCGCTGCCGCTACTTTTCCCAGTGCTCCGGCTGCCAGTTCCAGATGCTCGACTACCCCGACCAGCTGCGCCACAAGCGCACCATTGTCGAAAAGGCCTTTCGCAACTTCTCCCACCTGCCCTCGGAGCTCGTCCCCGCCGTCGCCGACACCATCGGCAGCCCCTCCAGTACGGCTACCGCACCAAGCTCACCCCCACTTCGACGGCCCGCCCGGCTACCGCCCCTCCAAGAAGAGCGCCCCCAAGGTCTTCTTCGAGTCCCGCCCGGACATCGGCTTCATGCAAAGGGCAAGCGCAAGGTCATCGACATCGAGGACTGCCCCATCGGCACCGACGCCGTGCGCAAGGGCATGGTCCGCGAACGCGCCCGTATGGCCGCCGACTTCGCCGACTACTCCCGCGGCGCCACCATACTCCTCCGCGAAAGCACCCACCGCTACCCCAAGGATAGCCCCGACACCCCCGACGCCGTCCCCGACGACGCCGTCCGGGTCGACGCCGGCGCCCACGTCGACGTCAAGACCTGCGTCACCGACAACAACGCCACCACCACCGAGTTCATCGACGACCACGTCTTCACCAACCCCGCCGGCTCCTTCTTCCAAAACAACAACTCCATCCTGCCCCCTTCACCGACTACATCCGCCAGCGCATCCTCCCTCACAACCCCGCCACACCCATCAAGTACCTCATCGACGCCTACTCCGGCTCCGGTCTCTTCACCATCTCCCTCGCCTCCCTCTTCACCGGCAGCATCGGCATCGACATCGCCGACAAGTCCATCGACTTTGCCCGCAAAAATGCCGCCCTCAACGGCATGGAGCCCGACTCCTGCAGCTTCATCGCCGCCGACGCCGGCCAGCTCTTCAAGAGCGTCGTCTACCCGGCCGACGAGACTGTCGTTGTTCTCGATCCTCCCCGCAAGGGCTGTGACGCCGACTTCTTGGGCCAGTTGCTGCGGTTTGGCCCCAAGAGGGTTGTCTACGTCAGCTGCAATGTTCACACCCAGGCTAGAGATGTTGGTGCCCTGGTAAGGGGCGACGGCGGAAACGGTGTTAGGTACGAGATTGAGAGTCTAGTTGGCTTTGACTTCTTCCCCAGACCGGCCACGTCGAGGGCGTGGCGGTCCTTAATAGGGTTGAAAAGGAAAGCACCGCGTCAGTTGACCAAGTGCTCCAATAAGATGGAGAGTGTTCTTGGGTCGCGTTGCATGCGACATCATGTTACATGGGAAAAGGAAAGGAAACGGAAGCCAAGGAGAGAAGAAAGGAAAGCAAAAACAAAAGAACATACATATAGCATTGATCGCACTCAGCATTGTACAACATATACTAAAGGGCTGCATGGAAATGGAAGAGTGAAAGGCAAGACGCTGAAAGAAATGGCAAGGGGAATGAAGAGCAGAGCCAGAGTTAGAAAACCCATCGTTTATTCCATGATTTAGACGAATGAATACCATTCCATATTATCATCACCTTAACTCACTCCCCCTTTTCACAGGATATATGCTCCCTTTCCCTCTCTCTCTCTCACCCTTCAAAGGCTACATGTAGAGCCAGCCACAAGCCCCCATTTACCTCCCCTCAACAAGAATTTTGAGCACTTCCAAAACCACTTCCAAGACTTCTGGACGGCGCGTCTTCTTGGCAGCCTCAGTGAGCACCTCGACACCACCTTGGTCCGCAATTTGCTTCCTGCCCAGTTCGCCTACTTGCCCTTCCGCCGTGACAATATTTCGCAATACAAAGGCGGCCCGGTGTCGCAAGTCGTCGCTCTCTTCCTTGCACAACTTGAATAGGACCTCTACCCCACGTTCCCGCTGCAAAATTGCCTCTACCACGTTTTCGTGGGCAGTGAGAGAAGCCAATGCACCACTAGCTGCGCTTCAGTACCCACGTCCTCGGAATCGGCCAAAGCCAAGAGAATATGCACCCGCTGCTTTGCTTGCGGTGTCCCGTCGGCGTAGAGTGCCATGCCTTCAATATCCTGGACAAGGTTGCAGATCAACTCAACAGCAGCCTTGGTCACCTGGATGTTTGAAGACAACAGCAGGTCCTCAATCTGCGGCCACGCCGTCCGAATAATGACCCCCTTACTTCCGCGCTGTCCATGGATGCTAGATTAGTTAGGGCCATGAGGGATTCGAATGATGGAAGTAAATCCCGCTTGTCCGATGACTGATCAGGGGCCAAGATGGACACTAGCGGTCGTATGGCCGAAGTCACTGGCGTTGCTCTGTTTCCGCCAAACACGAGGGCAGGGTTAATACTGATCAAGATGCGCGCGAGAGCCTGCGCAGCCATCTGGCGGGCCTGGGGATCTCCCTCTTGCAGGTTCGCCCACGCCGTCAGGAGGAGTTTGACGGCACCTTGCTGGGCGAGCTTACCCCTGAGGCCCGAGGTGAAGGAAATGGAATTAATAATGGAAACAATCAGGGAAAGTGATGCGGTAGAACCATTTTTGCTGTGTGTGACTAAAACTGGGGTAATGCCTGCTTCAAATACAAGCCTACATCGCTCGGAAACATGGGTATTGTCATCCAGGCTATCATCCTGCGACTGCGAAAGCTTTCCGGCAGCGTTGGCATATGCCTTGAGCTGGCGAATCTTCTCCTCCTCTTCCGTGAGAGAAGGTCTGTATCTCGTTAAGTTGACGAAAATGCTAAGAGCACCATAGGTAGTCGGTGACTTGGCAGGGGCCTCGTTGAGAGATTTCACAAGATTTTTGAGCAGGTCCGCATTGTGGGCAACCCGCTCCTTGACTGTGGATCGTAGGGTTGCGTACGCGAGCCCCTCGATGGAGTGGTGCTTTGCCTTCTTGAGATCTTCGTGACCATCGTCCTTGGTAAGCTGGAAAGCGATAAACTTTTCCGCCAGCTCCTCGATCGTGGTAGAAGCAACCTGGACCCTTTCATTCTCATTGTTCAGTTGCGTCTTCGAAGGGATCGCCTTCACCCTAGAGTTAGTTAGATGCGAGACAGGCCAACGTGAAGGAAGGGTGGATGTGGCGGCAGTGGTGGGTGCGCGCGTGTGTAGAGGCTCGGTCGCCGTCAAGCACGTACTCTGATTTTTGCAAGGACAACCCCGGCCATGATCTGCACCTTGATTGAATGCCTGTTCACGTTGACAGAGCCATCCTCCAGGCTGATTTGGGTATCGGAATCCAGCGCTCTCGTAACCTCATTAGGGTCCTGGTCGACAACCTCCTCCAGCCAGTCTATGCAATACTTTTCGACGGCCTCGCGGCACTGGGGGTGCATGCAAGCGGCGTTGAGCATCTCGAGACAAGCCGTCTCGACCTTGCGGCTCTTCCATTTACGGTTCATGAGCGGAGCTAGGCTCGGGAGGAAGCCCGGGCTCAAGAACAGCTCCGAGATGAGCTCGGGAGCAATGGGGAACATGTGGGAAGCGACACAGAAGGCGACGATAAAATCGTCATACGTGCCTCGGCGAACTCGATCGAAGAAAAATGTCGAAAGCGCCTTGGCGCCTTCTTCGCCAGCGGCTTTGAGATAGGCGGCAGAGGTGAGCGTGGCGTGGGCTCGCACCTCCTCGGGCTGGCGGAGGTCCATATGGCCAAGTATCGTGTCGAGGCAGTCGGCATCTATGACATTACAAATAGATGGGACATTCTTGTCGGCTTTGGTGAGCTCGTAGTCTTCGTTGAGAAGGGCGGTGACCATGTCGAGGTCGCGGCAAGTCTCGTCATCCTCGCGCCCACCCTCCATCAATTGAGCTAAAAGGAGCTGGGTCCGGTCCTCTCGCGAGAGTTCAGCGTGTTGCTGCGTCGCAACTGTGGTGGTTGCCATGACGGGCAATGCTTGGTGAGATGTGTGAGAGCCAGACTGGAGGGATGATGGTGACGGTGACAGGTGGGGAGGAGAATTGGAGGAGGATTTCGATAAGTGACAAAGACTTGGCGGGGTATTTGTTTGGTGGTGGGGAGGGGCGAAGCTGGACTGGAGGACTGGAGCTGTGAACAAGGGGGTGGGGGAAGGAGCTTTCCAGGTCAATAACGTTGAGAGAGTGAAATGGAAGGAGGGATGGACTGGCTGATATGTTGAGGTTTTCTGGGAACTCTAATCCAGCAACTTCAAAGGCCAGGGTCAGGAATATATTTATATAAAATCCCGATATACACGCACGTTATACACGGTTGTAGGGAATATGATCTTGGCGAGCCTCCACCAGGGATCGGCAGCATTTGCGCAGATTGGAATCAGATTGATCTAAATAGTCGAGCAGGGTGTGGAGAGAGAGGGACGAAATGGGGTCATTCATTCTTGCTTGACTACAGGTATACTAAGGTCCGTCCCCTCCCCGAGTGTCAGCCTCAAAGGCTCATATCTCTCCCAGTTACCCCCCAACGGAGTTGCCGGGGCTCAACTGACGCAGGAGCCCACATGCACCTTGAGCCAGAGTCGGACCCTCCAAAGGGAAACAGAAGAAAGGAAGCGGAAGAAGACGACGAAGACGAGTACTCGAGTACTTGATTGGGCCAAGCTGGACTAGGCATGGCAGCCCTGGGTTTTCGATCTTCTGATTTGGCTGCTGGGAACGTGTCGAATCCCGCCACTTCCCGTCGTCACTTCCCGTCATTCAGCCATTCGTGCTGGGTTCGGTGCGGCTTCTCAGCAAAGATCAAAGATGTGTGAAACTCAAATTCACGTTGTCCGACAAACTAAACCTGCGCTAGCGTCTTCAAGGGCAAATCCGACTAAGACTTGTGCTTCCAATCGTCCCACTTTCACAAGATAGTCGAGGCCGAATTCATAGCACTATTATTATACCGGCACCAATCCAAACGTTGAAATGCATGGATGCATGCGCTATCTCATGTGGATAGCGCATTGTGGATGCAACCAGGTGGGATCCATCTATCCATGGATGGATCAAATGGGTGCATCTACACCATGGATCTTGATGCTGGATCAATCAATTTTCGGCCTTCTTCGGGACAGCCTAGGTATTATAAGGTGGACGGTGGACAGACCTCTGAGGTGCTACACCAGGCCCAAGGAACATTGAATTCTACACAAGATCCCCCACCGTCGAGATCGGTGGGTGGGACACACACACCGAGGAAAGATCAGCTGCCTCGAGCCAAGCCAGGAACGAACCCACTGCCTAGGAAACTTGCATTTCTAGAATCCCTTTCTAGAAATCCCCGTCATGAGCCCTCGCCCGATATACGAAATGAAGGCAGAATGCGGTATCTCCTTTGTAGGTCAAGGTGTAGGAGTTTGCTCGAATGCGCGCGCATCCCCTGCACCCCTGCCCCCATCCCATCCTTCTCTCCTCGCCTCCCTCAGCTACACTGGCTCTGGTCATCAAGCCTTTGATGATAGGACCGATAAGCTGAAGTTCTACCCACCACTGTTAAATAGCGCTTTTCAAAGATAGATGGATTGATAAGTGGGGTCGCACGAACTGCACAAGTAATTCGGATTATTCACCTTTGCCTCTCGTGGGGCCTCTTGGATTACATGTATCGTGGGTGCTATCCCATTATGCCGTCAACTCCGAGGAACCAGCAGACACCATACCGAGTTGATGCATCTGCCCCACGTGCAAGTGGAGGACGGGATCTCTTCTCTCGCCCACTCTATGCGTACGAAGCATGTACGTACTGGCTTGACTGGATCGCCTGGGACCTCGCCTCCTATGCATGTCCCCACGCCTCAAGGCAAACGAGGCTCGAAGCCACGAGCGTCACTTCATGACTCGCAAGCGTGTACAAGGTCGATGCGTCGCGTCGCGCAGGCGGTCTTGCTACCTCGGTACAGCCACTGAGGTATGACTTCAGGCTCCCAGCGTGACAATTCCTCTGTAGATCAATGTATCCATATCCATTCACTTGAATATTCGTCTATTTGAACACCCAGTCAAGATTACGACCTGTAGCCCTCAATTCTTTTTGCCTCTCCATTTTAGCAACAAGACTCCTAGGCAACCCTCGTTGAACGAGGGCTTCCGCATAGAGCCCTTTTCTGCGTTGGTGAGGGATCTACAGAGTTACGAAGTAGTTAGCGAATGAAAACCAAGTGTGTTTCCATTTTCGTGCGTGTCGTTTCAGTGAGCTGCTTTGATAGCTGACCGATGTTGGTCCAGATACCTACGTCCCGTTTATCCAAGCACTGCCCAAGCACCCAAATGGTGCACTCGCACCTCGTCTACAGTGCGTGCGTCTGCCGCCCAAGCATCCATTCAATTGACACCTTGACCGCACTACATTGCTCAATTCAATCGAATTGGTTGAAAAAAGCTTAGCACTTTAACTCAACGTCAGAAGCCCAGATCATAATCCATTGTCAGCCTTGCAACAAACAGCCAGCCCTTGCCTCCCAAATTTGCAAGCATTACGCATCCTCAAGCGAGAACCCGGATCCGATTAAAAGTAGAAAACGAACCCTTTTTTCTTCTTTTTCTTCCTTGGCCCATCCTACTTTTTCGGTTGGCTCTACTCAAGCAGCGGGGGTTTTCTTGGAAAAGGTAGAAAAAGAAAGAAAAAAAAAAAAACCGACCGCGGACTGGTCTACGAAGCTTGGGGGAACAATCACTGGCAGCCCTCAACCACATCAGATGGTTTCTCCCCTCCACCACTCCTCGCGGCGGGGTTCCATCCAAGTGCCCACAATGAACAACATCAAAGACCCCGACGCCACGGAGCACTACGACATCCCCAACACCGACGAAGTCCCCTCCCTCCTCACCGTCGTCCTCGACACCAACCCCCGCGCCTGGGCCAGCCTCGGCGACGCCCTCCCCTCCGCGATGCCATCGCGAACCTCCTCATCTTCGTCAACGGCCACCTGGCCTTTAGCAACTCGAACCAGGTCGCCATCATCGCCGCTCATACCAACAAAGCCTGCTGGCTCTACCCCCAGCCGCCGAACAGAAACCCTACGTGCCGGCCGCCGCCGCCGCCCACGATGTAGACATGCGCGACGCCGGTCCAGGCGCCGCCACTTCCACTACCACCGCTGCCGCCATCTCCTCCTCTTCCTCGTCCGCCGTCAGCTCCGCCAACAAGTACCCGCTCTTCGCCCAGATCGAGACCGCCGTCACCTCTTCCATCCGCAACATATCCGCCGCCAGCACCCACGCCGACCTCGCCCAAGTCACCACCAAGCTCTCCGGCGCCCTGACCATGGCCCTCGCCTACATAAACCGAGCCTCTCAGAGCCTCAGCACCTCCAAACCCACGGCAGCCGACGTGGGCAAGCCCAGCGTCAGCTCCGCCCTGCGCGGCATCCGCGCCCGTATCCTCGTCATCTCCGTCTCCGACTCCCAACCCTCCCAGTACATCCCCACCATGAACGCCGTCTTCGCCGCCTCCCACCTAGAGATACCCATCGATACCCTCTCCCTCTTCGGCAACGACACCTTCATGCAGCAGGCCAGCTTCATCACCAACGGCACATTTCTCAAAGCCACCGAGCCCCGAGGCTTCCTCCAGTACCTCATGATGGGCTTCATGGCCGATGGCGAGGCTAGGACCGCCCTCATCTCCCCTCGCCACCACTCGGTCGATTTCCGCGCCGCCTGCTTCTGCCACCGCAGGGTCATTGACACGGGCTTCGTCTGCTCAGTCTGCCTCGGCATCTTCTGCGAGATCCCCGCGAATGCGGAATGCATACTCTGCGGGAACAAGCTCCGCCTCGGTTCCTATGGTGCGAAACCTGCCGTCGTACCACGCAGGAAAAAGAAGAAGAAGAAGGCAGTGAACGGAAGTGGAAGAGAAGAGACCTCGAGCGCCACGGGAACCCCGCGCCCTGGTTAAAAGTCGCCGTGAGCGACCCCTTTGGAGCTAGGGTTACTATACACTAAATACACTTTAAAACCCCAGTCAACAGCGCCTCTTCTCCGGCCATGCACCTCGGTAGGCATGAGGGTGCGTGTCGGAGTCGAAAGCGGTGCGCTCGTTTGACAGAAAGCGCTCTTCGCCATGGACATGTATTACAAAAGTAGGCAAGAACACTTAAAAGAGGAGATGGAGAAAAAGGGAAAAAGGAAGAAGAAAAATACCAAAATTCAGGCTGGACTAGCGCTCATGTAGTATACAAATAATCAAAGGATATATGAGGTGCTCGCACCGTCCTTCCCTTTGAGTGAAGGCTTTGCCTTATCGCCACACGTGCTTTGGACTCCCCACTAACTCCAACCTGCACCGCATCGAAGCCAACTAAACCGCAATATAAAAAGAACCAGAGTAACATACAGCGAATCGACGTTTTAGGAATTGTACAAGTATCTAAGCCGCTCGACCTACAGAGCGTAAAGTGTGTGTGGGTTCCTGACTCTCTGGATCCTACAGGTAGAAGCCCCTCCTTCGCGCGAGCCCACTGCAGGACATGCAGAGAGGACATGGCCAATAACTCTAATCCTAGACGAGGCCCACCACTTTTGTTCCGAGGAACGAGGCCAGGGATCATCTTGTCTTGAGGTTCTAATTACTGTCGCTTAATCCGGCGAGCCCCAACAGATATCTTGGTGTCCCCGTCGGGGTTAAGACGAGACATGAGGCACTGAGGCTCCCTATCCGTAGAGCCCATGGTCGCCAGTGCGAAAGACTCCGTATTATGGCCAAAATAAAAGTAGTACGCAGTCTTGCTCATCTTGACAGCGATGATACCTAATGCGCCGGCTGTCGTCATTCCCTGGACACCCGGGTGCTTCATGAAATCTTCTTGAATGAAGGCGTGAAGGACATCGTGGTCGTCCCCATCGTACAAATCTTCCCCAAATTCACCTTGGCGGCTACCTCGTATGAGGCGCTCGGCGCACCTCTGAGAAGCCATGGTAGTAGCTATGTGCTCCCCGGTTCCGCTCGCTACCGCCGCCACGGACACGCCTAATGGGTCTTTAGGGTGAGCGGGGATGACGGCACTTCCGACCCTAACAAGAGCTGCCGGGCCAACCCTGCCCCTGTGCTTCATACCAATACCACCTGATGAGGACCCAGCTGCGATGCGGCCCATGGAGTCAATCGCAATGGCGCCAACTGTGTCACTGATGGAGTCTTTCGCTTGTTCGGCATACTCGCCAAACGACCGTTTATGTCTAGTAGGAGCCGACTCTAGTGTAGGAGAGACTAACGTCCGAGTTGGTGTTTCTCGACTATTCTGAACGTTTTTCGGAGAGACTTGGTCGGATATGCTGGGAGAAGAAGGCCCGTCGCCTAGAGTAGATCCATCTGCACCGTCTCCTTCGCTGGGCATAGATTTTCTCCAAGCATACCTGGAACGACGCTGCGGTAGATCTCGACCGAGCGATCTGTCCTCATCCGTTGATGCAGACATCCGAGGTAGCTGGATTTCGTCTAGAATTCCTATATTCGGAGTGCCGAACTGAGTACTTTGCCGAGATGGCCCCGCCCCGGAGATACCTTGGCGAGTAGGGCCGTCCTGGCTATACGACGCACCTTCAAGCACGACAAGGTCTTTTGAAGGAAGCCCGACTGGGCTTCATTGTAGAATCCAGAAACCATGGTAGGACGGTCCCCACTATGGTAAGTGTCGACAGATGAAGCAGACTCGGCTGTCGCCGCTGAGGAGTCCACGGATCTCGGTTTCCGACTCTTCGGGGGACACCGGAGCGGTAGCAACACGTCTCAACTCGTTCTGCCAGCGATGGAATCTGTCGCCAGCATTTTTTGAGATAAGGTTCTCGTTCGGCAAGACCTCAAATCCATGGTGCCGAGCAAATTTGACCGCCCCTTGGCCGACAAGAAAGCTGGGAGGGACCCGACGTAGCGACAGTGGTTCGAGACTCTTATCCAGAAGAGTCTTGGCGAGACATATGGGGTTGCGGATATCTGAAAGATATATTAGAACAAGTGCACCGGTTGGCAGCGACGGTATAAAGGTAAAACAGACTAGGGACGGCGCCACAGGCACCACTCCGGCCCAAGTGATCCACGATGCTCGCATCACACTCTACCGTGCCATCGATACAGAGATTTGAACCGTAACCCGCATTTGTAATTTCCAAGTCTTCCAGGACTTTTATTGCAATTGTTACGGCTTCGGTTGCACTCGCCCCCGCGTTGAGGAATTTCATAGCCATTTGAGCCGCACTATGGCCAGTTCGTCAGTCTAATGGGGTCTTTCTTGTCACAGCTTAAACTGGGCCATACTCATTGCATGCTTTGAGGTGAAAGCTCTCATTCGCATGGCTGTGAAACCCTGCTCCCGCGTGGACTGCTATGGCCGTTAAAGGTCGTCGAGATGTAGCCTTGGCACGGCTTGAACGAAGGCGACGAACGGCGGGCGGAACGGGTAAGACCCCGCTTGACTACTCGGGACACCTCCGTCATGTTGATAGGCTATGTTGGGGTTATCTATATTCTCCATGACGGGCTTGATACGTGTCGACTAGTCTCAGATCGGGTGCTGTTAGTAGGGGCCCGAGAGTATTATGTTCACGGCTGTTCCGGTCTACCTCTTCGTCCCTGTAGTTGACCGCCTACCCTGGGGTGTCTCTGATTTAGCTTTGTATTAAGGTGAGTTTAATTGGTTTCATCAATAAATGAGTGTATGTTTTGTAGCAAGCCGTAGGGCTGTCGCAGGCTGATGTTCTAAGGATGCCAAAAGGAAGTCTCAAGGTCATAGGATAGAGAGAGTGTGGAAATACAGAAAGATGATAGACCCGGGGAGACCCCAAATATTTTAAAGAAGGGGGCTATATTTAGAAAGTCGGAAGAATGATAGTGAACGGTATATCATGAGGGCGTGAGGTAGATGAAGAGAATGGCGGGTGAGTTATGCGGGCTAGTCGAGTATCTAGACGAGCATAGTTCGATTACCCGAGCTGGATAGAGCGAATAGAGGTTGATTGGCGAGTCAATAGTCTCCACTGTCGAGGGAAAAGTAGCAGCTGCCGCTTTGATGGTAGAAGTTGGGTTGTGTCTCCATGCCACTAACGAGATACTGAAGAAGGCGCGGTGAGGACCTTGGCCAAGGTCTGCACACAAACTTAAGAACAAGGCGAGAAATACAGTCGGTTCCCGTTTCCTTCAAAGGATTCATGGATCACTGGATCAAGTAAATGATCTTGTTCCTATCCTTAGTGATAGTTCTGCTAGTCCGGCTCGCATATGTGGCCTGACAGCGATGGAGAGATCCTACGTTTCGTATGTATCCGGACGGGGGACAAAGAGACAGCGACGACCAAACCACGCTGCTCTCTAGGTGGCTACTTGCTGTAGTTCGGGCTTGAGGATGAACAAGAGTAATTGTTGATGGTTCCTGCTCAACCTGCCCACTCCAGCTTTCCTCGAAATGTAGCTCTGGGGCTGTCTGTGCTTCTAGTGCTTCCCAAATGTACCACGGGAGGACGCAGCTTCTATATCCGTCCGGGCCACCCTATTTTATGTTCTCTTTTAGGCAACTCAGATGGATGTTTGTGAAGTTCAAGGCTTAATACGCCTCGAAGTAAGGTCTCTGTACGCACAAGGAGACTTGATCAGTCGATAATATTGCGGTTGTAGCTCTTGTTGGATGCTTACATAATGGGCCATGTGGGACAACTTCGGAAGATGGTGACGAAGGTGGTGGTGGGGCGAGATGAGGGACCTCAACACCACCGTCGTCACCTTGGTTCCAGTTGCGGGACAGCTTCCTAAGCAGGGTCATCACGACTTGGGCAACGACACAAACAATCGGCAATTTATCGTAAACCTCTTCTCCTCCTACAAACGCTTTTCACCTTGTAGGTTGGGGGATCTTCTCCCAATTTTCGCGACAATGGCCAACCAAACCCCCGCCGTTGTCATGGACAAGTAAGACCCTATCCCAGCACCCCGCATTCCCCAAGGCTCCAAGAATAGTGCTCTCTGCGCATGATTGATGCTGATCGCCCATCCTCCTTTAGCGGTACCGGATTCTCAAAATTGGGTATGACCGACAGAAAAACACGCTACGAAGAAGCTGAACCTAGGCAAACTAACCTCCGTTGCTAGGTTTCGCTGGCAATGACTCTCCCTCTTTCGTCTTCCCGACCGCGATCGCCACGAAAGGAGCTGCCGGAACGGGGGCACTGGCTCCGGTCGACCAGCTGTTGCCAACAAGCCCTCCTACCTGACCGGAGGAGCAGGACCGGGAAGCCACCTTAGCGCGAAGAGAGGCACGGAAGACCTGGATTTCTTCATCGGCGACGAAGCGGTTGCGGCGTCCGGGGTCCAGGTGCGCGACGATACCTTGCCAATGCTTGCTTGATCTGATGTGAGGAGCTAACACGAGTAGGATACGGCCTACACTACCCGATCCGTCACGGCCAGATCGAGAACTGGGTAAGCACACCAATTAGCGACGACCAATCTTTAGAATTTCCACCGCTGACGGTAGCTTGATCATAGGATCACATGGAAAGGTTCTGGTCCAACTCCATCTTTAAATATCTTCGAGTCGAGCCTGAAGAGCACTTCTTCCTTCTGACCGAGCCTGTAAGTGCCACCAACCGGTGCAAGTAGCTGTCAAACGGTGATGGCTAACTGCGCGACCCCACACGTCAGCCACTGAACCCGCCTGAAAACCGAGAAAATACTGCCGAAATCTTTTTCGAGTCTTTCAACTGTGCGGGTCTATATATTGCTGTACAGGCCGTTCTTGCCCTAGCGGCTTCCTGGACCTCGTCCAAGGTCCACGACCGGTCCCTCACGGGAACCGTCATCGATTCGGGTGATGGTGTGACCCATGTCATCCCCGTCGCGGAAGGATACGTCATTGGGTCCTCGATCAAGTCGATCCCTATTGCTGGACGAGACATCACCTACTTCGTGCAGTCACTTCTTCGAGACCGCGGGGAGCCAGACTCCTCGCTTAGGACAGCACAGGAGATCAAAGAGGAATACTGCTACGTGTGCCCCGATATCGTCAAGGAGTTCTCCCGGTATGACCGAGACAGGAGTCGATTTATCAAGCACGTTGTTTCCCAGCCCGGCGGCCGACAAGTCTCTGTGGATGTGGGCTACGAGCGATTCATGGCGCCTGAAATCTTCTTCAATCCCGAAATCTACAGCTCTGATTTCCTCACGCCTCTGCCTGTCGTTGTTGACGGCGTCATCCAGTCTTCCCCATCGATGTCAGGAGGGGCTTGTACAAGAACATCGTGCTTTCTGGCGGTAGCACTCTCTACAAGGATTTCGGTCGTAGGTTACAGAGGGACATCAAGCACCTCGTAGACGCGCGCATCCGGGCTAGTGAGGTTCGTAGCGGCGGTGCCAAGAGTGGCGGCCTGGAGGTTCAGGTCATCACGCACAAGAGGCAGAGGCATGGCCCATGGTTCGGTGGTAGCTTGTTGGGCCAGACGCCGGAGTTCAGGTCGTATTGCCACACAAAGGCCGAGGTGCGTCTCCCTCCCCTTTTTTTATATCTCCCCTCCCCCTTCTTTTGCTTCTGACGATATCACAATGCGGATATTTACTTTCCTTCTTGGGATGGCGCGCTGACCTTATGGAAAACAGTATCAAGAATATGGACCCAGTATCGTGCGAAGGTTCGCGCTGCTTGGTGGGCCTGGAGGGCCCTAAAGGAGAAGAAGGGCTGCCGAATAGGAGATGGTGATTTCTCTAGAATCCGGGTTAGCGGGCACAGGGCATCTGGGAGGGATAATGAGGTTATGGGTCCGGCTCTTCTAAGAGGGTTCTATATCTCAAGCTAGAAGGGGCTGACCTCCCTAGGACTGTGCGTTGATGATTGATTTAGGAGTAAGTAAAGACTCACACGAAGGTCACGATGTAAAAGTTTGGCCGTTGGTCATCTGCGATAGCGTCACGGTGGAAAAGAAACTCGCTTTTACCGGAGGAAAAACAAAACTCTAGACAGTCTTTTGCAAGTAAGTGAATGTGAATTGGGACTTGTATTCCACGGACAAGGTAGATGCTGGAGTTAATACCGGCTCCTCCAACTCGTGGCAACGAGGCTCTAGACACGCCGCAAGCTCTCAGATACCTCACTAGTCGATGGATGAAGTTGCGTGTCTCCCGGCCTTGAGCAGGCCCGGTGGCCTGGAAGCTTGCGCATGTACTCTTTCCCTTTAGAGAAAGCTTGGCGACCTCTTCTCCTCTATTATCCTAGCCGTATACCACTAGGGATGTTATGACGAAGCGCACCCTTGGAGATGCGATAGCCGTACTTCCGCCCCCGCATACCGGCTCTCCAAGAAAGGTCCCTTTTCCACAGTCTTATAGTATTGCCCCATGTAAAGTATAGCTCATGACGCTCCTCGAAGGATTGCGCATGCAATATAGGGAGTGTCCACCCAGATGTTGTCATGACACATATCCCGGAAGCCATCCGGGGAGCTGCAGCTCCGAGTCACATTGACGGTTTTTATCGCCGCCCGGAATCCTTGGTCGTTCGTTCGAGATCGCCAGATGCACCCTGCAGCTGAAATCCAGGCGTCAGGCCAGCAAATCATCATTCAAGCTCACTAGTCTATCTGTTCGTCACGGCCACCGCAAGCCTGGGCTTTATTTGGCCGAGCGCCCACGATGACTGCAAGGCACCGAAGCCAAGCCAAAGGGGGTGGGCGTTCATCTTGGTGTAAAATGGTCCTTTGCTGATCGGTCTGATGAAAGATGAATGGCGGATTCGTCATCGCCCCTCCCCCGATAAGAAAAAGCACCCTTCAGCCCCCAGCCTTCTTCGGGCAGAGGAGAAAACTCCCTCAAGACACACGGCTGGTGTTTCATAAACTGAAGGGAGTTTCTTTTATGAGTAGTGGTTTCTCCCTATCATTATTCATTTATTTATCTCGAAGTGGGAGATGCTGGGGATGTTGTTGATTTCCCACCCTCCCCTTGGCGGCGGAGATTGTTCGGGCCTGACTGAGGTGAGCAGGTTTGAGAGGAATATCTGGCAGTGCCGTTTCGGAGGGGCAAGCTTAGCCGATTTTCCCGGACCTTACGGGTCACAGGGGGCGGGGGATCTATTTGGGAACTGTGCGCCCAGACTTCTAACATGGGCTGAGTGATGCTCAAGGAAAACAGGAATGCACTGCTTGAAGAGGTGAATGATTGATCGTTTTTGCCTCTTCCAAAGACGGGCCCTCAAGTTGACGGCAAAACAATTTCGAAACTGGCTTATAGTCAATTAAGGCGCAGGCTCAAGGTATGGGGCAGGCAGGCAACATGTTGATAATTGCCCGCCGGCAGCTGCGGACCCCATCTCCCATAGCTTCAGAACTGGTGAGAACCAAGCAAGGCTCGCAACCCCCCCGAACTCAAGGGGATGCCTAAGTGGAGCCTTTGGCATGGAACGCTTGGATTGTTGATGTCTGGAGACAAGGGCATTGAACCAGCAAGAGAAAAAAAAAAAGGCTGCGGTTTGCGGTCCCCTTGACAGCAACCGAGCATGGACTCGGGCGTTTGAGGGAGCTGAGGAGTGGCGTTGATGGAGATGCGAGACTCCCCGAGACGAAGGAGGTAGAGGTGGATGCCGAGTAGCCCGTTTGCACGGTGGGCGCCGGGAGCTCCTTCCAGGACAACGGACAAGTAGCAGATACCCGCTTCCCGCCTCCCGCCTCACCCTCATCAAGAGGGAAGGGGCCAAGCCATTGCATTATTAATCTGTTCTCCGTGACTTTTTTCTTCCATAGTGTCTAGTGAACTGGACAGATCAATCGATGTCGCACTCGGCCAATACGAACGTCCAGTGAACAAAGACCTCCAACTTGTTTCAAGGCAGCTCAGGTTTGCAAGGCAGAGGTTGCGCAGCCCGTTGGAGCGGACCTCGAAGGCTGAGTACCTACCGCCAATGCCATGGCCAGCCAGAGGCGAGGGTCTCTGTAAGCACCCGCCTTCTCGTCTGGCCTTACAACCCGTATGAAACCGACACAAATGACATTACAAATGATACAAGCTTGGAAGTAATAATACGTCGTATCAAATGAGGGACGGACATCCTCATTTCAAAGTTCCTCCAGTCGGCGCAAGCAGGCAATTTGGCACTGGGAGCTTGCCCCCTCCTTTCGACTGCTCGAAACCTTGAGGGGTTTGCGCGGGCTCGAGCTCATCCTCACGAAACAAGACTATTATATAAAGAGATCTCCACTTGCACCTGTTCCTTCCCTTTCCGCCATCCTCTTTTAATCCCTCCATTCCAGCTACACACCTTTTATGATAGAACAAGCCAAGCTATCCCCAATTCTCCCCTCTCTCTCGCCATCCCCGCACACGGTATTTACCCTCCCGAAAACCACAAACTCCACCCCATACAACCATCATCACAATGGCCGATGAGCATACCTACAACTTTGACATCACCATGAGCTGCGGCGGCTGCTCTGGTGCCGTTGATCGCGTGCTCAAGAAGCTTGAGGGTAAGTGATACTCAACCCCGACTTATCCCCCTTCTCCCAGCAAGCTCTTTCTTTGTACGCCTCCGTACCTAGAATTTGGTGAGCTCTTGCGCCCTCAAAATACACATGGCCAGTCTGGCCTTGAGCTCTTTGCCTCCTTTGCACGTGGGAAAATTGCCAGGGGAGCGGGGTGTTTGTTGGTCGGTCCAAGACCTTCCCCTCCCCTCCTATCTTGTTCCTTGTACCCCACCAAACCCCCTTGGTGCGTGTCGCAAAATGCGACTCAGCGCCGCCAGGATCCCAACACAAAATCAAGTGAAACGCAAAACCAAAAAAGAAAAAGAAAAAGAAAGAAAAAAACTAACGCGACCTCGCGCCCACTCTCTCCAGGCGTCAGGAGCTACGAGGTTTCTCTCGAGAACCAGAACGCGACCGTCGTCGCCGAACCCGACCTCAAGTACGCCACCGTCCTCAAGACCATTGCCAAGACGGGCAAGAAGATCACCAAGGGTGTCGCCGACGGCGTCGAGCAGAGCATTGAGGTCCCCGTCGAGGCGTGAGGTGGTTCTCTTCTTTGCCTTTTTTCTGTTTCCTCTTTATTTCAAATTTGTTCTGTTCCGACTTTCTCGGCGATGGCGTCATGCGATGCACGATAAGGGTGGGGGAGCTTCTCGATAATTATGTGGCAGGGGTCTCTGCTTGGCCACTTGGCCCAAGTTTTATACCTTAGAATCGAGACCTTGAGTGTTGACTCGCGAAGAGAGTGCAACCGATAAAAAGATCCAAAAAACAAATACAATACAAAACATGGATTCTTATCATTCAAAAACGGTCACTTTTCCACTGGTTGAGTTATCTTCCGTTCGTCTCAAGACGAGGCTACAGAAGCTACATCCATGTTGCTTGGTCAAAGGTTAGTGTAGTCTATGCAGTAGCGTTTAGTGTGTTTCCACCCAGACGGGCCAAGGCACGCTGGCCATTTGGTACCAAGCGCAGCTTGTGAGGAGTGCACAGATTCCGCGATCAACATTGATATGTAGAACCTTCGATGGTGGATGCGACGAGCTGCAAGCTCACGCTAGGAAAGTGTGGCCACATGGCCGAGTCGATCTCATCTGTCTTGTCTCAGAGGTGGGGATTTGCTTGACAAATTGAAGTGGTTTGTCATCACATCACGTTCGTGGATATATCCATGTCTGGAACCCTTAACAAGATCAACGAGAGGGCTGACATATAACCTTGATGGTTCTCGATACGCAGCTGATGCTTGAGAAGCCCACAGAGTGCTTTGGGCCTAGAAACGCATTTCTAGGGGCGAGGTATGCTCTGCGCACTCGCGTCACGACCTCGAGCTTGTCCACTTCGCGGTCGAGTCCATATCCAAAAGAGTACCCGAAAGCAGCCTGATATTCCGTCGGCAGAACCGGCGCAAAGGCTTGAGTAACCAGTGCTAGTAAACGTGCGGTGGGCGGATATACGTCCATTCCACTAACAGTTCTCATTCCAGCGCGAGATGTGTGCCCCGCACTGAACCCAAGCGTCAAGTTCTCCCTGAACCCTCTGGCATCTCTCCGGAGAGCCAACCAGGTCGGCATGAGCACAGTCCGGTCTAGGAACCTAGCCAAGTTCCCGGTGATACCCCGAAGCTGGCTTCGAGTCTCCGTGTCCCCCTGCTCCCTCCATATCGTTCTCGCATCTTCCATCGAAGCCACAGCCTTTTAGACATCGCGGGGAGTGGGAGGCGCCGTGCATCGTGTGAGTGACCTCCCGCAGGAAAGCTCTCGTCATCAGCAAATCACTCGCAGTGGTGTTTTCGACGCCTCGTGATAGAACGGCATCCCTACCCGCTCTCCCTCACCCTCTCACCCTCTCACCCCTTCCCTTCTTTCGCTCGGCATCACGGCCGGCTCGAATGGCTTCCAGCCGTCCAGGACGGCACATGGTGCATGGTGCGTCGAGGCCAACCGAAATTGATGCAAACTAAATAAGGTGTCATGTCCCGTCTGCTTCTTCCTGTGCTACGTCCTCTCAGTCACCCCGTTGTCCAATGGCGATGGCGTGGGTGTTTGGTGGCTCGCGTGGTGGCTCGTAAATTACCGTCGGGCCGGGAAGGACAAGTCCATACTTTACCCAGACGTGTTTCTCGTCCTCTTTTTTTTTTCCTTCGCTTTTTGGCTACGCTCTACTGCTGTATCTTTTTTCTTTCTTTTTCTTTTATTCTCGCTCTTCCACATCCAACACCAGCCCGTACATGGTAGTACACCGTAGACTGCACGTCAGCCAACAGGCTTGCGTTGCGAGGGTCTGAGCAAGGGTAGGAGAGCTTATCCCCGCGTGCGATCGTTCCCCGTGGGGCCCCCTTCAGGAACCAACATCAATGGATCCATCTATCCATGAGTACAATGCAGCAGTATCACCCCTAAGAATCCCAAGACTTCCCCTCTTTTCTCCTCTAGCGGGCGTAACCTCGGGCTTAGGATGAATCTGTTGGCGCAGGCAGAGGCAGAGAATAGGATCGAAAGAAAGGTTCGCAGGAGGTGTTACGAGGACTTGAAGAAGACTATGGCCGGGGTTGTCTGTGGGCGAGACAGAATTGAGATCAAGACCGAGATCGAGAAAGAGAAGGAGAGAGGGGTATACCTCGGTAGAGTGCATCACGTTAAATATAGGCTTGATTCCTTTTTCACGATCTTTTGATCTCGTCTTCACTTGTCCATATGGGATGGATGTGTGGGCACCAAGGAAAGGTATCCAGCCTGTCTTGGACATCCGCCCTCAGGATATTGGACTGTCACAGTACTCTTTAATATCCTTCCCTTGCCACCATTGGGCGGCTGATTTACCTCGTCACGTACTATTTTCTGATATCGCGAATATCACGGAAGAAAAAGGCCATTCGAGATTCCACCAAGTTGGCCTAGCAGCTTCACTACTTCTCCCATTCACTCTCTCTCTCCTCTTGGACCCCCAAACTCCAACCCGCCCTCATTCTGCCTCTTCCCTGCCCCGTCCCTCTTCGTCCCTCCTCGTGCCTACCCCCGCTCCCCTTGCGCGTCCTCCCTCTCGCCCCAACACGCCCATCTCGCGGGATCCCTCCCTCAAATGATGAGCCCACCCACACCAAAAACGTTAAATTGAATTTACATTGCGAGATCCTTTTCTCGGTCGCCCATATGACTTGGCGCACCAACGAGCCCGCGCGGCCGAGCCAGAATCACCTCTTGGGTTCCCAGGAATCGTTCGTTTTGCCCGTGTATTTAAAAGAAAAGTAAAAAAAAAAACAGCCAAGAGCCAAGGGGTGAGGCCCGGGCTTTTGGGTCTTGTCCTGTCGTCTTTTGCTCCCTTTCCCGGTTTGCTGTGATCCCGGTTGAAGCCTTTTATTAGTCCCAACTGCGCCGTCCGCCTTATCTCGTTCCCATCTTTTTTTTGTTTAACCCTTTGGGAATTTTGTATGGTTCCAAGCTCTTTATTCTCTCAAGCGGTTCCGTTCCACCTGGACGTGGTCCATACATATAAACGACCTTCTCGCCCCGGGTGTGCTTGACCTTTTGAGCCTCAAGCCAAGCCCGTCCCTTTCTTATAACCCACCTTCTGTCCGCTCTCTCTTTCTTATTCTGTCTCGAGCGTAGTCCACCTCAAGTCCCACCAAAGAAGAAGACGTCTGGGTTCTCTGCTGGTTCCCCCTCTCCGTCCCAATGACCAGGTCACGTACTATTCCCACTGGGCTCGCCAGCCTGCTCCTCCTCGCGGCCCGCGTCAACGCCCACGGAATTGCTGACGGCCTCGCCGTATATCCTGGCGGTGCCGCTGGTGGCACATAGTAAGTCCTAGCCCCAAAAATACTGGGCGATGATGAGCCCACTTCCGCGCTCCTCTCCAGACTAACACCGAAAAAAACAATAAGCTACCTCGGGTACAATCCTTCTTTCCAATACCAGACCCCGCCTCCTGAAATCGGAGAATGGTCAACACCCGATAACTTGCAGTATGTTTCTTTCTTTTTTTTTTTTTTGAATAAGTTTTTACACTTCATTTCTGCTCTCTGCTCCAAACCCGCCGTAGAGTCCTTCCGCAGAGCTTTCCGTTATACCGCATCGACTTACACGCAGCGCGTAACCCCACAGAAACGGCTTCGTCGCCCCCGCCGCCTACGACTCCCCGACATCATCTGCCATCTCGGAGCCACCCCCGGCGCGGCCGCCATTCCCGTCAACGCCGGCGACGACCTCGGTATCCACTGGGACACCTGGCCCGATTCGCACAAGGGTCCCATCGTCGACTCTCTCGCCAACTGCGAAGGTCCTTGCGTAAGTTCCACTTCAAATCGATTGTCACTTCCCCCATCTCTTGTCACAAACGGAAAAAAAGACGAAGACTAATGCTTTTCCACTGCCGTAGCAAAACGTCGACAAGACCAAGCTCAAATTCTTCGACATCAGCCGCGAGGCCGTCATCGACGCCGCCTCCGACCTCTGGGCCCCCAACGTCCTCGTCAAAAACGACTTGACCTGGTTCGTCCGCATCCCCGAGGGCATCGCCCCGGGCAACTACGTCCTCCGCCACGAAATCGTCGCCCTCCACGCCGCCGGCCAGACCAACGGCGCCCAGAGCTACCCCTTTTGCTTCAACCTCGCCATCTCCAGCAAGGGCACCGATAAGCCCGAGGGTCGCACCTTTGAGGGGTACTATACCTCCAGCGAGGTCGGAATCGTCTGGGACTTGTTCGGCAAGAGCCCCGCGGACTACAAGATCCCCGGTGTAAGCCCATCTTCTTTCTTTTTCTCTCTCTCTCTTCCCTTTCTCCATTTCCTCTCTCTCTAGAGAAATACGTTCACTGTGCAAAAAGGCTAACCCGCTCTCCTTTTCCCAACAACCCAGCCCGCCGATAACCTCTACACCGCCGCCGAAAAGGCTACCCAGCGCAAGCCCAGCATCACCGCCACCGGTACCTTTGTCAAGTCTCTCGACCCGGCGTCCATCCCCCAAGAAACCTCCGCCGCCGCCCCCGAGGAGCCCACAACTGCCGAGGCCCCGCCTGCCGAATCCACGACCTCGGAAGCTGTCGCTGAGCCGACCACCGCCGCACCTACCACTGCCGTCACCACCACTGCGGTATCCTCCTCCTCCTCCTCTTCCTCTTCGTCTTCCTCTTCGTCTTCCTCGTCTTCCTCTTCTTCCTCCGCGCCCCCGCCACATCCGGCGAGAGCGACAAAGCCCCGAACCCACATCCACCCAAAACGCCGCCGGAGGCGCCATCGTCTACAGCACCGTGTACGTCACCCACCAAGTCACCGTCACGCAGGTCGAATCCACAACCATCTATGCCACTGTCACGCTTCCCCGGCCTTAGGCTTCCTCTCCCCCATCTTCTACTTGGCCCCCTTCCTAGCGCGCTTCTTCCCCTCTGCCTCATGGTTTTTGATATCCAGATATGAGGCGTGACACGCTCCGCGCACGGGAACAGGCGGGGCACGCGCCGATGGCCACATATGGGCGAACTCATTCAACTCGTTCTCCTGGTTTTATAGAAGGTCTCTATTAGAGACGGTGCTTGGTGACTTCTCATGTACATCTTATATAATGACGCTTTCTTGCCCCCTTGATGCTCCCCTTTGGTAGCCAAATCCCATTAGATCAGAATAAATCAAAACATCACAGACTTTTGCCCTTTTCTGAAATTATTCACATTTTAAGCCAGGTGACAGGTGGAAAATGATGAATGTCAATTCACGACGTATCGTCGATGATGTAGATGTAATACAAGAGGGAAAGAATACATAAAATCAGGGTATGCTTGACCTCCAGGGAAGAAAAAAAAAGGAATAAGAGGTAGACAGAAGGCATACCCTGCCAGTACATCGCCATGTTGCGGTACAATATGCCCCGAGGTATTTCCAACCCGAAATGAAAATGTAAAGAGAGAAAAACACCATGAACCTGAGATGAGCGTGATGAGGGATGGAGCCGCGGAAACCACACGCCCCGTCCTCTTGCTGTTCGTCCCACTTCAAAAGAAACCAAAAAAAAAGAAAACCAAATGCCGTGTCGCCCCGCCAGTGTATGTCTATATCATGTCATGCCCGATTCGTGATCGAGGGAGGGTATCTATACAAAAAGATTGAAAGGAACAGCCATAACCGCCCGGATATATGTAAATGAATGAAAATGCAGTCTCTTGCCTGCGCCGCTGTTTGAACAGGAAGTTGTAACGGAAATCTCCTGGAATCGAAGCTGGAGAATGACCCGATGAAAAATGAAAATTGAAAGAGTACGAGGGAAAAGAATGCAATCGCAAGAAAGAGTGTGAACCGATGGAAAGAAAAAGGGTGCAGAAGCCAAGGTCAGAGGCCTCGGTCTTCTAGCAAGGTGTGGTTGATGTGAGAAATGAAGTCGAACGACCAGGGGAGGGCTCTTTACCGAGATCCCTTGAGGATGCCTCGCCAGTCCTCGCCGGTGAGGCCCTCGGCGTCATCGATAGTCTCCTCAACGACCTCGACGCTGATAGTCTTCATGATGCCGCCCTGCAACATTTCCGCGCTGACACCGGGAGGAGGCGGTCCACCGGCAGTGATGGTGGTTCCCGACCTTCCGATGCTGCCCGTGGCGCTGATCCACGACGCGGCGGTGCCGGGCCGGCTCACCGACATGGCGGTTCTCGGCCTCGAGTGGTGTCCGGCGGCGGTTCCAGGCCGGCTGACGGGCTTGCGAGCCAGGCCAGACTCTAGATCATGACCGTGGGCCGCAGCCGGGGGTGGGGAGGGATATCGCCATTGCTGTAATAGTACTCGTCGTCGCGGGGGCCCTCGATGATGAAGATGGTGGACTTGGCGGAGTGGGGAGGGGTTTGCAGCTCCGAGGAGCGCTGCGAGAGGTCGTCGAGCCGGTTGGAAGACACGGAGACGAGGTTGGAGAGGTCGCGGACGTTGGGCGAGCTAAGCATCGTGCCGAGGGGGATGACGTTGGCGGCGGTTATGGCAAGGTTCTGCGTGAGACTATGTCCGCGTGTTAGTCCGGGGAGTGGCCTCCAGTTGGGGTACGATATTAGACAGAGTATAGGCAACTTACACATCAAAGATGGTGGCAAGGAGCACGTTGCCGCTGAAAGAGCCGCGGGCGCCAATCACAGAGACTTGGTAGGTCCTGATGATGGAGAAGATGGCAGCACTAGTTTCCCCCGACAAGTTAGCAAGGTGGCCAACAAATTAGACCCAAGATGAGGGCCTCGGAAGGAAAGAGTTTTGGAGAGGGGCATCTTTGTTCTCGGACTTACAGCATCATGGAGACTGCGAGCAGGTAAAGGGCCACCGAATGCTCTTGACGAGAACGAGGTCTCGGGCGACCATGACGGGAAAGATGCAGAGGAAGAGAAACGCAAATACGGCGAAGCCTATACATCATCCACGTTAGTTCGATTAGTTTCCGGAAAGGTTCGTAGGAGCGTTTTCTTTTATCGTACCTCCTTGGAAGTAAGCCGTCGCCAACTCGGTCTCCCCGTCGACGCACTGGCCATCTACAGTCTGATCCCAGAGCTTCTCGAGAGGGCGGCACAAAAGGTTGGAGGCGAGGGCGAAGGCGAGGTTGACGAGAGCGAGAAGGAGAATGAGCATGCCCAAAAGACATTCCACGGCCTCCGGCGGCCGAGGGTTCGGAGAAAGAAGAAGCAGATGGAAATGGTGCCAAGAGTCGTGCCAAACATGAGCCAGGGCTTCGCTAGGTAGTAGAATTGCATGGCTCGTACGGGGTTCCCTATCGAAGTAGCCTCGACGGAAGCGAAGATCATGGAGACAAAACCCATAACCTGTAGAAAAGAGAAGGAAAAAAAGACGCTTGTTAGAATAGTTTTCTTTTGATTTGAAACCCCGCCTCCCCTTCTTCCCAAAGCCAAAGAGTAGTGTCACTTACCATAGAGACGATTACGGAATAATCATCCCACCACAACCCCCGATTCGCCTGTTTTCTCGCCATAAACCTCACTCCGCAGGTGCCGATGGCAAGTACTGTAGAGGTGACTGAGATAGCAATGAGGGCCTGCCCTCGACTGATCAACAGTTCATCCCCAGAAGCGTCCATGATGAAAGGAATTAAAAAGGTATTAAGGTTAAATGAGAGAGAGAAAAGTACGGTTGCGTGATGGCGGGCGAGTTATGGCGGGAGTGGAAAGGTGAAAGAGATGGCCTATATTGGCTCGATCATGTCTCGGTTCGTGATTGTTCTCGCCCTTCGCCGTACATCCTTTGCCCAGTTGTTCGAACTCGTTGCCCTTCTATTCTAAAAAAGTGTTCGCGTGTATGTTGGTTTCGCTTCTGGCTGGTCGTGCTTGTTGATGCAACTCTCAAGTCTGTCGTGTGTAAGTCAGGTCGCCCCGTAAAATCGTGCTGGATAGGTGAAGCAAGTAGTAATAGACAACTCTAGATGCGTCAAGTGAACAAGCGTAAGACAGGACGAAAAATTATACGTGATTAATAGGTGAGGAAAATAGAGAAAATTGAAAATATGAATGTAAGGCGAGGGTGGGAAAGAAGAAGCAAGAGAAGAGGAGAGGAGCGAAGGGTAGATGTGAGAAGGTGGGATGATCCTCGAGTTGAATGGTCCAAATGGCATGCGGAATGTAAAGAGCGGGTTAAACGGGGTGTCCGCATGTGTGTATGCATCTACCCTACTCTTCTTTACTCTATCTCTTCCGTTCTCTTCGTCACACACCCAAACACGCCCTGTTCTCTTATTCTTCTGGAAGGGTGCGGAGAAAAAGGCACGACATGGGCGCAGTGTGCCCGGGGCGAGGTACGTACTTGATTGGACAGAGGTGCGGTGGGAAGGAAAAAACGGAGAGACGGCGAGGTAGATCAGACAGGACGGCTCTCGCGCACAAGGTTTAGGGATAAACTGAGATCGAATCCAACCGGCCATTACTTTCCCCAGAGAGAGGGAGAGAGAGAGAGAGCCAGGGCCGGGGCGCGCGACCTTTGGGCTCTCACCAGACTGATCGCCGTTGCACAGTTGGGGGTCATTGAGCCAGTGACAAGGGCCGGGAAGGGAGACCGCATGCAGTTTTCAAGCCACAAGGGGGCGCGCCCAAGAGAATGAGTGAGGGAGGAAGGCGAGGCCGTGGTGTATTACGACGTTCCCAATCAAGCCCGCGCGCGAGGGTGCTGCCCGGGTGCCCTATTACGTGCAGGGCGAGGCAAAGGGTGAGACTGCTTTGGGCATGGATTGTTGGAATGCTCACTCGAATGGGGCAATCAGCCACATTGGGAGACAGCGCATCAACGAAGGCCTGACACCCGGCCGGGGAGGGTCGGGGATATGCGGCAAAGAACGGCGTGTAAATGCGAAGGTAGGCTGGCGGGCGGTTTCGGGTGTGGGCACAGGCCTGGTCGGGCAACGCGATTGGCGGGTGGGGTTATGAGAACGGCGATGAAACGGCGGGATCGACGTGGATGAAGTCGAAAAGACATGAACCAAAAAGAATGGTTCGAGGAACAATAGGCCTGGCCTGGCACTTTTCTCCATTGGTTATATTGGCCATTTCGAGAGACGGATGCCCATGAATGGGTAGGTTCCAAGGGAGTTTCGTTTTGCCCGTTAGCACATCCACGAGGCTGTCCTGTGGCTCCAAACGCCCGTTAGCCAGTAAATTGGCGAGAGAGTGAGGTAAAATTGATTCAAACCAAGAACCATAGATTCAATCCTCCGGCCTGCAATTCCCGCAAGGGCAACAGAAACCGATAAACGATTAATACATACGTGCTTAGGACTGTAGATTATTAGTGCTCGATCCAATATATCCCCAGAGGCGGAAAAAGCTGCGAGAGCGATTCTTCCAGCTTTGGCTGTGCGGTTCAATTTCACTTGAAAGACTCCAGACAAGTTCTTGATCAGTCTATCAATGTAGCTTGTGTCATTGGAGATACTGTAGTACCATTGCCAGCCAACACTTTCGAGCCCGATGGGGTAGGAACGGTGGACTGAGCGAGGGACAAGCTATTCTCTCGTTCGCTCCTTCTGTCATCGAGAGTCGTGCCTGGTAAACCGTTCGAACTCGGTTTCTCTTTCTTTCTTTTTCTTTTTCCCCTCATCATCATGAAAGGTAACGCTGTGTTCGAGCCTAGACCTTGTCATCCGGTGTCTTATCTACGATCGCGAGGCCCCAGCTGTCTCATCTAATCTAGCGCAGCATTTGTGGAGCTATCAAATTCAGGGACCGTAGGAAGCGGGAAACCCGGCCTTCGTGGGGTAAAGCATACACATCCATGGATGGAGGGAGAGGTGAAGTCGAACGACAAAGCGTCCGTTCATTTTGTTCGGGGAGGGGAGAGAGACCATTTGACCCTGTCTGTTTCGCTTCCACTTACACCTGCTACCCATCTCTTTCTGCTTGTGCCCCCAAAAAAAGAAGGAAAAAAACCCCTAACTTCTCCAAATAGGGATGGCAGTCGTGCATGCATGACGGGAAGGCAAGGGACAGTACAGCAGGCACAAAAATAGAAGAGGGTGTTGGGTGGGATACAACGCCAGAGCGCTGGCGGTGGTATGATCGACGCCTCAGAAGCTTCCAAAAGGCTTCTTTTTCTGCAACTGCTCGCTATTCCCCGCCCGCCAGCGAAGCGAGGAACGTCAAGTTCCCTCCCCCTCCCTCACCCTTCACCCAACAGTCCCTGACCTTGTGAAACGCGGAGACAGGCGAGGCTCACACGTCCGATCCTCTCGTTCTCTAACTTTATTATTTCTTAACTCCCTTTACTATTGTTTGTGTGTGCCCCCTTCACCCTCACCCTCACTCTCCGAGCCCTGTGGCGCAAGAATGAATTTGAGCGTGCACAATGATCGATGCACACATGTTCACGCGCGAGCGAAGCGAGAGTGTATTAGTGCATTGACAAACGAGGGATCACGACGAGGTGATCAATCAGTGCCCTTGTTTCCCGCCTTGGCCGCTTCCCCAGTTCAACTGGCGGGAACAGCGCCTTCAAGGGAAAAAAAAAAAAAAAAAAGAAGGCTCGTCAGATCCGCGATCGAAACAAGCCAACCTGCCCCATCCGTCGATGTCTAGCATTTCTTTCTCACTTCTCTATTGACGTCGCTCTCAGCCCGGGCGAGAGATATCCATGTGCAGAAGGGAAATGCACGCGAGCATCTCCCTCCAGCCTCAGGTGGCAGCGTTGAACCAAAATCAAGTATGTGGGCTTTCGAATGCTGAGCCGGTCCTGCTACAAGTGGTGGCCAGCTAAGGGGGAGACGGCTTCCTGTGAAAGCTTAATGCAAGAACCCAAGACGCACCGACTCGACATTATAATATTGAGCACGCTCAAATTGGATATAGGCAACCTTTCCAGATTTATGCTGGCTTGCATTTTTGCAAAGGCCAATCGGATCTGCAATGCGGCTCTCCTCAACCCGGGAAAGGGTTCTGCATCCGTGAAACATATAAATGGGATATATGTCAAGATCAAACGGCTACCACCCTCCGAGATCAAGCCTCAATCAAGCCTCAGGAAAAGTTAGCCCGCCCACCCGCGAGGCTAAAGAGGAGCGAGAGAGCGAGAGAGAGGGTGAGAGAGGTCTTTGACTCGCCCCAAAGCGCAAGCGCAAGGCCGGGCTAGGTTCGCACGGCCGCTCCGACTTCATGCCTCGCCTTATTCCCGCAAAACTAGGGTTGCTATTGACTAGCAACGAGGAGCCAGTCGCATCTCACGATTCATTAAGGGCATGGGGGAGCGATAGTACAATAGTAAGAAACGAGGAAGGGGACGGGGGTTTGTTCCTCTTCTTCTTCGTCCTCCGTTAAGATCTTCTTTTGGGCGCGAGACATGCTCGAGGCACCAAACCCACCTACTTACATGCAACATGCATCGCAACCTCTAACAAGGTGTCTACATTCCATGATCTTGCCCTCCACACCAGGTGAGATCGCTGGAGCAGTGATGGGCATCGGCAATAAGTAACAAACGCAGATACTTGCCTCCCTATTTGCAGAAACGCTCACACCGCCCCCCTCTCTCTCCTCCCCCGTCCCCCAAGGCCGCTTGGTCGTTGGGCTAAGGGCGCCCACCTTGGTAAAGGCCTCGGTTGCCATATTCGCAATTTCTTTCTTGTCTGCGTTTCCACTTGCGCCGATTCTTTAGAAGTCGTGCCTTTCAGGTTTTCGGGTCCTAGGTGTGCAATGGACCCCTGGAATTAGTCTTTTTCCAAGATTCCATCTTCGTTTCTTCCTCGTTATGCCTTGTCAGCACTTGCCACTCTCGCCTCTGACGAACTCCAGATATGTTTCGACCCCATGCTCGCGTGCCTCGCCTAGTGATGCTGATCACCCTCAGAGCTACTGCACGCGTGAGAGGGCAATAGAGAGATCGAGTGACGGAGAGAGAGAGAGAGAGAAAGAGCGGTAACTGGATGCGGGGAAAGGGTGATCGGAGAATCCAACAAAACATGAACATGAAAACTTGGTGCTAATTCGACGCGGACAGGTATATTCCGAATATAAACTTGCTAAACGTTTCAACTCTTAACCTCGTGGGCCAGACGCTCCCATTTGTAATTCACTGCATCGACGCGACCGACATGCATTGATGCTGATCAACCGTTTCAACACAATTCACAGCGTACAAGCAGAGAAAACCCTTCTCGGAGCCCAACACCCCCCCACCTTTCCATCCTTCTACAAAGATATACATTAACATGATAGAACATTACCGTGCTTTCCTCTTTCCATACACCACCCACACCATCGCTGCCGGGCCATCTAAAACCTGGCCTTGACAGCTGCTTGCCTGGCCCATGCACACGAGCCCTCTTTACTCGCGACCTTGGCCAGGTCCGCCTCGGTCACGCCCCGGGCTTCCACAGCCGGGTTATAGCCGACACCGCTAACCTTTGCGATGTCGGCGTCGCTCAGGACGGCGGCCTCCTTGCCGTCTGCCCTTCCGTAGACGGTGACAACGGCGGCACCGCCGAGGCCGAGGTTGTGCTGAAGGGCCCACTTGGTACCGGGCTTAGAGGCGTACTTGGAACCAGAGCCGCCGACGGCACGGTTGTTGGCCCAGCCGCGGAGGTGCCACACGAGCTCGGCGCACTGGGCGATGCCGGTGGCGCCGAGAGGGTGACCCTTGGAGATGAGGCCGCCGGAGGGGTTGACGACGTACTTGCCGCCGTAGGTAATGTCGCCGGCGCGCACGAGCTCGTGGGCCTTGCCGACGGAGCTGAGGCCGAGAGCTTCGATGACGACCATTTCGTTGGCGGAGAAGCAGTCGTGCAACTCGACGACCTGGACGTCGGCGGGGCTGATGCCGGCCTGGGACAAGGCGATGTTGGCGGCGCGCTTGGTCATGTCGTAGCCCATGAGGTCGATGGCGCTGCGGTTGTACATGCTGGGGGCGTCGGTGGTGAGGGCCTGGCCGGCGACGAGGATGGCGCGGTCGCGCAGGTGAGGGCGGGCGTCGAGGAAGGCCTGGGACACGAGCACGGCGGCGGCGGCGCCGTCCGAGGTGGGGCAGCACTGGAGCTTGGTGAGGGGCTCGTGGATCTTGGGGGAGGCGAGGACCTGCTCGAGGGAGTAGACGTCTTGGAATTGGGAGTAGGGGTTTTGCGGGGAGTGGGCGTGGTTGATGCGGGCGATTTCAGCAAAGTCCTCGACCTTGGCACCGTACCTGTGTTGTTTCTTAGTTGGTGTCCTGATTTGCAGTTCGTTTTTGGGGTAAGGGAGGGAACCGGAAAGAAACCCGCGCGGGTCAGAGAACTTACTTTTCCATATATTCCCTACCAGCGTTGCCAAACATTTGCGCGGCGCCGGGAGCCTTGGTGACGCCCCTCGTCTCGGCCATCATGGCGACGGTGGGACCGAGGGGGCTAGCCCTGTCGTCCCAGAAGCCCTTGAGGCTGCCGCTCATCATCTTTTCGAAGCCGACGACGAAGACGCAGTCCTGGCCGGCGGAGATTAGGTGCGGGCCATGGCGAGACCGGTGGAGCCGGTGCTACAGTTGTTGTTGACGTTGTAGACGGGGATCTGGGTCATGCCGAGCTGGTAGACGACGCGCTGGCCGCAGGTGGAGTCGCCGTAGCAGTAGCAGGCGACGGCGGACTCGACGTCGTCGTAGGTGATGTGGGCATCGAGCAGGGCCTTGACGCCGGCCTCGAGACCCATTTCCGGGTAGTCGACGCCGGAGCCGGGCTTGAGGAACTTGGTCATGCCGACGCCGAGGACGTAGACGGGCGGGGGCGCCTTGGGGGTCTTTGTGGCGGGGGCCATTGTGAATGAGGAGAGGTAGGTAGGCTTATATGTTTGTAAGGGATTATATATATATATCTATTCACTGACACTTATATGGGCTGGTGTCTCGTCGGCAATAGTGTGAATGGAGGAGGGCGGAGGCGGTGGAGGTGAACGACAAGCAGCCCGGTATTATACTCGTACAATTCAGAGGGTTGCTTTTTATCTTTGGAGGGGAAAGAGGAGAGGAGAGGGAAGAGGAAAGAAGCGAAGAAGAGATGAAGATGCTAGTGCCTTGCCAATCGCCACCCTTTTGAAGAAAATATGGGGAAGCGACAAGCACGGAGACAAGCTTGAACATCTGACAGCCCGTCGGATTTCCAAGAATGCCCGTCTCCTCTCCTCCTCGTCTCTCCCTAAAAAAAAGGGAAAGCTAAAAAAAAGCCCACTAGCTACTTCCGGGCCCACCACCACACTTTCCTCTCGTGTGTGTATGTTTGCCGTCTCGTCCACCCCCAGAGCCGAACACTCAAGGCCCTTGTTGGTGTTTTGCCCCGCCCCTTCGAGGTGGTTGAACCCCAAACGTCCGAGCCCGTGGTCGAAGGGGCGGGGGTTCAACGTTCTATTCGTCGCTGTCCCCCGCTTCTCCTCCCTCTCGCAGTTCGTCTCTTTTGGCTTGTGCTGCTGTTACCCCACACCCAAAAAACCGGGCTTCCACAATCCGCTTGTGCCGAGGCACGATGCGACGCCCCGGATTAGTAGTCCAGGATGGGGCACAGAGCCATTGGGGAAAAAAAGGTACTAGAGGTTGCAACGTCACCGGAGCGTTGGTTTCTTTTGGGACTATCCTTGATGTCCTGTCGTTCGTCTTTTTCTTGTCTTCGTTTTCGAGGACTCGATTTTCTTTTCTAGCTAATAGATACACACGGAAATTGAAGGACGGTGAATCTTTATCCCTTCAAATTATATTTACAGCGGAAAAGCATAGTCAACGGACCGGGAATAGAGTGTGTTGGAGCTTGTATCTGCTTGTTCCGTGACAGAAGACCAACCACCTATTCCTGGACCGCTCCGGGTCCCGGGTTAGCGGATGGGACCACCGCCGGCCTTCAAACAGTGTCCTCTTCACAATAGACGTCATCCATAGATACATGTATCAATTGAAGGAACCATTCTTTGAGTCTTCCACGCTGGCTATCACGCACAATCCAAGTTCTCGTGCGTTATACTCACCTCCTCATTTCCCAAAACCTTTGTCCGATATTTCCAAGGCCGAGAGCACCCAAATAGCCCCAAACTCAGCATGACGAAGAGCCCACCTGTCAATCTCCCACGACGGGCATAGCGCTCCCCGGAAAGATGGGGCTACGCTGGCCTTCCCCGCAGTTTCCTTAGCCCCCTCCACCCCCAAACCCGTTAGCTCTGCTCTGCTTTGCCTTCTCCTCTGCTGATCGTGGATGGATTAGGGCAACCGAGCAGGTACGACTTCCAGGCGTTTCTCGTTGAACCGAGGTTTCTCTTTCTCCTTGCCGTTCCCCGCGTTTGCCCACCGGCCCGCTCGTCGTGTGTGTGTACGTGTATGCGAAACCAGTCTTCATTGGCATGCCCACCACAGCTCATCTTTAGTAGCTTGCATGTTGCGTACAAAGTAAAAGACCATCTTGCCTCTCCAGTCCCTCAGATTAAACATCCTCCTCATACACAGTTCCTCGACAAAATCTCACAAGCACAGGTAGGAAAAGTCCTCTCTAGCCAGAGGCTTTCTCCCATCATAGGGGGCCATGTAAAACCAAAGATTGTTATATCGAGCAAGCCTTGAACCTGCGCAACCCTGAGCCTTTATTATTCATTCAGAGAGGAAAATAGAGGAGGAAAAAAAAAAAGGAGAGAACGAAAAAAGATGAAAAAGATGAAGAGCCATCTTTCAATGTTGCATAGGAAAAGAAACCCCCAAAATTCCCCTTTTTGTTTCCTTCCTAAAAAGCTCAAGTATCCTTTGTTATCCCAAGTCCCTGAATCTGATACGGCATGCCATGCCAGTTCCCAATGAAAAGAAAAGGAGAAGATAAAGAAAATGGTGACACTCCTCTTCGCCAGCCTCCACTCGGCCAAAATTTGAAAAAGAAAATGGGAAAGAAACATTGAAGAGGGACGAGAAGACCCCAAGCTGCTCCACGGTGTACATGTACTCAGCTTCGCTCCACCAGCCAGCCCACTCACTCTTTCGAGCCATAATGGGTTACTAGTAGATCGACCTCAGCTCAAACAGACGAGGAAGCCAATACAAAGTTGGACTGGACCGTACGTGAGCAGAGCAAGCCGCAGCGTCCCCGCATCCCCTCCTTACACGCAGATATAGAGCAAACAATAAAAGAAACCCGCTTCCAAAATGTGGATCCGTCTCTCAATGGGAGAATAAAGTCGAAGAAGAAGAAGAAGAAGAAGAAGATGAGACATGATGGCGAAGAAAAGAAGGAGAAACAACGTTATAAAGGGGATGCCTCATAAGAGACAAATGTAAAAACACCGGCCACCCAGAATTCCCAGCCAGAGTTGCCTCTAGTGCCATATACACCAGATACAAAGCGCCACGCCTATCTAGGCACAAACAACACTTCAAACCATCACAGGATCAAAATAGAGTGACGGGGTAGACACAAGGTAGTATATAGTGAGAGGGTGTGAGAAAGTGTGTCTGCGTGTGTGTGTGTGTGTGTGTGTGTGTGTGAGAGAGAGAGAGAGAGAGAGAGAGAGAAACTGCAAATGAGAGGAGGAAGAGAGAGGAAAATTGAGAGAGTTCCAACAACCGAAGAACGACAGGCGTGCGGTACACACAAAGCCCGGCTCGCTTACGTCTTCGTGCCGTTGGTGTCCGCCCACGAACCCGAGCCATACCCCCAGTTTTCGCACGTCGAGATGCTCCCCGGCGGAGGTCCCCCGTCGGCACATTCGATAGCCCATTGTACGGAAAGGGCCGTGGCGTCCTCGGCTGCGGATAGTGGTCAACCCCGCTTACCGCGTGGTGGTGCTGGCCTGCGGATGGTCCCAGAACCAGCCCCATCGCCTCTGGGCGGTGTAGCCCGGCAAGCTCCGTCATCTTGGCATTCAGCGAGTCTGCGCTGGTGTTGGTGCTGCGCTGGAGGCCCTCCAGCACGAGTTGGAGCCCGCTGACCATCGATTCCTCATCGGCCTCCCGCGGGTACCGCTTGATGCAGTTGAACACCACCGCGAGGGGATGATGTCCTTGAGGTCGCACATCGCCGCCTTTCGAACTAGGAGATCTAGAGTCTTTTGCACCGTCGCGATGAGCCGTGACGGCGTTCCCGGCATCACGTCGTCCAGCTGGTCCGTTGGTCCGTCGGGCGTCATACGGCCCGACACGCCGTTCATCGGGCTCTGCCGGACAATGTTGAGAATGTGCCAGCAGATGCTAAAGGCGGCCTGGATGATGTCTTGCTTGAGGATCTGGATATACATATCGCACGTCTCGTCGTAGTGGGGCAGATTCGGATCCATCTCGTCCAGGTACCTCAGGATAACTAGGCACGATCGTAGATATACTCGTGTAATCTCCTGCGGGGCGTCCGGGACCCCCAAAACGAACGGGCGGTAGAGCGCAAGCAGCGGCCGTCGAACATGCATATCAATCACCACACGCCATCGCCACTCCTTGCTCTTGTTCCTATCAATGTACCCATATCGGGGAAGAGAAAACTGAGGTCTTCAATGTACTTGTCGAGCTTCTGGCCCAGTTCCAAGACCTCGCCGTAATCTGGGAGCGTCTCCACGCGGTTCACCAGGTGCGTAACCTTGATTCGTAGCGGCAGCGTCAACGTGGCGTACACTTGTATTTGGCACTCGGTCGAGTGCTCAATCGGCTTTTCCCGCGGAAGCATCTTCATCTCCTCAAAGAGGTCGGCGTCGTCCAGGTTTCTCGGCGGCTTGCACGTGAAATCGCCTTCACGCAGCAGACAGGGCAGGTTGCTCGCAAGGGAGATGTAGAGGTCCATGTCCAAGATGGTGAACCACAGCCGCCGCCTCATCTCTCCTTGGAACGCGCTCACCTGTGTAAACTCGCCCGGGTCGCGATGCAGACCCATCGTCATGGCCATCCGGACAATGAACCCGAGCTGTGACCAGGTTTCGTGGAGATTCGAGAGCGACGTGAGCCTTCGCGCGTGGAGGAGCAGCAGTTCGGTTTGCAGAGTACTAAACTCTACCAGCTGCTTCCCTCGCAAGTTGTTGAGCCAGGTGCGAACCAACGCGCACGCCGTAGGAATGTTAACACCGTCCCGGCGCTCGTGGCTCAGACCCTTGGCGCTGGCAACGAATCGGGAGCCGATGGCAAGGACGGTGAGCAGCTGCGGAAGGAAGTATTCGTACTGGACTTGGTTCTCCCAGTAGCGGTTGTACTGTGTCTTAAAGGTCGGTACGTGCACCATCCTGTAGATAATTTCGTTGGTGTCGATATACGCCGAGAGAAGCCTATCGCAGACGGCTTTAGAGGGCATGATGTCCGTCATCCTCTTTTGTATCGGTAACATGGAATCGACGAAAACGGGGATGGGCGCAATCGCTTTTCGGGTTTCGTCTCGTAAAAGCTTCTGGAGAGCTTCAAGCCGGTCGAATATATCACGAAGGCTGTCGATCCTCTTGCAGTTCACGAGGTAGTGTTTCGCTTCGTCAAACTAGAGAAAACCGGAGGAATGGCCAAGAAGCGGCCGGGGCTTTCGTTAGCGATACAATACGTAAAGGGCAGCCTCTAAGCCTCAGCCTTGTCCCTTTCCCCCCCCACGGCCCCAAGGGCCTTTGAGAAAAGCACTTACCAAGTTGACCATGACGCGAGTACTGCTCTGCCCAAAGAATCGAGTTCGTACCGCTTCCCCTTGACGGAAAGAGCCCGCAACGTCTCAGGCGGCGCCGTCGCTAGCTGGGCCTTCATCCCAGCCAGCTCCATCCTGGCCGGATTCCCGCCGAAATCACATGTTTTTCCAGCCGGTCAACCCTCATGGCTAGCTCCTCCAATGTCATGCCGGCGAGGACGGCTACATCGCCATTCCTCATGGGGGTGCTAAAAGGCGGTTCGAGGGGCCCCAGCAATTGCGAGGGCTGTTGCCCCGTCGGCGTGGGGTGGCAAGGGCGTTTCTGTGCTCGTTGTCCGTCAACGGTTTCTCCGTCGGACAGGTCCGAGGTGTTGCCACCGTCCTGGTCGGCGGCATATTTGCATTGTCGGCTCGATTTTTGGCATTGCGAACACGGGCAGGATCGATCGCATTTGAGCTTGCGCTTGCGACATTCGGTGCAAGACTTGACGGGCCGAGGCCGTTTAACACTTCGTGGTTGTGTCGGCGTTGGCTGTAGCGCCGCCGAAGCAAGGGAGGCAGATTGCTGCGAAGGGGGCTGTTGGGACTGTTGCGAGGCCTGAGGGGTCTGGGAGAAGGGTCGCGAGTGCTGGGGGACGGTGTCCGGAATGGAAGGTGCTTGGGAATGCGACCGGTCGTACGAGCCGTTGTTCATCGGGGGTATCACCGAGGCGGACATGGTCGAAGGTCGAGTTTCGCCCACCGGCCCGGTTACCCAACTATCTGCGGGTAACAAAATTCGGACTGCAGATTGGGAAACGAAGACAAAAGGAAAGGGGAAAAAGAAGACAAAGGGGAGGGTTGAGACGGAGAGGGCGAGGGAAAAAAAAAAGAACTTCGCCGAGAAGTGACCCTGGCACCGTGCCAAACCCAGCCGTTCAAGGATCACTCCAGCTTAAACACCCCCTCCCCGTATTTTGCTCTCGATTTCTGCAAAGTAGGTCGCCCTCGCTTCGGATGGTGGAGAGAGTAGGAAAGGAGGCTTTCCAATTTTCCTTCTGGAATGGCGTCTCAATCGGCCAAAGCAAAAATAAAATAAAATAGAATAATGCCTGACCCTATTTTGCAAAGTTGACGGAAGCCAGGTGAAAGAAGACAAGAAAGGGTCGGGAGGATTTGCTCCGCTGAAGACTTGGGGTGTCGGACGAGTATATTGAGCCACCCTCAGGTCGGGACCAGGGCGACCTTCGGAGAATTATCGAACTGGCTCACCCTTTCCGCCCGGCACCGAATATCGTTGCCTGTGTTGAAGGGAAAGCGGAAGCAAAATAAACCAGGGAATTGGAAAGGGAAAGGCAAAGAGAAAAAGAAGAAAAGAAAAACCAAGATGATTTGCTTTCAAAATACCAATACCCAATAAACCAACATTGGAGAAGGGCAGGCAAAAAACGAAAAAAGAAAAGAAAAAAAAGAAATGGAAAAAGAAAAAGGAAGAAGAAAAAGAGTTTAATAGGGGGTAGCGAATCAAGAGCGAGAAAATACAGAACCAAGCAGGAGAGCCTCCTGTCGGCCCAATTTCTCGTCTTGGTTCTCAACGACAAGACTCGGGGACACCGGCTCCGTTGCTTCTGGCAGGGTCCGATCTGAAGAAAAATAGAAAGGCGCCAGTTGGGTTGGGGGCTGGAGGGAAGGCGCAAGACTGGCAGAACCAGGGGGTGGGTGGCAGTGAGCTTCGGGTTAGATTCAGGCGCAGCAGCACTAGGTTAGGGGAAGGGGGAGGGGTTGAAAAAAGAAAAAGAAGAAAGGAAAAAAGGAACAACAGTATAACAAGAGCCAAGTCAAGGGAGACTAGAGCCAACCGAAGTCAAGAGTACGCAACCTGCCCGCATGTGGCCACGAGGCCCAGAAACAAAAAGATCAATGACCTGGAGCTCGAGCGGAGATGGGAGATTTTGTCGTTGGATGGGTTCAATGTTGTGAGAGAGAAGAGAACCTAAGAAAAGGGCGAGACAGGGAGAATCCAACACATAACGCAATACTTAGTAGCGCTGCCATAATACTTGTAGATTGATCTTGATTAATACATCAAGTACTTGTATGAACTCCTGATGTGGTTCTCAAAACCCGATGGCCGACCTCTCAAGCTCCGACAGACAATGGAGAGTTTGGCTTGGCCTGGGTGGCGTTGCCTGGCATGCAGGCTCGGGAGATGCAACGCTTCGGGCTTGGGCTAGTTTTGGGACCACCTCCTCCACAACCACCACCACCACCACCACTCCCCGGGCGGCTTAGCTCGAGATCCTAGATCTGTGGACGTTTAGTTGGCCTGAAAAGTTGAAACAGCACCTGCGTCAAACATCAATTATTGGCGTCTCTGTTGGCCGAGGTTTAAACCCACGAGCTCTCACCTCTCCCAGGGACGGCCATCGCTCGCCATGCCATCAGAGATTGGATACTGAACAGCGGGAATTGCATTGAGAATGGACACTGGTCTAAGCCTAGATTAGATTGATCAGTGGATTGAAGGTACGAAGTATAACGGACCCTGGGTCCATCCAGTCTGTCCCAGTCATACTCCTCGAGGGCATACATCACCGACGTCCGACCCTGGAAAGCACTCAGGTAGGTTAACCTGCAATTGATTCCCTTCGATACCAGCCTCCATTCTGGAAGGCATCTATTCCATCCGTCATAGTTTCACTATGCTTGTTTATGGGGGCCTGGAACACGAGCAATGGTCGACGTGATTGCCGTGTGCGCTACAAGACTTCCAGCGCCATGAGTGATGCTCATGGGACGAGGGTAGCCGGAAATGACATCGAGAATTATATTTGTATGCGGCAGAAGCAATGTTGTGACAAGTAATACATCGTTCGTACATCCGTCAATGAGAGAGACGGAAGCTGAGCTTGGCTTGCACGCCGGGCTTCAGCCATGCCCGTGCCTTCCCGCAAAGCAAGCCTCTTTTTTTTTCTTCTTTCTCTTTCACTTTTTCTTTTTTTTTAGCCCCCACTTCTACAAGTACGAAGTACTCCTTGCTTTCCCTTTTCTGCTCCGTGGGGGAAAGGGCGAAGAGCACTTCCTAACCCGTCAAGAAGGGTCACCTACGGTGATGACTGACCAAGCTCAATATCATATGTCACCGATTTTCAGCACCGAGCACCTGAACCGACAGTCGTGGCGCAACCCATGTTGCACCAACCTGTGGCTGCATGGGGGAGTTCCGATGAACAGCCAGTTGAAGGTCCCCTCCGGCATCCAACGAGGTAATACAAGACCATCTCCGAGGCTACAAGTGGGGGAGAAAGAGCTCTGGTGCTTGGGCGAAGGCATTAAGCAGAAGGAACTTTGAAGAATAAAATTGAAACTCCTTCACAACAAGGCAGAAGGAAGGTGGTGATAAGCTCCCCGCCCGACGAATGGATACTTCTCGGGGTTTCACTAGTGGATAAGGAAGGAGCCGACGGTGCTCTGAAATAAAATGGGAGCTTATGTTAATTGCCTTCAATGGGGCCCTCGATCAACAGCTGGGGTTATAGTGTAATAATACTTGTCAATGGATCGGATGCTGGCCCACTCTCAACACTCAGCTCTTCATTGGGTTAGACAGGCACTCAAAGCCCCACACCTCCACCTCCCCTTCCCTTCCCCCAAGCCCTCCCTCCTCTTTTCCAAGGTGGCCCTTTCCCACCACTCCAGAGGCACAGCAGCGTTCCTTTGCACTGGGACCTGGAGTCTTGGAGGCCAGGACGGACCCGAGCTTGTCAAAACATCTCCGAAAACCCGCCCTGATTTGCTGGCAGCTGGGCAGCCACACACTTCAAGAGCGTCCAGCGTCCTTGCGCATCCATAGCTCATCCAGGATGGGATCTTTCGACCGACCCCGGATCCCCTCAATGCTGTAGGCCTCTCGGCGGAAGCACAGGCGTCCGCACCCCTCAAATTGATTTCCTCCAGAGCTCTCTTTTCCCCTTCATCAGTCGAGGAATTGGCCTCTTCATTCTGTGCGCGACGTCTGCCCGAAATTGATTAGACCCTGCATCCCAGCTTCGTGGACACCCTTCTCCGACCTCTGCATTACATATTCTTCCGTGACCCATGGGCTAGAGGGGAGGCACGCACTCTTATCACTACTCTCAACTAACACACTAGTGTACTCATACCTCGGTTCTCTTGAGGTATACTCTTTAGTTCCATCATGCTCGGCGATTGACGGGGTCTTCAATTGGCAAGCTGAACCTCATGCCCTCGTTTTCTCGATTCCACGAGCAATCAATTAGTCAAGAGGCTCGGTATCTTCATCATCATGAACCAAACTATTCGGCAAGTTGCTGTTCGCAAGACTCTCCGATTATGTGGCCACTTCACGGATGTTTGCTGTCAAGCAAGGGCTCCGCTCCCTAGTCGAGAAATACATATAATCATTGACCAGCATCTTGTTGCCGTCTTGGAAGCCCTCAAGCTTGGGCCAGCCACAGTGGAATGCCAGGTCCATCCTTTCCATGGATTGATTGCAAATTGACGCGCGTGGGCCCTTCCGCAGCTCCCAATTTGTCCGGGGAGGGGAGGTTGCCGATTTTCCTCGATCATCATCGACGTCGATTGTTATTTGCCAGCGTCGAGACATGCTGCAAGACCTGATGCCGACTCAACCAAATTTAAAGGCAATGGTTGCCGCCTCGCCGTACCAGCAATACGAGAGGGGCTCCCGTCAGCTTGTCGGCCTGTTTTAGTGGCTGGCCTTCAGGTGAGTTCAACGATTTGCCTCATGCCTGGACTTGCCTGTACTTGGGTTATTACGAGGCAATACTCGTGCCACGCACCCCCGCACTGGCCCGTTCGCTAGATTACCCTTCGATTCGTTATCTCTAGGTGCGCCTTGAAGGCTGGACGCATCATTTTTTGTCGCAAGATCCGTTGATAGATACCTTCGCTTGTACACAGGTCCATGGCAGTGATGAAAGGAAGAAATTGGAGAGGCATTTGTGCCACTCGTCCATCGGAGATGGGAGAACATCAGAATCATCAAGTTGGTGTGTGTCGGCCGAGCCGATACTCGCGTCTCAAGCCCCAATCAATCAGCCATCTCCGGGTCTCCGGGCCCCTTTCAATTGCGATGAACATGTTTCCTGCATCGCAAGCCGCCCCCAAGCCTCCACGAAAGAATCTATCACCAGACGTAAACGGGACAGGCGAACCCCGTAAGGGTATGAAAGCCACTCTTCCTGTCCTTCCCCTTTACCATCACGCCTCAAGTCCATCGTAAACTTCATCAAACCTTTTTACTTGGTGTAGCATGCAAAGGCAATTCCCTCCGTCTACACGCCGGGGGAGTAGGGGGTGGTTCAGTGGGTGGGGAAGAGCGGGTACCCGCTGCAGGCACAAGAGCGGGCAGCGGCAACACTTGTGAGATGCAATGTATGGAGGTGGGGAAGAAGCACGATTTCGGTGGGAATAGGATTGCAAGAAGGCCGACTTCTCCGTTCGCCGTTCAGCTCGGCCGGGAGGTGCGCACAAGGCCCAGGTCCTATCCAACGCTTTACCACGGGAAAAGGAAGAGAGGGTCTACTTGCCACTGGCCCATTGTTCCTATTTTCTTGCAAGCGAAAGAGAAGCGACGCGTACAAATGCCGCGTGTTTCGTTTTCTTTCTTTTTTGCCTTCTCTCTTCTATTAACCCAAAAATTCGGTTGGCTGCAAAGCAGCCAGCCCTCGTGTTTCGCGTAACCTCTCGAATCTTGTGTCTCTTTTCGTCCTGACCCGCTTCACCCTCCCTGCCGCCCAAGAAAAAAAAATCGTTCACATCCGGCCATCGGGCCTGTCACCTCCGGGAGCTACAGGTCTCTTTTATCGGCCGTGCTAATTTCAGAGACCTCTCCCGTTTCCCTTGCCCCTCCTCGTTCCCTTCACCCTCTTTAAAAGGGACCAGAACAAAAAAGGGGGTGGGCTTGAATACGGCCGGTCTACCTTTTTCTCGCCCTCCCTTGTTACTTTCGGCCGAAAGAAAGCAAGTTGTGAAGAAATGGAATCGGCGTTGGGACCACCCAAAAATATTCTGCCTTGGTACGTCTTGCTGCGGTACATAAAAACTCTAGACCGGCGAGGGCGGCAACTCTCCCTTTTGTTGTTGAAGTCTAGAAACAGATGAAGGGGGACGAATATTTTTGAGAGCACACGTACAAACAAGATTACTTACACAAATAAACTTTTTTGAAAAAGATTTTGCAAAGAAAATAAAAGAGACACACAGATGGTGGGGTGAGAAGCATGGGGGCAACTGGGGGGGATAGGCAAGGTTGCACGCACGCACGAGCCCTCGAAATCATCTCGCCTGACTGTCCGTGTGGTGTTCGCCTTGCCCGGCCGCATCGTCGTCCGCGTCGTCCGCGTCGTCCGCGGGCCACGCACCCGGCAGCCCGCTCGACGTCTGCGGCCCTTCTGCCTCGCCGGCCTCCGCGCCGCCGTCCTGCTGCTCTCTTGTATTTCGCGGCCCGCCGAGAAGATCGAGTAGACGGTTGTAAATAGAATCTTGCACCGAAGGCTGCGCCAGATCCTCCGGCCCCAGCGTCGCATCGTCGTCTTCGAGGTCGTCCTCGAAAAAGTCGTCCCCATCGCCCTCTGCGCGGTCGTCCAGGTCAAACGCCTCAGCAATGGCGGCCTCGTTCATCGCCATCTCGTCCAGGTCCGCGTCCATCCCCGCCTGGGCCCCCGCTGCTGCCCTCGCGGTAGTAGATTTCGCAGCCAATTCCTCGCCTCGGGGCTTTCTTCTTCTCCGTCCGTAAAGGCAGCTTCACCCCGTTCGCGGTGAAGATGTTGGCTGACTTGTCGGGCGGGAGGGGTCGAATTCGTAGTTGGGCTGTCTCTCGAGGTAGTGCCTTGGCACGAGGCCGAGCATCGTCGTGTTGCCCTCGAGATACACGAAACGCGCCGTCCGGAGATCCAGGACTGCGTCGGTCGCCTTCAGCACCTCCTGCTTCTTGGCCGCCTTGGCAGCGTCATTCAGCAAGCTCGTGGACCTTGGGTAGTTCCAGAGATCCCTCGTGAGCTCGAGGTAGAGCTTCGTGTAGAATGCATCCACCTCGCTCGGCGGCTGTGCTCCCCAGATAGAAGGGGTGCGTCGAGGTTCAACGACTGGAACAAGGCACAGTAGAGCCAGGGCATCGCCTCCATCGCCGCGACCAGCTCCTCTTTTGCCTTTGCATCTTCCTGTGCCTGAAGCAAGCCTAGAACCAAAGAGTTTCGGTAGTACCGAATCTCCCCGTGCAAGCTGCTGTGCGCAAACGCGTCCACGTACGACCTTAACCATTCTGACTGGTGGCTTTTGATCGCGAGGACGTGGATCAAGTGGTTCATGCCGTACGGGTCTCCCGGATCGAGGCTGAAGATGAGTTTGGCCCATTCCAGCGCCGTCCTATAGGTACCCTTGCGCATCAAGCTCTTCAAGTAATGGTATCCGGCAAGCCAAAACTGCCTATTCTCAGGCCTCTTAAAGTTGAGCCTCGCCCTTCCCCTTTCCAGATTTGTCCGGAACGTCGAGAGTGTCGCGCGACCAAAGGTGAAGAGGGCGCGCTCGCAGAGATCCGCGGCGAGCGCTTGGTTTTGGTCCTGCTTAGCGAAGCTGCTGACTTGCAGCAAGGTTGAGATGTGGTAGGCTGCGTATGGCATCGTCAGATTAGACCCAAACTCTTTGAAAAGATAATGCGCGAGGAGGGCGGATAGCTGGACTTACGAAATTGCTTGAGAAGATAGACCATCCTCATCGGGTCGCCTAAGCCCACGCAATGGAAGAAGATGGTTTGTATCACGTCGTACTGCTTCTCATGGACAAAGGCATACTCCGTCCACACACCTTCCGGGTCGACGGCCATCTCCTTCATCACCAGTCCCCCAGCCGTAGCGCGAGGCCAGTAGTCCTTGCCCTGGATAAACATATTGCGTCGTAACGTGATCTCTGGGAGTTTCCTACCAGGATCCCCCTCAAGAATGTCTCGAGGTCCACCTGGCCCCGGGCTCCCCCTGTAGAAGGCGCCTCCGCGCCGCAACGGCCTCGGCCTCCTCCTCGAGCCTCGCGGCCTCGATAACCTCTCGCCCAAAGAGGTTCTTCATCTCGTGTACAGCCTTAAGATTATACGGATCGATCTCGAGGACGTGGGCTTGCCGTAAACCCTCGTGGGCGTAAGCGTCTCCACCCGAAGACGGCCCCGCGGACCCTCCTTGGGCTCTCGGCTTGATGTTGAGCTCCTTCAGTGCCCTGTCAATTTCATCTTCGTCGGCGCCGTGCGGCGTTTCGGTCGCCTTGTCGCCACCCTGCTTCTTCTTGCCCTTTTTCTTCTTCTTCTTGTTTCGTTTAGGAGCCGTCGATGCAGGAGCAGGCTCTGATCTCTCACCGTGGGGTTTCGCGTCGCCATCGTTGCCGTCCTTCTCGTCATTATCGTCGTCGTCGTCATTGTTTTCGTCTTCGCTATCGTCACCACCAAGGGCTGCGAAGAGACTAGCCCGTGGCTTCACCGGAACAGGCTCTTCTTCCTCAGACTCGACGCCAGAGTCCCCTCTGCGGGATCAGCTGCCTTGAGCAGCTCTTGCTGCTGTCGAATCTTTCTCAGTTGTCTGCTCGACATTTTTGGTCCTGCAAGCGTTGGGAGACTCGCTAATTAAGCGTACATGGAATGTTGTATGAAATTGGAAGCCGGGAGAATAGCATTGGCACCGGATGGACTAAATGCGGGACTGGGAGGCTCAATTTGTAGTGGGGTAATTTTCTTGTCAAGATCAAAGGTGGAAGGTGGGGGTGGTGCGGGTGCCTCCAAAGCTTGCCGGGTGCGTCATCGCGCCGTCCAGAGCTAAATTTTCGATCCTCCAACCCGACTCATCCCTTATTCACTAAATCTATCGAGCCTCCGCCACTACAGTACATTATGACCCAAGTGAACAAATCCAGAGCAAGCAATCTCAATCGGTACAGGATCGAGTACAGAGGAAGCAGAACCGATAGGGAGGACAAGGAAGATTGACTCATGAGAGGCGAAAGATGAGTACGAGAGATGAGTGCGAGATGTGAATTATATTATAGTCGGAACCCTTGAGGGACTCAGCAACGAGCATCGAGAGGCTTTAGGCCGCCACCTCGTACCAGGAACTCTACAAACGTACGCAGACCGGCAGGCTGGGGTCTACAAAGCCTGGCCGGTGTTGTTCCAGAGTCAAGGACCTCCGCCGCGACATCAGGCAACTCCCCTATCATATTTGGTTTTTCTTCTTCTTCACCAAGTCCGCAGCGAACACTGCTGACAGAGAAGCCGGACATGTCACCTGCGAAATCGTGCAATAATCAGCGTGTTCCACAGATCCCTGGCCTTCATCCACAACTGGCCTCCAGATAATGAGTCTCTCCCACCCTTCACACTGTATCAGCAGCTGTGACCAAACTCGACGAACGATTAGGCCAACGCCCCGGTCCATCATGTACCCTAGCTCCTGGGATATATCCATTCCATTTCGAAAGAAAACTCCAAAAGACGCCTTCCATTCGCTGACCATGCCTACCCATCCGGCATCCGTGCAATTGTGAAACCATCGCCGGGAAGTCCAAGCTGCCGCCTCCCAGAGGACCACGGTCGGGGGCCGAGAACGCAAGGAAAACAAAGTAAAAAGAACTACGGTGAAATACAACACGAAGAAGTTGAGAAAGAAGATGAATGTGGCTGGCTCATCGTCGTACAGTGCATCCAGGATCAAGCACCTACGAAATGCGTAGGAGTGCGAAACACGAAGGGTTCTCGGCGGCTTGGCTGTAAACAAATCGTCCACGGCCCCCGTAAACCAACCTTCGCAAACATAAAAAAGCATCAACCGACGGCGTCTCATCGTTCGCGCTAGTAAAGCATCGAACGCCCTTGGAAAAACGACCAAAGAAAGAAAATGTCGTCGCAGTCATTAATACAAGCCGCCATTTCGTTGCCAGAGAAGGGGTCGGTCCGCGGACCATTTACTGACCCGCGCCGGGGGCCGGGGCGGGGGCGGGCGAAGCACCATCGCGCTGGCGATATCCTCCTCCACGTCCACCGCGGTTCTGAAATCCGGCCTGGTAGCCACGTCCTCGTCCACGGCCACGGCCTCTTCCTCTATAGTTGGTGCGGAAGCCACCATCAACGCTTCCTTGGCCAAAGGTTTCCATATTTTTGCGCTGCTCCTCACCGCGCCACTCCCGGCCTCCAGCCTTCTGGCCGCTACCGTCAGCTCGATCCTTGGCTTCACTCGAGATATTGTCGAAGAATGACTTCTTCTTGTCGTAAGCCTGTAGGTCTGCCGGCAGCTCAGCGCTCGTCGGATCAGGAATTTCAGCGCCGGAGCTAGTGGGGGCATCGAGAGGAGATCCGGCAATGGCTTCCTTCACAACATCCTCTTTGTTGAACTTGGCGTTCGAGGAAGCAAAGTCAAAGTCAGAGTCAGGCACTTCGACTTTGCCAGGGCCAGGTCGGCCACCACGACCCCGACCACGGCCACCATGACCAGCTCGAACAGCATGTACGCGCATCTCATTGACTCTGTTTGTCAAGTTGTCCATGGCGTTGCCACCGTTTTGTTGCTGAGCAGGAGCGGAGCCCCCTCCATCTTGGCCATGGCCAAAGCAACCGCGGCCTTTGCCGCCTCAGTAGCGTCTTGGACATTGCCGCTCGGCGCCGCAGCGGCAGGCTTGCTTCCCGAAGCTGCACTCCCAGCCATGCTCGCGGGGACTTGGAACGGCTTAGGCACGGCCGGAATGACGGGCGTCACTCGGTTACTCTTAGCTCCAGAAGGGGCCAAGTCTGCCTGAGGTTTTTGGCCGCCCGCCCTCGCCGGCTTCGAATCCTGAGGAGGCGCCGCTGCCGCCGGGCCTTGACCGAGAGATTTAGGCTCTGTGGGAGGCTGGTTCGCTTGGGCCTGACCCGCCTGGGGGTCTGGTCCCGCGGCGCCGGAGCGCCACTGCTTGGGCCGGGCTTGCCCGCGGCACCGGATGCGCTAGCGGGGTCCCCGATTCTTCTGATTGGGGTCTTGCGTAGGCTGACCAGCCGGGCCAGGGACGCCGGGAGGATAAGGGAAGTTGTTGTTCCACGGACCAGGACCGGGGCCGCCGGGGCCGGGGGAACCCTTGAGGCGGATACCAGCCAGGGGGCGGGGGTATGGCATATTGCCAAATGGAGGAACAGGGCCTGGGCCCCTCGGCCCCACGATCCGGGGAGGTCCATAGTAGTTGTTGAAAGGAGGGGGTCCTTGTGGAAACCCAGGAGCGCCACTCGGGCCGGGACCTCCAGGTTGCTGCTGATTGTTCGCGTCCGAGGTTGGGGCTGGCTGAGGCTGAGGAGCCTCGCGAGGACGGGACTATGAGGCGATATGCTCAGGTTAGCCTCAAACTTGAACGAGACACGTTTCAACTTGGAAGCAAGAAAAGAGAATTCCCAGAAATCAGAAGGAAGGCAACGGAAAATATCGACATGTGTTTGCGCTTTCCGACAGTGACAAAGGTTTACATCCGCAATATTTCATCATAAAGGGAAATGACAATAAAAAAGACAAGGTCCAGTAGCAGGAGCTTGAAAGAGGATGCTTACCCCAAGAATGGCCGGATCGGATGGGACAGCAGCTGGCTTAGTTTCCTTGACCGGCTGTTGTTCAATCCGGAGATCCTTCACATCACTGCCACGGAAGATGATGTATTCATAAACTTGGTCCGAAGGCGGAATAATCTCCTCCGGTCGGGTCCGGCGGCCTTCGGTACCGTACGACTTGACATTTTCAAGCGAGACGGTAGACTTCTCGGAGTTGATTTCATTGAGTGTGCCAACATATCTGTTTCATACGAAAAAGAGGCAGAGACAGCCCAGAATCGGTTAGCAAACGAAACTAGGATATCGAAGGACAACTATGGGAGAGGCTTTAACGAACCGGACATCACTCTTGGAAATGAGAGAAATGCGTGATCTAGAGACGGAATGGATCAGCTAGTGTAGGGTGGCAACAAGGTCTCGACACAATTACCCTATATATTCGGACATTGTGTGATGGGAGGTGCCTTCGAGCACTCAGAAGGCGTTTTTGTGTGTCGGCTCCAAGGGAAAAACAAAGAGGTGATCGGGCAGGGTGGAAGGAGAGAGAGAGAGTAGCCGAGATGAAAAGACCGGCGAAAGAAGGTAATAAGCTTGAAAAGAATAGAGGGGAGGCGGAAAATCACAAAGGAGAGGTTGGGGAGAGAAGGAATGTGCGAGAGGATGGAGATGAGATGGAGGGTTGTGGTGAGTTGGAAGAGGTGATGCAGGCTGGCAGGCTTGGTTTTGTGGAGAGGAAAAAGTTGGCCAGTTCCCAAGCACGATTGGCTGGAAAGCTGAGCTCCACAGTTGACAATGGCTTCTGGGCCTTTCCGGGTTCGGGTATCGTCACGTGATGTACATGGGGACTCAGGTGCCAGGGCTCCCAGTCAGTAATGGGTGTGTGCCAGGACAGACAGCAACCTCACGAATCACTCACAGCTGTGTAGCTGTGTAGCTAAGCTGCAGTCCGCTGGCGAGCTCGTCAATGAGGAGAAGCTCAGGAAATTGGCAGGCAACCCGACATACGAATGGGCCACTCAAGACAATGGGAGGAGCAGACGGGTCAAATCAGTCATTACACAATTCTGTTAGTTCCAGGAGAATGATCCATACTACCGAAAAGCTTTCATACAAAAAAATCAGCCAACGCAGCCATCTATACACTGGTGGGTGGGAATTCCATCCCCGTTGCAAGTTTTTTCTAGTTGGGCACTTATAGCCCTCTTGCATTTTAAATTATTTAAGGGTAACAATTTCCTCGGCGCTCGTGGGGTGAATGGCAACGCATCGGTCAAAGTCCTTCTTGGTCGCGCCCATCCTAATGGCGACGCCGAATCCTTGGAGCATCTCTCCACTGCCAAGTCCCATGATGTGGAGGCCAACAACCTTCTCTTCGGGGCCCGCGACGACGAGCTTGTAGTTGGTGGGACCCTTATCCTCGGGCTCCATCATGGCGTAGTACATGGCGGTAAAGCTGGTCTTGTAAACCTTGATGTTTTCCTTGCCGTACTTCTCAATCGCCTCGGGTTCAGTGAGACCGATGCTTCCGACCTCGGGGTGGGCAAAGACGACCGAGGGCACGTTTTCATACTCGAGCCTCGTCGTGGAGAACTGCTCTCCGCCAAAGAGCCTCTCGGAAAGCCTGCGGCCCGCGGCAATGGCAACGGGGGTGAGCTCAATCTTGCCACTAATGTCACCGAGGGCGTAGATACCGTCAACACTGCTGTTCTCGTACTCGTCCACAACGACGTAGCCGGCATCATTGAGCTTCACGCCCGCCTTCTCGAGGCCGACATCCGCGGTGGCGGGTTTACGACCAATGGCCCAGATCAAGTGGTCTACATCAGAAACAGTCGTCTCGCCTCCACTGGCATCCTTGTAGGTGATGGTGAGCTTGCCCGTAGCCTCATCCTTCTCAACCTTGGAGACCTGGGATTTTTGGTGAAGCTTGACGCCCAGGCGCTGGTACTCCTTGACGACAGTCTCTTGGATCATGGGGTCGAAGTGACGGAGGAAGGTATCATGGCGGATGAAGAGGTGAGTTTCGGTGCCGAGAGAGTGGAACATGCCAGCAAATTCGACAGCGATATATCCAGCACCGACGATGGCAACCTTGCCAGGGAGCTTATCGATGTCGAAGAAGCCGTCACTGTTGATGCCATACTCGGCGCCGGGTACGGAGGGTGGGGAGTCGGGTTACCGCCCATGGCGAGGAGGATCTTCTTGGCGCGGACGACAGACTTGGACCCGTCGTCGGTGGTGACCTCGACCTCGTTCTTGGAAAGAAGCTTGCCCCAGCCGTGAACATATTCGACGCCATCCTTTTCCAGATTCCGCTCGTAAATGCCATTGAGCCGCTTGATATAGGCGTCGCGCTTGTTCTTAAAGGCAGGCCAGTCGAAGGGAGCGGTCTCCTGTATCGAGAATCCGTAGGCCTTGGCGTGGTGTATCGTTTCGGCGATCGCGGCGGCGTTAAAAGTCACCTTCTTGGGCACGCAGCTATGAAGCGCAAAAGCATGTAAGGTCAGCAAGCCTATCAAGGCCCCTCGTAAAGAGTGTTTCATCCGAGCGCAAGTGGAAGCTAGCCGGAGTGAAAGGGCATGGGGAAACTCACCCAACATTGACACACGTTCCTCCCAACCTCTTGCCCTCTATAATCATAGCCTTGACGCCGAAGCGGGAGCTAGCCATGCGAGCACATGCTAAGCCGCCGCTGCCGCCGCCAATGACGAGAAAATCGGTCTCCTTGCTAATGGGCGCCATGTTGAAAGCGGAATAGGAAAGTTGGCGGGAAACAGCAGCTAGTCGAGATTCAACAACGGTAATGGTATGGGGACGCGCAAACGATGCCCTCTTGAGAACTGGAAAGGGCCGCATATGGACGATGGGAGGAGGTGCGAGGGGGTGGTATATAGCGGGGTTCACGGGAGCATTTTAAGGCTGTCGAGCTGCAGGTCGTGGGAAGGTACAAGCAATGGCGCCACTCCGGGATTTGAAATCAACACGGTTGAAGTGTGCTGGGGGAGTGAGGGGGCGCTGGTGGGTTAAAAGTGTCAGCGTTGCGTGTGCTGCCACCAGGACTGATGAGTTAGCGCTCCTCGGATGATCAATCAACGAGCAGGAAAAAATTCGCGACAAAAAATTCAGGGCGATTTATTGCCGAATGCACCGACCAACTCGCGACATTCTTCATCGCACCTCATAAAGGGCAAGCCAGTGCTCGTAAACCAAGACGTTTACTTGTAGGCGATGACTAGATTTATTGTCTGAATAATCAATAAGAAAGAGGAAGAAAATAAAAAATGGCATTGTTCGGCCGCCTTCATTTTTTGTCTTACCAAGCGCTCTTTTCAAATTTCATAGAGAGGCACTATTCGAGAAATTCTCATCGGGAATACCGAGCTAAATATACTCATTGATATATCATTAAGAAAAAGGAAGGGTCTGCCTCTCCGTAAGCGAAGTAGCACAACGACCCTTAGGTCAAGTTTCAACTCGCAGCGGCATTAACAAGGATCCATTAGACATCACAGCAGCCATCAGACCGTTTTCATCTCAAATGCTCACAGGTCTTACAAATCCGTTTCCTGTTGCTGTCCAAATACACGACGAGTTGAATTCGTCAGCCAAGTTGATCCTTAGCAGGTCGAATTCCACACTGTTGCCTACATCAGCCGGTGTTGGTGCTCTATGCCCGATGAGAGAAATACACCATCAAACTCCTCTGTGAAGCAATTGGTTCATTTTTGGCTCTCTATGTTGGTCCTTGAATGGGTCCTGGGGACTAGGCTGATGTCATTTATTTCTAGACTGCAAGCCTAGGGCGGCGCAACGCCAATGGCAATGATAGTAAGAAGGCCTGCCAACGTATCCATTCCTAGGTCATTCCGGGATACCTACTTCCTCGGGAGATAAGCAGTGGCATATATCGCTGGCAAATAAAACTCTAGGCATGGGTCTAGCAACTGGCCGTCCGTAGTCAAAAACTCATGGCTCTCAAGAAAGCGAAATCCCAGCGACTGCACACTACAGATATAATAAAGTCTCTCGCCGGATCCCAAACACGAAGGTTGTCACAGGTTTAGGAGAGAGTTTGGGATTATATTCAGGCATCATGCCAGCACCATTATCATACTCTTGTTCCCACTTGTAGAGAATATTCTCTATGGTCAGCATTTAGATATCTTTACGGCCCGCAGTAGGCATCGTGGAAGACCTCAAGGGTCGATAAAGGCGAGGAACAAGTGTATCCGGTGGTGACCTAGCTGTTTGAACTGTTAGCCGAGTGTAGGCTTCCAATCTCCTTCACCCAGCTTAAGCGTACATTTAGCCAAGGCGTACCTCGCGCGATTCCCCGTCAGATTGAATATATATCATTATCTCCCTGTTGTAAAACACTCTCGGATTATATCATGTATAACTTACACACCAAAGGTGGGATGATGAAGTGTGAAGAAGTCGACACAAAAGTAGAAAGTTCCGAATTTCCTATTTTCAGCTTTCAATGTTCACTTTCTTTCCAACTTATCTCTATCTACATAACTTTTCTATCAATAAGTAATCGGAAATTAATGTCCTGGTGAGCTCGCCAATATTTTGAAGGGTTTGGACTCTCGCCCTTCTGGCTCGAAAAAGCCGCTTAGATAATCACACTTGCGTTCTCAACCTCATCCAGGTCATGCACCTGAGGAACTTGAGTGAAAACATCCAGAATTTCGGTATTTGTCCTGATGCATTTCGTCACAATATAACAAGGTGCCTCGCACGACCTGGATGCTGAGCATATAAGGGAAGTATGATATTCACAAGGTGACGGAGAAACAGCCTTATACTTAGGACTGGTGACGAAATTTGATCCTACAACCTGAGCAAGCAAGGCCATTGGGAATCAATAACGCCCAGCGCCTCCTCGGGAGTGCTCACAATCGAAAATGGGTGACTTTGACCTTGACTCGTCATTTATACCGGCTCTCTACAAGCCCGCCGAGTCTTTGCCCATTGCCAACTATGAAAGCGATATTCTGTATCTGGTCGACACCTTCCCCGTCCTAGTCGTTGTTGGCCAGACAGGCTCGGGCAAGACGACTCAGATTCCCCAATTTCTCCGAAAGGCGGGCTGGTGCAAGGACGGAAAACGCGTTGGAGTGACACAAGTAAGTCTTCTCTAGCATGCCTGTAATGTACTGGAGCCTTCTGGAGTCCCATCTTTGAAAATCCATCATACCCTTTGGCCTTTCTCTCCTACACATCTTCACAGTTTCCCTACATAATAGAAGGCTAGTGTTCTAACCCAAAATGTAGCCTCGACGAGTGGCTGCCATCACCATCGCTATGAGGGTTGCCGAGGAGGTAGGCTGCGAAGTCGGAAAGGAGGTCGGTTACTCTGTACGCTTCGAGGATTCCACTTCGAAGTCGACCCGTATCAAATTCCTCACAGATGGTCTTCTCATACGAGAGGCTCTCATGGATCCCCTTCTTTCCGAGTATTCTGTTATTATGATAGATGAGGCTCACGAGAGGTCTATAAGTACGGACATACTCTTAGGCCTCTTGAAGAAGATCATGAAACGTCGTCCGGAGTTGCGCATAATCATAAGCAGCGCGACCATTCAGGCCAAGGCGTTTTTCGACTACTTTTCCCCATCTAAGACTCCGAATAATGCGCTAAAGGGCGAGGCAGACAAAAAAGCGGCTGCCAAAAATATTGTATCGGACCGAAACAAGGTCGGATCTGAGGCTAAGGGTGAGGCAGACGAGGAAACGACTACGAAAGATATTGCCTTGGATCGAAGCAAGGTCGAATCCGAGGTGAAGGGCGAGGGAGGCGCGGAAGAAACTAATGCCGACTTGGGTCCCGTGGCGGCTCTCACGGTTGAAGGAAGAACATACCCCATCGACGTTCTCCACCTCGAATCTCCAACGGACGACTACGTGAAGAAGGCTGCTGAAACCGTGATCGCTATTCACGAAAAGGAACAGGAAGGAGATATACTTGTTTTCCTAACCGGCCGCGAGGAGATCGACGATGCCATGCAGGTTGTGGCCGATCATATAAATCTCGGCCAAAGCCAGCGAGACGAGGCTCTGCTCTTACTCCCGCTTTATGCTGGGCTTACGACTGAGCAACAGATGGCGGTTTTCAACAAGGCCCCGTAGACACGCGCAAAGTGATTTTTGCGACCAATATTGCGGAGGCTTCCGTCACGATTGACGGTATCGTTTACGTGGTTGACTGTGGCTTTACCAAAATCCGCGTTTACGATCCCTTCACCGGTATCGAGTCTCTCGTTGTCACTCCCGCATCCAAAGCCTCATCAATCCAGCGCGCTGGCCGAGCGGGCCGTACAAAGCCGGGAAAATGCTACAGGCTCTACCCTTCGGAAAACTACGACGAGCTGCCGGATTCAAACATACCGGAGATGCAGAGGAGCAACCTCGCGCCAGTGATTCTCCAGCTCAAAGCACTAGGAATCGACAACGTGCTTCGCTTCGACTACCTGAGCCCACCACCCTCTCAGCTCATGGTCAAGGCCCTAGAATTTCTATATGCCCTTGGTGCTCTCGACGAGTATGCGAAGCTTACGCGCCCTCTGGGCATGCGAATGGCTGAGCTGACAGTAGAGCCCATGATGGCAAAGGCTCTCCTGTCGGCGCCTGATCTCGGCTGCCTGAGTGAAATGCTTACAGTAGCCGCCATGACAAGCCTTGGAGGCAACGTCTGGTTCTTCCACGATAATGAGAGGAAGAAGATGAATGTCGCAGGGACCAGGTTCGCCGTGGAGGAGGGAGACCACTTGACCCTGCTCAACGCATACACGGACTTTGTCACCACAGAGAAGAAGCAGCCTAAATTTTGCCACGAGAACCACCTCAACTTCAAGTCGATGACGCGCGCCGTTAAGATCAGGGCGCAGTTGAAACGCTACCTTGAACAACTAGGTATCGCGGTTGAAGAGCCAGCTTCTGGAATCCCGCAAGCTAGGGGTCGAGATCTAGCCAAGGTGGCTGAACAGGTTCGGCGGTGTCTAACCATGGGCTTCTTCACCCACGCTGCACAGATGCAACCAGATGGCACGTTTAGGGCTGTGGGAAGTGAAATGGTGCTCCATGCTCACCCAACCTCCATCATGTTCACGCGGAAGGCCGATTGGGTCATCTTCCAGGAGATCATGGAGACTTCCACAAAGACGTTTATTCGAGACATTTCCAAGATTGAAAAGGGTTGGCTGACGGAATATGCGCCTGAATATTACCAAGTACAGAATACCCGGAGGCCAGGCGGATGACGGGTGTTAGAGACAATGTTTCTGTGCAACCTCCAGGGCGGACGAGCACTCCGGAAGAGGGCGGTTGAACATTCGAATGCGAACGACGGAGGTGCTCACCAGCCGGATCGCCCAATTACCTTACAGAAAGAAGCCTTTGCTTGCCCTCCTTGTCCCCAGAGTCACGGACAGGTGCAACTTGAGAGGTCGAAGGACCAAAAACAGCATCCTTCGTGAGTGACCGATTCTGGAAGGGTGAAGAAAGAAGTCGTACTGGGTAGGGGTAATAGGCCAGCCAGCCGGGGAAGGCCCCCGCCGTGTGCCAAGCCACTTCGGGAGGGTTCTGTAATCCTAGGGGCAGAGGAGGAGAAGGAGACACTGACCAGGTCAATGTCTTGAAGCCATTGTCTTGGACCCTTCTGAGACAAATTAGGGGTTGATGGATTTGGGGAGGCGAGGTGAGCCTGCCATGTGTGGGGCCGGTACGTGCAAGGAGAGAGAGTCATGGTTGGCATGGAACGAACACAAGATACCGGACGGAGAGATGGCCTGTAGCCTTCACCTCTCGTCAACTCGAGCTCTTTCTTTGCTCTTCGATCGGGCACCTGCTCTTGCCCCTATTCCCCTGATCATTTGGTTTATTAAACTGCGCTCAGAACAAGCACTTGCGTGATTGAACAACTCATCAAGTCCTGTATCTATTCAAGGAAACCTCATCGTAGTCGTCAAGCCGAGGCGCGAAAGGGGATGATGAAAGGGCCGCCACAGCCGCCAAAGCCAATCCCGGAGTTGCACTGCATAGGAGAAATCGAGTTCAAAGAGGGAGGGCAGGATATATCCGAATAGTACCTCGATATTATTCCTCTGCTTGTCGTTATTTATCACTTCGTACTCGATAATGCACAAGATCGGCCTTACTTTCCCGGTCTTCACCTGCTGACATGTTTGGTGGTGGGCGACCCAATAATCATCATACAGGTAAAAAGACTCTGGTTTGCATTTCATCTCCAAGACATCCATTCCACAGATGCAGGCTTTGCTTGGCTTCTAATGAACCTTTCTCATTGTTTTTGCATTCCGCCGTACCACGCCCCTAACCTGTACGACTTTGGGGGCATTCAACCGCCCCCTTTCGGCCCCGTGGCAAATTCTTGACAGCAGCCCGCCCCTCCTCTTGGGCTTGTGTGGGTGAAGGGAGAGGCTTCATTCGTCTGATACTATAAAAGCCCGTCTTAATTATCCAGCAGCACTGGCGTGTGTGGTTCAGCTTGAAGTTTTCTGCGGGTACCTTGCATACGCTAATTATGTAGATTACTTGGTGCATTTATCTTTGCAAGCTGGTTGTGGAACCGAGCAAACTCGCATCTGAGATTGCCTAGTGTCGACGATGGTGGCCGATGCTTTTGCTACCTCGATGTTATAATACAAGTAAGCTGAGGTAATACTGGATGGAGGTCTTTTTCCCTTGTCGTTTTTCTCCTCTTCTTGGGACCAGTGTTGAAGTCTCTCCATTTTGGGGGAAGAAGGCGAAATCACGCAGTGTCCTTCATCTCGGCATCACTCTTTTGAGTTACCAAACTTGGGCTTCTTTCCCGTCTGACGATGCGAATAAGGGGCAATGATAGGTTATCCACGGGAATGTTCATGTTTGTTTCGGCAGGGAACCAGGTCCAAGAAAAGGACCCTCGTCTATCATCCCGTCCCTCCATTCCATTCTCTTGTCTCTTAGCACGCATTTCGCGACCTTCTGATCGACGGGCACGTCGAGCCGTGGGTTGCGTGATTACCACACCAATCAGTGGCTGGCACTAAACAGAAAAAAGAAAAAAGAAAAGAAAAAGAAAGCCGATAATAGTCGAAGACTCCAATGCGGCCGACGACTGGGGAACGGGATGAGCCAACACAATTGACCGCCTCTCTCCTGCGAACTCCACCGGGACGGTGCAGAAGGCAGGGTCGATCGTTGTACATCGTACATGGTGCACCTGTCTGTGTTAATTGTCTAAAAACGCCACAGCACAGAAAAAGGAAATCCTGTTCGTCGAACTGGGCAGCACGCTCATGGATCTCCTGACAGGTCTGAGGCGATTGAATGCCTTCGCCGGTCAATTCCTTGTTCCTTGAGCGCGAAATGTGTGTGGAGTGAAAGGACAGCATCGGACGAACCCGACGCATCCAGACGGCGAAGTCGTCCTGAAAGCAAGACTCTCATCGGAGGTGGGACAATCGCTCCCATTTCGCTCTTGAGGACTCGCTTCATTAGTAGGCGTTCGGACTGGAGCCCCACAGGTACAACTGGAGGCCCGGAAAGCCTTGTTGATCAGTCTTTATTTTCCTTGCGACTTTTTTCATCCCTGCACGGCGATTCATTTCCGACAAACAAGCCTGGGTGCGGGTCAGCATAACACTATTGCCAAATCACCAAGCCCATAAAATCTAAAGGGAGACGGTAATAATGGTAGCTCCCGGCCATTGCGGCGTTGGAAAGAAAAAAAAATCGATTGCCTGAGAATGACGCGGCCTGGAGATAAGTCTCATCCCAAGCCAAGTTCAGAAAAGACGTGGACAAGAATTCCTGGGATCTGTCCCGAGTATAACTAACCTCGTCTCCAGAGCGGATGAGACCGAAGCAACGAGAGAAAATCTTCGAGACGTGAAGTAGATCATATCCACTCCAAGTTTATCGACTCACTTTCTCCTCGGTGTCGAAGGCTGATCCCAAGGCTTCGTCCCTGGTCTCACCAGCTGGATCTTCTTGAGCGAGGGGATTAATAACTTCCAAGTTGTATTCTCGCGTCAAACCTTTGCCTTGCCTCGCGACTTTGAGAAGGGAAGGCCGGCGATCAATGCCCTGGCTCCCTTGCCTTGGCTAGCAAGACCCCGGTCTTTGTGATCTTTGATCATACCTAAACTAGTAGTCTGAGGGAATAGGGGAAGGCGTGGAACAAGAGCAGAGGTCGTGCTTCTGGGTTGAGATACCGGGAGAGACTGGCCATTTGCTTGACAGACGCAGAGAAGATAGACTCAGGAGAAGTACCTCCAAGTCCTAGAATTATCCCAGCGCCCTGGCCATCAAGGATCCATATTCAGTGATCCACAGGCCTTGACTGCAAGTAGTTCGTCCACTAACAAGATGTTGGTCCATGCGAATGAACCAATGAAATCAATCAACGGATCCCCTCTCAAGTCGCGTACCTGAAGGTGCCTTCCCACTCGCAGTCTGTTCCTGCATGGGCTGCGCCTTCTGCCGAATTAAGGCCTCCACTCGCCTAAACAAGGTCATTTCCCCGTTGGGTTCAGGTTGTTAAGGATACTTATCCCCTAGCGCCAAATGTATGGCATGGTGGGTATTTTCCACCCTCGAGTACTCCGCTATTTTGATTACCTCTGCTCCTGAGCCGTCCTGCAATACTACTGGTACTCGGGGGCACCGCTACTCCTCTTCTCTTGCCTAGGATCCTGGGATGGGCAAAACGAAGGACCGTCGAGCCAAGGCCCAAAGACTCCAGGGAGGCTCGTTGGAAAAAATGCTGGCTTCTGGCCGCCTTCTTGGTTCAGTCTTTGTACCCTGATCGTGCAAGAAGCAATGGGCGCTTGAATATTGTACTCCTGCAGAGTGGCAGGTAGCCCCGCAAATGGTAGGTACTAGATACATGCCCGAGAAATCAAAGTACACTCCTTTCATCTGGCTGCGATTAAACGCCCTAATCCTATTCAACTTCGCGCCCTGTGCTGGGGAAGGGGGATCAAGGGCTTGAGAAGGAAAGGGGATGATCGATCTCTTTTCTCCTCACTTCCTCCCACTCTCTTCTCCCATGTGACTGTTCTTCCAACTTCACCTTCGAAATCTGCTTCCTTCTTCGCCGGTCGGCTCGTCACTCCTTTTTTGTTTGTTTTGTGTTGCACACTCTTTACATTCGTTCGCTCCTTCACCAAACCCGTCTACTCTGCATATTCGGCGCTGGCCCCCGACTTAAGGGACTCTAAGCAAGTCATTCTTTTCTCTTCCATGCTTAGGAAGCCATAGCATCTTAAATTGCAGCAGGAACGACTTGCCGCTCTTTTTGGACATTTACACAAGTTACGTTTTCAACGACATCCGGAAGATCGACCGCAGCTGCATCTTTGGACACCCGCAAGACACGGAAGATTTACGGCATTGTTTCGACGCGCGCGGAAGCAGCCCGTCGATCAGTAAATAGGGTCTTTTTCTTCTTCGCGAGGTTCTCGACAACCGAGTAGTCGACAATTTTCGATTCAAGATAATTAACCAGGAAGAAGGGTTGTACAACAGGTGGACCTTTAGTCAAGAGAAACTGCTTCGCTTCAGGACGATAAACGCCGATTTACCCGCTCCCCTTTGGGCCCAACCATCGATGTCATGAGCCTCCGCCTTTGAGAAAGTGCAATCTGTACCAGCGACTCGTCCTCGATCTTTGGGTTCTTAACGAAAATACGAACGCGATTTTCGTCAAATATTTTATATTAATACGGAAACCCAGAAGTCGAAACTATCGCCTACCGAAGTGTCTGCTATGGATCGCCTCGTGATGGACGGGAGGACTCACACCCTTGGGCCTCGGATCCCGATGAGCGCGGGGCCCCTCGAAACCTTTGAGGCTCCTACGCCTGTCTGGGGCATGAACATCGCCTCGCGTATTATTCGCAGGGCCGAGGAGACGTGCACTTCGGATAATGCGAACATGTGTGAAAAGCCCGTCGGCTCAAGGACACCCACCATTGCTATTATTCTTGGTATTGTGTAAGTGTCAATTCCTCAAACACTACGCACCTGTCCCTCCCTTTGCCTTCGCCTCTCTCAGTCACTGATGTCTTGTGCCATAGAATTCCTGTCGTGGGTATCACGTTTGTGTTGCTCTACCTTCACCGTAAAAATGTTGCCAAGTTCAAGAAGGAGGATCAAGACGACCCGCACAAGGAGCTTGATTTCGGCCTTGGTGATAAGAATCCCGGTGTGAAAGCAGGTTTGCGAAGAAGTATATTTGGCGTTGGTGAAAAAGCAACCCATAAGCACCAGCTCTCTATGGATATGGACATGTCGACCCCGTACCTATTGCCTCCTCAATTACAAACCTCTCGCGAATCTCTGCACTCGCTTGCCCGCTCCATGAAGAACACGGAAGATCCTTACCGGCCCGTTCAGTATGCTGGGAGCGATGTTGGCTCGCTACGATCGGTACAGCGTGGACCGGGAGGCGAGATGGCCTCGCTGTATTCGGCCTCTATCCGATCCGGTGGTACAAGGGATTTTGGCCCCAATAGACAGAACTCACTCCCTCGCCCGGCGCCCGCAGCGGATCCCTTCCAGCGAAAGCCTATGCCTAGCGCAGACGGAAGCATGTCGCCCACGTCAATCATGTCGTCAGATGCTTTCCGGCCTGGGCATGGGTCTGCCCTTGGCCGCAAACCCTCAGCTCCTTATCCTGACGAGAAGTTTGCCATGAATGAATCCGACGTCGTCGAAATGCCCGATAGCCAGCCCAGGGCCCTCGGATCCCCTCCCAACCCACCCAAGCTGGATGTGGCACTCCCCGCCCCAGACACCCAAACCTCTCTTCCAGGCCAATTCGCCTCACCCATGTCGGCAACGATCGAGACGGCTGAGCCAGCCGCACCAGCGAATTATCACGGAGGCTTTGACTTTGGTGACGCGAACGCGTCGCGCGGCATGAGTGCCGGTGATGAGTTTATTGGTACCGCACACTCATCACCACCCCCACAGCAAGCGAATCTCTATGAGGGCGCCCAGCAGCCGCAGGAGAGCTTCGTTGCCGACGGCAGTCATGGCTATGACAACTACAATAGTCCCCAGGATTACCAGCAAGAAGGCCCTATGGACTACGAGTTTGAGCCCAGGGCCGCAGCGCCCACCGTGACAGCCAACGCGGAAGCCAGTTCTTGGCTGCCCCCAACATGGACAATAAACGACTCTCGGTTGGCTTCCGTCCTCTGCCCCCGACGAGATCATGGAGACGGAAGATCCGGAGCATCGGGCGAACCGGATCCGATCCTTCTATAAGGAATACTTTGACGACCAAGCCCCCGCCTCTCATCCTCCCGTGCCGGAGATTCCTCCGCAAGCGGCAGAGCGACGTGCAGTCCCTCCCGGTCCCCAGCCCCAGCGCGCCCAGACGAATGAATATTACGAGGACTATGATGGTGCCTACCTCGAGAACACATTCTTTGATCCCGGATCGAACACGTTCGTCATGCCCTACGCGCAGCCTGTTCATCGCCGCGCGATGACGCCTCCCCCAAGAGCCCCCGACACCGAGGCCCTCCTCCGCCAAGGGGTGTACATGGCTCCATCGGCGGTATGAGCATGGCTAGCAGCAGGCCTCCTTTCCGTCCTGGGTCCTCGGCATCAAGCCGCTACGGTCCCCGCCCCGGCTCTTCCGCCTCCGCTCGCCTTGGCAATAGGGGCAAGCCCATGCCCCCTCCGGCCTCCCTTACCACCCTCCCTAATCCAGCCAAGCTTCGCGATGACAGCTTTGCTCTGTTCAGCGCGACCGACTTTGCGCCGCCGGATACTGTCAAGGATCATGCCGCGGGACGCTCGCAAAGCCCTGCTCCCGAGAGACGCCCGTATGCCTTGAACGTGCCCGTCCACAACCCGCTCGTCAGCTCGTATGATGAGCTCCCGGTTATCCCCAGCCCGTAAGCTATTGATCATGACCCTCAAGTTTTATTTATACACGGACCCAATCTTGCTAACTTGACTCCACAGGCACATGCTGCGCAAATCCAGCACGTTCACAGGATTGGACTTTGCTCCTCCGCGTCGGTTCAAGGACAACGGCGATACCATGAGCGATTCCGGCAGCATCCGAAGTTATCGCAGCAACAAGAGTGGTATCTCGGCGATCAACAATGCCGCTATTCGAAACGGGGCCGGGCGCGTTAGCCGTCTACCGGGCGACACTGTTTTCACGCAGGCGCAGCTCGCAGATCAGCTCAAGCCCTCGTGGACGCTGCGGCCTTGAGGAACGCCGCACACTGTTCATTAAGGGCCATGGCGGCTATCAAAAGGACCGTGGAACCGAAGAAAGAAGCAAAGGAACCTAGAAACCCCCTTTGGGATGGGGTCCTTCTTTCTTCACTTTCTTGCGCATCATCCTTCATATTATGACCTCTCGGCATATCGAGAGTGGTAATGTCTCTTCACACTCATGGCGCTTTTGCATTATTTTGGGCGGAGTTGTTATACGTCGACTTCATTTCTTTGCTGCTCTACTGTACCCAGTCAAACGGGTGTGGTGGCCGCAGTCACGACAAGTCTCGTCGGAACGCATCGGGTTGCATCTGAACAGGTTTTCACGCACGCGCATATGCTTACAAGTGTATATATAAGAGTCGAAAAAATGGAAGAGAGAGCCTCGCCGAACAGTGGAGGGGCATCTCGGACCTTGACCTGCATTGCATATACTTCTCAGTCTTTGGGAATTTCCCTTTATTGTTTTCTTTTCTCCTTCCCTTCTCCCCCTCCGCCTTTTGCAAGGAAGGATACTTTATGATAGAGGAGATAATAGGAACGCTCCCTCAAAGGAGAAAGATTGATCCAAAGCTTATGCAGTTCTTGTTCTCTTGTGACGATTCTCAATCTCTGAGTTGGTGATGTTGCTTGTCATGGACTGGAGGAAGCATTCGCTCCGGGGTCCGTCGACCCCCCCGATCGACCAGTTATTTGGTGAGAGATGAAAAGGGATACACGTAGTATGGGTATGTCTCGGTGCCTGGGGGATGACACCTTTTCGGGTTAGACATGTCTCGGACACGACGCACGATTGCTTGTAACACTGATCTACGATGCCTGCCCAGCATCAACTTATACCAGGGAGACCACACAATGGTTCATATCAACAAAGTAAACAAAACATCCATCATACCCCACATATCTCAACCGCAGCATTGAAAAACTGACTGACACCCTTCAGGTCTATCATGTCTGTAGCAGCAGCTTAGAGCCCTGGGAGAGTGGGATCTCCAATCAGAGATATCAGGATCATCAAAATGCCGCCGGTTCTACATAGCCCGACGATGAAGAGCGCGGGAATGGCTGTCTTGCCGCTGCGGTATGATCGTCCCTAGAGTTTTGCCGGACGTCATTGAATAGACACACGCACTCACACGCACTCACACGCACTCAAGCACACACATACGCTGCTTCGCCAAGTTCACGGGGGATGTCTAGGTTGAACAGCTAGCAACCATGCTATTTTTACACCAGATCGGAGGTGTGCAAGGGAGCCATTGACATCAACTTTCGAGCTTATTCTAGGGTGCACAGCCATGGAAGAAAGTTAAAACCTTTGGCACCAGCCAACTTGGCGGAAAAGGAGGCCGATGCTAATTGGGGGTTAAAGAATAAGGATGCAAAAACCATCGCGCCCCATCCGTGTCCGGCCATCTACCAAGCCGCGTGATGATGCTACGTGTGGCGGAGGAGTTTGTGGGGTTCGAGAGAAAGGGTCAACTCGTCCATCTATGGATGTAGTCCGTGCGGACAAGGTCGTTGGCCCGAGATACACCTTGAGCTCTTTGTGAGAGCTGCATTTGATTCAATTGTGGGAAAGCAGCGCACGCATCACGATTTTTTTCTATGGATAATGTTCCGAAGGCGGGTCCGGCAAATGCACGTCTGGACTCGGGGCACCAGTTCGTCTGATATATTGAGCCGGAGAAGGCTCAGCTTCTCGGCAGAACAGACATGTGGTGCGTTGGAGGAAAGGTTTTGCTGAAGATCGGCGACGGTCTCGAGAGCGATACGCGAGTTTGGGAGGGAAACATTGATGCATCTGCCGTGCTCCAATGGCCGACGATGCCATTTGTGCCGTCTCTGGTATATATTGTATTCGCCTGCTCTTGCTTCGATCTCAGATGCCTTTTGGAGAGCTTTCATTGCACCCGATTTGTATTAGTGGGGGGGTCTTCCATTTCTCTGGAGGCCTTGGCGTGGCGTTATGCTGCCCGGCTCTTTCGGCAAGCAAGGGCAAATGAAGCGCACTAAAAACTCTCTCGCCAGAGCGACGGCGCGGCGGCAACTTTTTTCTCTCTCTCGAAATCCGAGCGTGTTGGCTTGGGTGGTAGGCAAAGGCTCATATTACCAAGGAGTCAGTTGAAGCTTCACCTCGCGACGGTGCACGCGCAAAGGCGACGAGCGACACCGCAGGCCAAAGTGACAGGTCAAGTTGATCAATGCATGGCAAAAGCAACATTGGTCATGGCCATCATTTCGAGGCTTTAATGACGATTGATTAAAGAAGGAGGAAAAGGGCAGGTGAGAGGAGAGTTCCGGGGCCAAACGCAGCACGCCCACCGGTTCAAAAAGCAACAAAAGGCATTCAAAGCCACCCCCAGGCGAGGCGCCGCCAGTTGATTACAAGCCGGGGCTTGACTCAATGCGAGCGGAGGGCAGGACAATGGTAAACTGATAATAACAACGTGAATGTGTGTTTTGGGGGAAATTACGCACAGGCGGCCCAGCGCTCATGCGCCGATGTGGTGGGCGAGCGGTGGTACCTGCAGCACGCAGGTCGGTCGCGCGCCGCTGGCGCCGCCTCTCCCCTCTATGCAGTAGTCTCTGACTAGCATTGGGGAAGAAGAGGCCCGAGTCTACAAAGTGGTGGTGCGTGCATTGTTGGTGAGCAACGTTGATTTGGCTGGCCACAGCCATGGCCTGAGGGGGCACAATGGGATGAGGCTTGGTGGCTGCGCTGGGGTTTCTGAGGCTTTGAGGCTTTGAGGCTTTGGAGGCGTTGAATGGGTTCTGGGGAGATGGTGGGGAGCAGCGATATGGCAACCGGAGAGGCTTGAACTCTGCTATTCTCGTCATCTCTGCTTACAATGGATGTATACACACGCTGCAATAATACATCCATCGATTGAAAAGCCATATGGGTTGATCAAGGGCTCAATTGGGGTTAGGGGAAAAAACGATTCGAGCGAACATTTCACCGTCCGAGTTCATTGCAGATGCAATCTTATCATTGTTGGTCCGTGAGCTCGGGACCGTCGCTTAGGTCCGTCCGTCTGTAGACGCGTTCACGCGTCTGCCCAAAGAATGAACGACTGATTGGGATCCGTGCAGGACAAACGAGCATTCCTCAATGTCTCAGGTCGAACGCGCATGCCTCTTGGAAAATATTGCTCCAGATGTCTCTCGATGCCAAGGACGGACCAAGGAGGTGGTGAATAACCTGGGGAAGAAGGAAGGGGTCCCAAGCCCGTGGAAAGGGGAAACCTTGCAAGTCCGTCTCGTTCCTGGGGGATGGGATAGGATCGATCAACTGTCACTTGCCTTGCCCTTCCCTTCCGGCTTGGGTTGAGTGAAGACTGCTTGCGAAGCTGTCCCAGTCGTCGCCTATCCCCGAAATTGTCATGCTTGCAACGGGCCAGCGTGATCCCCCAGCGCTGGAAGAGGCGCAATTTAAAGGGAGGGCAATAATAACAATAGACTTCTCGCAAGCCCTCTAGCTAGCGTGCGCTCCGTCAGAGGAGCCCTAGCAAGGGGGCCCCCAGGAATGCCTCGAGGAAGGGCGCTAATCTGCTTGGGGATTTCTTCCGCTTCGGATTTATTTATTTTTGGGATCTCGTTGAACCTTTTTCCATTCCTTTTTCTACTATCAGAGAAATGCATTTTGAGTCTCCACATTATAGCCACAGTACCGCCTCACAAACATTCCAGCAGCGTATTATCATTTCAGGTTTTTGATTCCTTGGGTCGACTTGGTGTCTGGCCTGATACCCTGGAGTCTAGGTTGAGCCTCTTGCTGGGGCTTGTGGGTTGATACTGTCAGAAACATGCACTAGATATCATATCCATTCCATCAGTGGCCGGATCGTGTCGTGAGCCCCACGCGCTGGCACCAAGGGACGTAAGGAAATCGAGGAGTGGATCTGGCAGTGCTTCAAGAGCAAACCCCTCCTCCCCTTCCATCGCCGGCAGAAATACAAAGAATGAACCAATGTACGAAGTAGATGGGTGGTTAATTCGGCCGATATAGTCCCCGGATTGCCGTCAGATTGAACCACTTCGTCTAAAAGGGGTCTTGAGTGGGATAAATCACCTACACTACTTGACGACATCACTCCAGACATGCTCAATGGTGGTGGTGGTGGGGGAGGGAGACGGGCAAACGGGGCCGGGGAAAGCCAAGCAACGGTACTTTCAAAGGGCCAGGCTTGTCTCGATGCATCACGTCAGGGTTTGAAGATCCGACAATCTCCAAGCCGGATCTACACAAGTCTGGCCCCGCGGGGGCGAAAAGGAAACTGCCCTATGATCACGAGCACGAGTGGGACACGAGCGGGAGGGAGAAGAAGTTTACTGATTCATTGTCGCTTCTCCTGCTTCTACACTACGGTCTTCTCGGCTGGGCAAGCCGCCCTCCTGATCGAACCCCGTATATTGGGAAAGAAAGGCTTTGGGCCAAGACGATTCAGGGCACCGGGCTTGTTCGCCTCTAATGGGGAGAAGGTAGGAAGAGAGGACATCTCCTTGTCTGTCGTCGCGATGGAACAGAGCTTGACAAGCTTGACAAGGTCGTCATCGACGGGGCAACAACAGTCCACAAGAGTCACGATCTTGGTTCCCAACCCAACCGGGGCCAACACCAGTCGCGCGAACCCCAGTCTTGCCCACCTCTTCTCCACAGGCCATTATTGCCATTGTAACGTGCAGCTCAACCCGCTCTCGGCTCCCTTTGTTCGCTCGGTTGGCTTGGATGGGATTATATCACACAGCACATATCAGGTACTGTAACCCCATATGCGGCAATAGCCCATTTCATCCTGCGCCTTTGATCCGCAAAATACCAGTGGGCGAATGGGATAGACTCAATCAATTGGGGGATCCATCGATTTGCCCTTGGTCACTCAGTCACTCAGTCACTGAACCTCCATCGGGACATCAATTGCCTCCAAGTACGAAGTACGAAGTACCTCGAAACTCGACTCTTCCAGCAAGCGAACGAGCGTCGGCTTGTCCCGGTACATCCCACCATTGGCTAATGTAGTGAAACCAGTAGGTACCCTGATTCATCCTCGCTCGGCCACTTGGGACAGGAGCGACGCTGAAGCGTTGTACCTCGTATCAATTGATCCATCTTGTCCATCTCCCTAGACTACAAGGTACAACTCTCTCTCGCAAACGGAGACTCTTGTCTCCGCCCACTCCACCGCGAGTTAGCGGCCCCAGCGGCGCAACTCCTGTGCTGTTCCCTCGTGTGCCTTTTTCCTCGTGCCTTTCCAGTCCCTGTCAACTTGAACCGGTCCCCATGAAATTGGCCTCCCCCGTTCCTTCCCTCTCCTTGACATTGGCTCGATTCCCTTTAACCCCTCAAACCCTTATTTTCTTCTCTTTCTTCTTCTCTCCCTCCTTCGTTCCCGTGTCCCTTTTTTTTTTCTTATTTTCGATCCTTGTTTTCCTTTCTCTCTTTCTCGGACCTATTTGCGACGCTTTCTTCGCCACCAGCGCCCTCGTCGAACTCGATTGACCAACATAGTGTAACTAACAGTCCGATTCGCACCCCCTTGTCGGGGTCCAATTTTTATTTTTATCCTCGTGCGCTCGTGTGCTTGGTCAGGAGAAGCCAATCCCGAAACGGCTGCGACCGATTTGGCCAAACCTTGCATCGCCAGCAACATAAGCCCAGCTGCACTCCCCCACAGCCACCCTGGATTCATTCGTGTCCACCCACTCGTTCTCTGACTTGGCCCGACAAAAGTAGACGGCCTCCTCCACTCCTTTCTTTTAACCGCGACCCCCTTCGCATCCCCTCGTTCACCATTACGCTCTTTACTCGACCGTCTTATCGCGCAACCCGCAGGAGAGACCCTCGCGTTTGGTTCTTTCCGCCACGATTGTTGTTTGCACGCCTCGAGTCCAATCCGTCGACTTGGAATTCCCCGACCTGCGTCTTGAGCTCTGCTCGCTAGTCTTAGTCTTCTGAAGGACCCTGCGTCTGGCCGTTGATATCGGCCAGTTCTTGTGTCGCCAGACTTACCATCCCAGCTGAAGGTACGTACGTTGTTGTCCTGAAATTCGTTTGTGCCCCTTGTTGTTTGTGCTCCCTAGAGATCGTGGTCGTCAAAGATGTTGTTCTTGAGGAGCAGGACTCCTCTCCTTGACTTTCCTCTCTCCATCTTCTTGTTTTTCGTCTTTAGAGCGGCCGGCCGTTCACGAGTTTCCTGCACTATGCTACTTGACTTTCTCGCATCAAGTTTGTTAGCATAGACAGGAAGTCGGCCTTTGTTTTTTCTTTCTCTTTTGGGGGTGTTTTTGGGTTCTTTTTCTCATCGCACCTACTTGTCGTTGGCGCTGTGCGCCTCGAGCCGACCGACTTGTCCTTCGCGGGTCGCTAATATGCCTCTCCTCTACAGTCAATATCAGTGGTCCAGATTTCAAAACGGAACAATGGCCGACACATCCAGTACGTGGGAACCCGACTGCTTTCTTAATCGCGAGACCAGATCTAGCATCGATGATTTTGTTTCTTCGGCCTTGGCCCGTATCTTGTTTCCCTTTCAGCTAACGGAGACGACTTAGATCCCCGCCGCCTCCAACCAACACTCCCGATCCTACCAACGGCGGCAACGACCCTACCACACCTCCTCCCGAGCCCACGACGCCCACCACTCCTCCTACCTCCAAGACTCCGGATCCCACCCCAACCTCCAACACACAGCCACCACCTCCCGATTCAACACCTGGCGATGAAACGACGACACGGCCACCCGATCCTGGTGAGACGAAGACTTCCGATGACGTCGACAGGACGAGCGTGATTGTGACGGTCATCACGAGGCCCCCATCTGGAACAGTACCTGGTACGACGACCACGGCAACTACGACTGGTGTCATCGACGGGTCCAACGGATCGGGCGGAAAGAGCAGCTTAAGCAACAGTGGCAAGATTGCCATCGCGGTTGTGGTACCTGTTGTCGCAGTCGCTCTGTTCCTCATTGCTGCTATCTGGTTCTGGAAGCGTAGAAAGGCGCGAAAGGACGCCGAGGAGGAGAGGCGCAAGGAGGTGGAAGACTACGCTTACAACCCCAATGCCGACCCCACCATCCCCGCTGTCGGTCTTGTGGGTGGCAGCGGAGACGGCCCCTACGAAATGAGGGAGGAGGCTTCGTCGGGATACCGCGGTTGGGGTTCGACGGCGGCCCCCAGCTCGACCGGACAAAGGCTCCGACCACCCTTTCTGGTGGATATACAGGTGTGGCCTATTCCGATGCCACCTCGCCGCCTTATGCACATGTATCTGACACGCGCTCAGGCGAACCCCTCATGGATGGAACCCCCGCGCGACGGCTCCTACTCGCCCGAAGGCGAGATCTTGGGCGCCATGGGTCCTTCGGCGGCTGCCAACCGCGGCGATATCCGCCGCGGTCCTTCCAACGCTTCGTCGTCCTATAGCGCGGGTGCGCGCTCTGATGGCTCCGATGGCGGAATGGGAGGGGCTTACCCGAACCAATACTACGATCAGTATGGCGGCGGTAACCCCTACGCCAACGAGGTGTACGGAGGACAGCGACCCGCAGAGGTTCCCGGCCAGCCCGTCATCCGCGACAACCCCGCTCGTCGAAACACGCGCATCGAGAGCCCGTCTCATTATCCTCAGCAAAGCGCCGGCATCTCGCAAAACTTTTAAACGCCCTTCCGTCCTATTATTCCCCTTGTCCGAACGGGGAAAACGGAGGCCCTTTTGCATCTCGCGCTCGCTGCGCGTGTCTTCACGCGATAATGATACCCTCGTATTTCACCAGTCACATATCTCTCATTATGCAATGATTTTTCCTTTTTTCCCTCTCATCTCGCTCAGGACTGCATAGACGGGATGAAGATCCTGTTTGTCCTCCGTTGCTCTTCCATTGTTCCAAGAAGCGCCTTGGGGCCGACAAGCCTTTTGGCACCGAGTTCTCTCTTTTCTTTTCTTTTTCCTGTTCCTGTCCTCGGTCTATACCTTTCTTATAATCTCGACACCTTTTTCCTACGCAAACAATGGTTGGGGGTGGGAATCGCGCAGCACAGGCAACAAACCATCACCACGGTGCGCTGTTATGTTAGCCTTGCTGGCGGTTTCGCTTCACCATGGTCTACGTCAGCGAGTAACCACCTCGCCTTTTTCTTAGAAATTCTTTTTATCTTCCTTATTTCTCTCTATCCTTCTCCTTTTCCCTTTTCTACTTCCGCTGGCATAAGTCGTCGCCGCCAAGCATCTACGCAACTGGTCGACCGATAAACAAGTCGACAATTATACGTGAGGGGGTAATGAGGAGGAAACTGTACATAAAAGGGGTGGAAATGAAGGAATGCGAAAGGAGGTTTGTCCGGCGACGTTGTGAAGCGTACGCGGGAGAGTGGCAGGCTCTGAAAGTGGGCTTAGTGAACATATATAAGTTGGCATTCCATGCATCCGTGGCACTGGGGATGTAGAGTGTAGTCTAGTCATGTAGGATGTAAATGAAGGAGGAAAAAAGGGAAATGTATTGACGTGTTATCTATCTATATTACCTTGCCCTCCCTCCCCTCGGTCTCCCTCGAGTCTTGGTTAGATTTTGGGTGTGAGTGAGAGACCTTGTTTGACAATTAACTAGGCGGGATCCCGCTCTCCAAAACCTTGGCTCAGGGCGGTCCTATCCCACCAAAACTTGATCTGCTCGACCTCTCGCGCGGTCATGGTCCTCACCTCGGCGGACACGCCCGTGGAACCCCGGCCTCCGTCTTCTGGAGGGATACGCTCGTCATTTCCGCGCCCAAACACCATGATCTTGGCGGCCTCGGGCCCGCCGCGGAGCGGGCACTGGAAGACGGGCCAACCGTCCAGGACGGGGGCCGGGTCAGCGGAAACAAAGTCGGCGAACCAAGCGTGCATGCGTGTGGACACGTCGACGAGCCCCGATGGGGCTCGAGGTCATGGAGGGAGTGGGTGACAAAGGGGCTCTCGTCGGTGTGGTTCGCGGAGCGGAAGGGTCCGGCGAGGGCGGCGAACTCGTAGACGTAAACGGGGGTGGGGCGGGGAGGAGGGAGAGGCGGTGGGCGGTGTAGAGGACGGGGGCGATGTAGGCGTAGTGGGCGTAGGCGGCCTGGAGGCGCGCCCAGTGCGGGCCGCGGTCGGCGGGGGTGCGGGGGCAGTCTGGGTCGGCGTCCGGGTCGTGGAGGGGGTAGAGGGCGTCGAGGCGGTCGAGGTCGGCGGGCTGGAGGGTGGGGATGAGGGTGGTGAAGAAGGCGCGGAAGGCGGTGGGGGAGGCGCAGGGGGCACGAAGGCGGTGCCTTCGTGGGAGCAGAAGCCGGTGATGATGGGGATGTTGGGCGAGAACTGGGTCGCGGCGTCCCAGAGGGCGAGGGGTCGGTCGGGAACGATGTCGGCGCCGTCGATGACGGGTTGGAAGGGCCAGCGGACGGAGTCGGCGTAGCGGCGCCATACGCGGGCGGCGGCGGTGGTGAGGTCGGCGACGGAGAGGGCGCGGAGGGCGGGGAAAGGGTCCTCTGCGGTGTCGGGGGACGCCGGCGGCGGCAAGGAATTCGGCGAGTTGCGTCGTTTGGCGCGGGTGGGAAGGGTGCCAGATGGCGCGGGAGGTGGCGGAGCCGGATTCGAGGATGGCGCGCTGGAAGGGGCGGAATTGGGCGGGTAGCTGAGGATGTGGTGGCCGAGCTGGTGCGTTTGAACCGTGAAAAATGGTTAGCACGGAGTTTTTGTTCCAGTGTTGCCACTGTACTTTTACGTCTCTTGATGGGGGAGAAACGAGAGGAACTCTCTCTCTCTTACCGAATGGCCGCCCGCGCTGATGCCCATGGCAGTCACCCTCCCGGATCACCGCCAAAAGCAGCGATATTCTCCCTCACCCACTCCATCGCCACCCTCTGATCCCGCAACCCCAAGTTGAGCCCCCGCGCGCCGTCCGGCCCATCCGCCGCCGCCAGGAACCCGAGGACCCCGAGCCTATAGTTGAAACTCACGGCCACCACGTCCCGCTTCGCGTGCGCCACAAACGACGCGAGGTCCCTGTCCGCCCCGAACCCCATGTTGAACGCCCCGCCGTGCACGTACACCAGCACCGGCAACTTGATCCCTCCTGCCCGCTCTCTGCCGTCGCCGCCGGCCTCGTCACATTAACGCTCAAACAATCCTCCCCGCCGGCAACGGCTCCGCATCAGGCTCCGAAAAGGGCGAGATCGGCCCCAGCCGCGTCGCATCCCGCACCTCCTCGTGCGCGGACCCCGCCCGCTCCACGGGCTTGGCGGGCCGGAAACGGTTCTCCCCGCCGTCGACTGCGCGTACGGGATGCCGAGGAAGACGTCGAGGGCTTTCGGCCGGATCCTCGTCGACGCGAGGTATTTGCCCCGGTACACGCCTTGGCGGAGCGTGACCTGAGGGGGTTGGCGGCGTTCGGAGGGCATGGCTTGTCAAAGCGTGGGCGCAGCGCCTGTTCTTTTCACTTTCGGGGGTGGTGGGGGTTTCTGCTTCTGCTTCTTTGCTCCTTTCCGTCCTTCTTTCAAGGAGCTCGTTTCTTTTCTTTCTTCTTAAAAGTGGAGGGGGACAGAAGATGGTACACAAGTCCGAGGTAATCAATCCTGCAAGAAAGCTTAGGCGCAGCTTCCGGAGGGTTTTAGCGCAATGCGTTCCTTACATACTTGTAGACATAGCCTTGGAGGAGAGTATGCCGAACCGACAAAGCATCAAATGAATGGTCCCATCACTGCCCCGACTTCGAGTTCGTCCCTTTGCTAGCTCCCGCGGCGGTGGCTGCTGCAGTGGAGTAACCCACGCTCAACTCTCCTCGAATGGCTCCAAACCCCGCACATAAAGACCCGCAATGGCTTGCAGGCGCAGAACTCCGTGTCGGCAGATCACTCGTGCTCCATCCAAGCAGAACATTGAACTCAATGCCGCCATTGGTTTTTCTTGCCTTGTACAAAAGCTTTGCCAGCATCTTGGACATGGACCCAGCATGTAATCAACAATTAAATAGCTTCAATCCTTATTCAAGCAGGCCATGTCATCGACCGATCCTTTTTCTCAAGTAGTAGAGCCCTCCAGAGCAGTCCGCACAAACAATCGACAAGAATTGATTTAGTGTACTACAAGTTATGCTCATGGTAGCGGAGGAAATGTGATAGGCACAAACCAAAAGGCTGTTGCGTCTTGCGTGAATCGATGGATGGATTGAGCCAGATACAGATAATACAAAATGATACATTTTCGAGAATCGGGGACCGATTCGACAAGGACGCCGTACAACCAAGCTTGAACCAATGCAGTCCCTCCTCCTAAGCCATGATACTCCCCAACAAGCGCAAGACAATCAGATAGCAAGACTCTGCAGCCCTCGTTTTCTTCTTCCTGGATTCCAAACAAAAATGTTCCCAACTAGAGAAAAAAATGAAAGAAGGGAAGAAAAAGGGGAAAAAAAAAACTCCTTCGCAATGATAATAGCCATAGTGATGATGACCTCTTCATAGAGGTGATGGGGGTGGTGTGTACCCTATGTTCTGTGTTGTCTAGTGCACACCATGCATGCTGAGCCATGGTGAATGAATTGATAGAGAGCTTCGCAAAGACCTCTCACAGCTCGTACGTTTGCGACAGGATTCCAAAACACGTCCTCCTACAGCTGGCTTCCTAACAAGACGGGGTCTGCTAGGAGATGGTGGTCAACACGTGCACGTCTTCCTTTGCCTTTCTCTGCCTCGCCCACTAGTCCCAGCTGCCTCGTTGGTATTCGTATGCTCCTAGCCTTTTACCGTGTAAGAGCGGTCGTGCCTGCGCTCGCAGCCTTGCGTCGCTGCTTCTCAGCCCACTCGCGACTCAGCTGTCGTGATCGCTCCGCGGCTTGCTCTCGGGCAAGTTTGGCAAGCACCTCCCTCTCCGCTCGCCCACGTTCTCGGTCATTGGCGTATCGGTTATCCCGAGCAAGTATCTCCTTTCCACGCACCTTGTGCTGCGCCGCGTCCTCGGCCGAAATCGTGCTTCGCTTGCCACTGCCGCTGACGCTACTGGCAGCCACCGACGTCGCACGGCTCAACTGAGATGGGGATGTGGCAACCGCACGCCCACGAGACTGCGACGATGCCATGAGGGGCGACTGCGTTGCAGCCAGCGAAAGCCGCTTCATACTGGCGCTCATAGCTGCGCCGTTCTCCATCTGAGACACTTTTGTTTGCCGGGCACGGCTAGCGACCGTCTCGCGGGGCGCGCTGCTGGGCTGCCTAAGGCCTGCCATGATAGGGCGCGCCTTGAACTCCCGCCGCTTTTGCTCCTCCTCCTCTTGAGCCCTAATCTGCGCCTCACGCTGCTCTCGCTTACGGCGAGAAATGGCTTCTCCCGGAAGCTCAAACGTAGGCCGGGGAAGCACACGGGTAGACCGAGTTCGCTGCGGAGTTGCCGCCTTGATTGCCGCCGCAGGCGATTTTCCAACCTCAAGCTGCATCGAGAGTCGCGCCTCCTTCTTCTCCTTCAACTTCCTTGCAATGGCTTCCCAGGCAACTCGAAAGTCGGCATCGTTCGCGGCTTGTTCGACTTGACCAACGGCTTAGGAGGCGCAAGACTAGCAGGCCGAGCGACGGGTCTTCTGGCGGGAGACTCCGAGACGCCCTCAGCCTTGGCAGCTGCCGGGGCTTCGCCTTCCTCCGCACCGACCGACATGGACCTAGACCTATAGGACCCTGCTCGGCCCGGGTCCGTTGGCTTGATCCGGACCGTCGCCGCGTACAGGCTGCTGCGGGGTCTCTTAGCTGACGCTGGCGTGTGCGCGGCACGCGAACCCGCTCGCTGGAGCTGTGCTGGGCTCCTCCCTGGACTACGGCCCAATGGAAGAATCTCGGGGACGGCACTCGCCCAAAGTGCGTCACGGCATTCACCGCCTCGAGCTCCTCCTCGAGTCGGTCAAGAGCCTCGAGCGAATCTTCAATGCTAAGAATCTTGGGGGCGGCCGGGCTCGACGTCACTGATCTGGTGAATCCATTTACAGAAATAGGCCTTTGCATGGCTGCTGGTCCCGTTCCACTGCGGCCGTTCGCCAACGGCGTTGCTGGTGATGGTAGAGTTTCCCCATCTCCGCCGCGGATGCGCCCACCTGGTCCACCAAAACCTTGGGTTCCCCTTGGCTGACCATCTCATGTTTCAATGGAGAGGCTATCATGGTGATCGTGTTAGTTAGGTGTATTCCTTGAAGAGAGGCCGTCTTGGACACTGCATTCCGTCGCGCAGGGTTGCAGCCGTAAACGATTCTCGTCTTGTCCTTTGCGTGGGCGGGTTCCTCGTTCTCGTCCGGAATGATATCGAGGCTCGCCTGGACCGTTTGCGGGTACGCGATGCTGTACTCGTACTGGCCTGCCTGGAGTTTGGCAACTTGATCCTCGACACTTGGTAGACAAGCTGGAAGCTGCATCAGAGGGTGATCTGGTGGGAATAAAGGCATTAGCACGTGGCTCAGCTCTCCCATTAAAGACGAAGGAATGTTGGTGTGTGCGAGCCTCTAGAACAGAAACTGGATATATAGGGCTTCTTGCTTACCTTGGAAAGACGCACCAGAGTCCCGTGTTTCTACCACGAGGTCGGAAACGGCCTCTTCCGTAATGGGTGCGAGAAACTCGATTGGGCCAAGACTTGTGTCGCCTTCAAAACTAGGAGATCCAAGGAGCTCCGGTTCAATCACAGGCCGGGGCTCGGCCGGGGGTCAAAGGTCTCGACTGCGAGAGCCGGGCGGAGCGGGAGCCTCTTGGATAGCACGGGAGAAGGTGACTCGCTCGCCTGCCCGCGTTCCGACGGATCCTTGGGTGTTTCCAAGCTCGCAATACGAAGCCTTCCAAATTGGATAGTGAGAGAGGTCGGCGACGCGTCAAAGAGAGGCGTTTGGTGCTCGGGGCTCTGAGTGCCTTTGTGGCTCGGAACAATGTTGACGCACGTCTCTTGCAGCGCGCGAATGTAAGCGGTGCTAGTGGGGTTCCGGTCCGGAGTCGAGTCTATCGAGGAATCGGCGTCAGCCTCGGCGATGCTGTTGCGCGTAAGAGGACTGTCTTCAAGGATATCAATGGTAGTAGGTTGGTGACAAGTCCTGTCGAGGCGAGGTGTTGAAGCAAAACCTCCATCCTGAATTTGCGACTGGGGGTGTGGAGATAAATGTTTCTCAGGAATATTATGTCGTTAGCGTAATAGTGGAGGCACAAGTCCGAGCCAAGGGTTCAGCCAGCAATTCCTCTGCCCTCCTTCCAATCCAAGCCAGGGGTGATGTTTGAGCACGACGGCTATTATGGGGGCAGCCTCCGTCGTGTTGCAAGTGGCCGAGAGAGCAAAAAACCCTTCGGAAAGGTGACTTCCAGGGTTATGCTGACAGGGACCGCCGGCCAAAGCAGGGGAAAGCTCCTGGCGCAAATTTCACGGTTTATCACAAGGACACTTGCAGAGAGGGGTGGCGGGGGTGAGCGCGAGGGTGATTAGCACGGACACTAGGCCGTTTGATCGCTGGTGCTCCGTCCACACAGAAAATGGGATAATAATGGAATCGACAGAAACTCCCGAGGGTCAGCCAGCCTATCGGGTCAACAAGGGGCCTGGATAGAACCAAGAAGGGAAAAGAGGACCCGATGAGAAGAATGCGAGCCGGTTGAGCTTGTCCAACGTGTTCAAGAGAGATTGTTCCGGGTTTCCAGATGAGGATAAGAGGAAGGGCGGGTATTCGGGGGAAAGGTACGAATCTGGAGGCCAGGGAGTCGATGGTGGAGATGGGAAAAGGCTGATGCTCTCGGAATGATGATCAATTATGCTTGCGACGATGCATTGGATGCTTCGGAGCGGCTAAGTTGAAGTTGAAGATGATGAAAAAGGGCAAAGTCTCAGACGAGAGGAAGAACACAACAGAATCCCCTCCTTTCTTGCGTTGTTCCTGTTCTTATTCCTCAATGAGCAACGTGGAAGGACAGCAGAGTGGAGTCAGATGGAAAGGGCAAGGACTATCCACGAAAAAGTTCCATTTGTTGACTTTCCAAGTGCGGAGCCTCAGATATATTATGGACGGAAGCAGGTACGGCTGAGGAAGCTACTGTGAAGAAACAAGGAATAAAAAGATAAAAAAGAAAACAAACGGCAGGCTAAGACACGACACGACACCATCATGCGGGGAACACAGCGCCCAACCGGAGAGCTGCGTCTCGCTTCGCCCATCGGCTCCAAACGAAATCAAGAGTGTCGGCCGTGCTCACACCAAAAGAAGGAGCGAAGTAAAAAGCTTCGGCTTCGCTTCAAAATAGTAAATGAACAACCATTAAAGGGCAAGAGGAGCAGCGTGCTTGTTCACCTCCCAGCATCAAACATGAATGTAAACATCTCTTGTCAGCCAGCCTAACCCCTTCGTGAGTTCCTCGGGGAAATCGCAAGTCGGTGGCCGCCAAGTGCATTCCTGGAAAGCAACTCAACTTCCTGCTCTGCGCCTTCTACCTTCTAGAATCTTCAAGGGCCCGACCAAGCACGATGCGGAACACCAATGAGCCCCGCCTCATCTCGACTATGTCCCAGGTTGAGCAAGGGTCCGGGGTTGAAAAGGTTCAGGTTTCTTGTGGACTATGACTAAGGCACGCGTCGCGCCACACGCGTTATGCCTCCTGTTTCTGCGCCTTTGTGCGACGAACCCCACTTCAAGCGCAACCCTCCAACCCCACCTGCATTCCAAGCCATTTGCTCAGACTTCATCACTTGAAGGTTGGGCTCGGTCACGTCTGCCCACCGCCATCCATCGCAGCGCCCTTTAAAGCTCCCAGCCCAGCGCCACGATAACGACTATGTACAAGTGCTGAGTGCTAAGTGACTATCTTGTAGAGACCTTTTAGACAAGGGGATAAATATTATCCTTTTGTAAAATCCCAGGGGCAGATTAACCTCCTCTTCCCCACATCTCACTCGAGCTACGCTTTTCAGGCGCCCTCGATGCCGAGACAGTGCTCGTCAGGCAGTTGGTCGGTGTTATCCATTGGCCTTGGACAGGTATCCAGTTTAAGCCTCTCGCTAACTCAAGGTTATGAGCTGGAGAGGCTTGGGTACCGCACTGTAGACATCTAGTGGCGGGGAGGAGCCGGCGGGCATCTTTGTGCGGGATATAAGCTATTTCGCACGATAGAGTCCTCCTCATTTTCCATTTCAAGGGCTTTGTAAACTGCTCTCTAACGCTGCCTCCGCTTCGGCCTCCGCAACAGCATCTGCTTGAGCCTGAAGCGCGGGCGCGTGCTCGGTGGGAATGCGGACAAGAGTCTGGGGAAGGGCAGGTGGAGCGTCGTCACCCGATGGTTTCGATAGTTTGGCTATTCGAGAGATCCGTCAGGATCATATCTGTGGCAAAGGCAAGGCGAGGCAACACCTCCAACCTGCGAAAGACGTGACAAAAGAAACTTACTTGACGCCATGCTGATTGCACGTAAAACATTGTGCCAGTTACCCAGCACCGTAGCAATGGCTGTCATGGAATGAGTGAGCTTGACGCTTGCACGGGGATCAAAACGGGGCAGCCCAAACCTTCGGTTCCGTCCGAGAGCGTCGACAACTTTTGCTCCAGCGCCTCCATTTGTCCCGCTACCGCGGCGCTGAGGTCGCGCAGTTGCCTGAGGTTTTCGAGCTCAGCCTTCTTCTCCTCGATGCGTGCGACGAGAGCAGGAGACGGCCCGGAGCCGCCTCCCGAGACGGACGACCCTCTAAGATGGGAGGATAGAGCTCGCGGGGGCATCGACATCGCGGCGAATGAGATATCAGGTTTCCGGGGGCGCTTGCTTGATCGTGTAGCGGGTGGCCTCTAAGCGATGGATGGTGGTTGGGGTCTTTTTCCTTGTTTGGGGCCGTGGCTGACGATAAGCGCATCTGGTCACGGAAGCTGCAGATCAATGTGCAAGGCCATGTGCAATGGGTGTGGTATGGCTCGAGCAATGCCTGGGGAAATCCCGTAGGCTTGGCCCCCTTCCAGTTCAGTTCGGAGGGGCAGCGTCACGTGTTGTTCAGCAGCTCAGTGCACTGTCCACCGGGCACGATGGGGGCTCTGGGCCAGCCACGTCGCAACCACTCAGAGCTGGCCACCTTGCACGCCAATACACCCGTGGGCGAATCTCGTTGGCGGCTTCACCACCACTCGCAACCAAATCCGGCAAAAGGGACAAGAACAATCTCGAATCCCTTGCCAGGTTGTTTAAGCAAAGCTACCCGATGCGGGTCCTTGTGACCCAGGCTTACCGGAACTGATACAGTACAGGCGGCCCCGGTCCCACGAGTGAGTCAAGAAATAAAGCACTGAGCCCAAACAATTCATTTGTTGGCTCGATTCCCGATGCACAGATGCACCAAGAACGCAAAACCAACCTACCATGGGGTCCCTTCACAAATCAAACAAGCCTCAGCCGTCACTTTTGCTTTGCTATCGGTTTGATGCGACCTGCTCGCCAAGTTCGTGCTCAGGAGTCCACTTGCTGCCCTTCACCTTTAGGCTTCCCGCCGGATGCGCACGCACACCGTAATAACAAAAAGAAATATGGCTTTCTTCCAGACATCATTTATGTAATAGTACTTGCTATCCTGCAGCTTGGTGGCCATGGCCGTGTAAGTCGCGGTTCCCGGCAACCTGGGCAACCTGAGCCATCCGAGCTCCCCATAGGTAGCCTCGGAAGACTCTATCCGCTCTTTCGTCGATTACTGGACACCTGGTGCCCTCTTTGAAGTGCAGGATTGTTTTGGGCGGTCAGTAATACACAGATCAGGCAGTGAACTAATACGTGGTGAGGCGGCATGGATCCTTGGACCATGCTTCACACTGATAAACTGGGTGCGATGCGAGTTGCTACAAAAGACGGCCAACCTCGCAACAGAACGAGCAAGTGGTTCTATATCAGCATCTTCTTCTTGTTCTTCTTCTTCTCGACACTTCCTTTGTTTTTTCCTTCTGTACTTTTCTTTGCTTGCATCTGCTTTCTCGGCATTCTTCAGCATCAGAAATAATGTTACGACTAAAGACGTGGGAGTGGTTTCTGGTCCTCCTGCGCAGCGTCGCTGTATTGTACAGCTTGGTGATCGTGGCGGTCTGGATCCACCTCGCCCGCACCGAACCTAATCCCACATTCACGAATCTCATCTACGGCGTCCCATTCACGGCGGTAGGTCTATTCCCCAACATTTGCTATTCTCAAAACGACGATCCCGATCTGGGCGGCTGAGTTGTGGTCATGTTGTGAACAAAAAGGCCTTTCTCGCCCTCCTTTTGACGGCTGGGAGATTTATGGCCTTCTCGTCGCCTCCTGGCCGAGACCTCCAGCCGGCGTTCTCATCTTTCACGAACTCGTAAACGCCGGGGTCGTTATCCTCGCATGTAGGGAAAGCTCGTTGCTGGACGCCAAGCCCGGGCCGTTTCAAGGCATGTGGATGTTCAACGATACCTTTCGCATGAAGGTTATCTTCATGTGCATTGGGTTTGCGTAGGTTATTTCCACAGCGACCATCGGCCCTCCCTTCCTCTCATTCTTTTTCTCTGTGAGAATGCCTAACAAGTCCGGGGGTGCCCCGTATATAGGAGCGTTCGATTCTTCATGCTTGCTTTTACCCTCGCAGACCGTTGTTGGGTCCGGCATAAGAAGCGCGGAGATCTCGAACAGGGTAGTAGTGGAAGCGACAAGGCTTAACGGCCACTCTCGCCCTCTTGCGACCCAAGGATATAGCAAACCTTGGTGCAGGACTTTGCCGCTCCTAGGTCAAAGATGGGTCCAATCCCCTCAGGTTCATCCAAAGACCAAGAAAATTGGAAAGAAAAGTCGGTGGTGGCCATGCCTCGTCCGGACGGGACTCGGGGTTGACGCCTCAAAACCTCGTTGTCGAGGCTAACTTGTCCCCTCACCGGCATGGCAAGATTGCCTCCGGTTGAGACCAAGACATCGCTTCTTCTGCCAGGAAAGCATGCTAGGCCATCCTATTTCATCTGTATTCAAACAACTCTCGGGTATGTGGGCCGATTGTGTGCTATAATGTACTACAAAACATCAAGAGATCGGATTCGCTGAGGCCGAGTCAAGAGCTAGAGATTGTAATTTAACCACCTGTATTTTACATGGTCCGCTTTGAGGAAGACCCTTCCTCGCTATAATAATACCGACCGCGTCTCTTTAAACTCGTCGATCAATCTTATTGATTGATTGGTTCTTTGAGGTTCAATGCTGTGTAAGTGGCCTGTACCTCGTCAAGTGACGTGACGAGTGGTTAGAGATAGGATGGGGGAAAGAAGAAACAACTCCCGGTTCGGAGATTTCCCCCTCACCTCACCTCACCTCCCTCCATCGGAATAGCCGTGCATACTTCCGAATTTGCGAGATCTCCCATCACGCTATCGGCTTGTCACTGAGGCGCTAAAGACGCCATCGCGATCTAGGCATTGTTCTTAGCAAGCCGTTAGTCAAGGATGAGATAATCGCCGTTGCATTTGGCTGGTGATTTCTAACCGCATGCTTAGAAATGAGGAGCGGAAGCCGACCAAGATGGGTCTTGAATGGAGCCGAGATTACAAAGGTTTTCATTCCTTTAATGGAACGACGACTGGTCCCTAGATACACCATGAAGGATAGGGAATCTAATGCTCGACGACCGGCATACCAGCATCGGCACCAGTTGTGCGCTTCGCGACGATGTTGGGAAGTCATTCCGCTACATGAGTGCCCTCCCGATGAAAAAAGGCTCGGAGAGCTAATAAGGAGCAGAATAATTGATGTAAAGGGCTCGCCACTTGAAGAGCGCTACATCAAACAGGTTAAGCGCGACCCCCAACAATAACCACAGGCGAGGTGCCAGAGTGGTTAATGGGTGTGACTAGAAATCACATGGCTTCGGCCGCACAGGTTCGAATCCTGTCCTCGTCGCGGCATTTTCTTTTTGTTTTCTTTTCTTTGAGCTTTGTTTCTTTTCTGTCTCCATTTTCTTTTTTTCTTCTTCTCCATTTCCTCCGCCCCTCGTGCGGAGCCTGCCCCATATACTGATTCCCGCAACGCTACTGGCACGGCAAGATGCCAGAGTGGTTAATGGGTGTGACTAGAAATCACATGGCTTCGGCCGCACAGGTTCGAGTCCTGTTCTTGTCGGAAGTCTTCTTTTTATATTTCCTTCTTGGCAGATTGTGTAACATTGGGCTTTCTTTTGTCTCGTTCCAATATCCATTTTGAGTTGCTGAAGCGCTCAAAAACAGCCCTCGCCGTTCCTTGTTCTGACACTCTGGCGCGTGGCCTTGCATTCACTGCGGGGTCTATCCCCATCGTCCTCATCTATCCATGGATGGATATACTTGGAAAGTGTAGAGTCGCATCACTATTCTTTTACAGCTACACCCTTCGGTCACTCGGGCACTACTATTGACGGGGTTAGGGTCGGGGATAGCCCTGGGGATAATGCGCACACTGTCATATCAACTCTTGATGTAGGATGTTTCATTTACATGTACTGTCTTTGCCACAGCGCCAACCAAGAACATTGGCAACATTCCAGTCTCCTAAGGTACATTCGCACTATACCTCAAGTATCATATGTAGCCAACGGAGCCTACCTAGCATAGGTGTACCGTGACTGGAAAGATTGGAATACAAGCGTTTCAGTTGCTCTACAGGGTGCGGTTGGAGTTGCTCTACTAGCGGGATGCCAACCCACCGAGCGCCCGCTTTTATGCATCAATATCGTTTCTTGAGACCAGCTCCCTGAGCTTGGGATGCCACCCTCATATTCTAGAAATTGCCTCAGAAAGTACTGGGGCGGGACGGGGACGGGCCAGGCCATGTGCTCAATCGTACGCAGGTCAAGGTCCCGGTCCATGACTGAGCATTCTCGAATCGATGGTAGTCTATAGCTGCGGTCTTGCGATGCTCGGTGACATGATACTCCCGCGAATGGCGAGAGTGCTGAGGTTGTGTGTGACGGTTCTGGCACCATAGATTGCGTGCTCGCTAGCTTGCGAGGACGAATTATTAATCTGTCGATGGGGTCAAGAGGAAACTAACACGGCATTTCAGTTTCGGAAGGTGCGGGCGAGTTGAGCTAGTCCAGGGGCTTATAAATAAGGTGGGATATTTCTCTTCAAGATTCGGTACAAGACAGCACATTGTCCAAGCCTTCGTTGTTCTCATCTTCCCTTTAGCATTCGCCTACGCTCCTCATCACATCACAACCCGTTTACCTCGACCTGTCAGAATGAGCCAAATAACCAAAGTCGCACTAGCTGGTGTAAGTCTTGATTCATGCTTGCTGGTCCCCCTCCCCCTCGCTTCCCACTAGAGCGCAATCAATATCGTTAGTGGCTAACATGCGTTTTGGATACTACTAGGCCACAGGAAACCTCGGTCCCGCCGTTCTCAATGAACTCCTCGAAGCTGGATTCGAAGTAACGGCCCTCGTTCGAGAGGGTGGTGCACGCAGCTTCCCGCTTCGGTCAAGGTCGCCCAAGTAGACTACGACTCCGTCGAATCTCTTACTAGTGCCCTCCAGGGGCAAGATGCGGTAGTTGTGACGCTGGGAAGCGCGTCCTTTAGCAAGCAGCACAATCTTATCGAAGCCTCCGTCAAGGCGGGCGTCAAGCGCTTCATCCTCCGAGTTCGGTTCCAACACACCCAACGAAAATACGCGCAAGCTCCCTAGCTTTGCGCCCAAGATCGCCGTCCAAAAGAGCTCAGCGAAAGAGCAAAAAATACCAGCCTAAGCTACACACTCATCATCAATGGCCCATTCCTCGACTGGGGCCTTCGTTCCGGATTCATCTTCGACGTGAAGGGCAAATCGGCCCAGCTGCTGGATGGGGGTGACCGGACATTCAGCGCCACCACCCTTTCAGGAGTGGGGAAGGCCATCGCCGGGGTGCTCAAGAACCCCGAGGCAACCAAGAACCGGACCGTCTTCGTGCAGGAGGTGGAGACTACGCAAAAAGCCCTTCTTGAGAAGGCGAAGAAGGCAATCGGTGCCGACGGTTGGACAGTAGAAGAGGTCCCCGTTGCGACTATTGTCGCCGCTGCGACGGAGGAACTGAAGAAGCCAAACCCAAACCCCGGCGTCTGGGTTGTACCGTTCATCAAGGCCGCCATCTTTGGCGAGGGATATGAGTCCCACTATAAGACGCTTGATAACGACTTATTGGGCGTGAAGCAACTTACTGATGACGAGCTTCAGGCCGTGGTCGACGATGTAGCCAAAGCTTAAAGCGAAAAGCTAGCTGGAGACAAGGGGATCGCAAGCTCATGAATACCTATGAATAAAGTATAATATCATAACCATTGTTGATTATGATCTATCTACTTCTCCTTTTAAACATATGATTGAGTTGCAAGTGCAATCTTTTTCGTGCTCATAGTTTTAGTCGGCCTGCGCTCGGTAATAATGTGTGGACGGGATGAGACTGATTGACTTGCACGGAGGGGCTCTTTTAGCTCTCTCGGATCCATTAAAACTTTGGACCAATTATTCTTCAGAATCAAGTGCCAAAGTTCAAAGTGCTCGATTGTTTGCTGGTGCTGCTGGTACGGCTGCTGACGTAAGTGGCCGTAGGTGTGGCAGGGATCAAGCCCCAGTTGTGGTGTCCACAGCAACCAGTCGACGGAGCCGCACTAGGCCTGTTTTGATCATTTGTAAATATGGCACAAATATCAATGCACCCAATTCTCCCGCGTCCGCTATTACACCGCAACATCAATATACCACCACATCACGAAAAAGGGATGCCGATGCAAAGTTTGATTTTCCTCACAACCCGGTAAACAAATCCAGAAGCACTCGTTTTTCGCGTCTTCAGCATATTTTCTTCTCTTTACCAACTCCCAAATCGCTGCATCTCGCCTGGTATTTTCCGACCGCTTTTTTCTTTTGGCTGTTGATCGGACTCAGCATGAAATAATGGCAAGGTTGAATGATCCACCGCAGTCCGCGGATAGCTACGAAACGCGTAAGAACTTCTCTCACTCCTCTTCTTTTTGTCGTCTTTACGAAGACTTCTGCTTCTAACATGATGATTGTGAATCCCGAAATCTAGTCCGCAGGAAGCTTCTCCGCCAGAACCGAGACCTCGCCCGCGTAAACTCGACGCAGTCGCTCAAGATCCGCCACCTCGAAAATGAATGTGCCCGCATGCTCTCGGAGAACCTAGAACTCCGTGGCCAGATTCTCCAGCTAGAGAAGGAAGTTGAAAACAGCAAGGCGCAGAGGATTGCGGACCATGCGTTGGAGATTAAAATGAAGCTCGAGGAGCAGTTGGCGGAATGGGGCAGCATGCTTTCGGGGCTGGGCCTTGAGCCCCCGCGAAACGTCGAGATGCTATCGGCAGGCGAGCTACGCAATCCAGGATGAGCTTGACTAAGAGAAGCCCCAGGAAATCGCTTAGGGACCTGGCCAGGAGGCCGAGGCAAGGGCGCGAGAGGAGGGTCGATTGACGCCCATTCAAGAGCACAGGACATACCCGAGAGCAACGTTAGAGTATGTTTGGACAAACGCACACACACACACACACACACACACACACACACCAGCCCGCTCCCTCCTTTTATGGCTTTGCTGACTTTTCTATAGTAGCGAGGAAATCATGGCCCTCCGTTCCGAGATCGCCGCCGCCGATATCTCGGGTTCTTCTGATTTCGACCTCCACCTGTTTCGAGATTTGTAGAGGAGGAGGACTCTGTCATTCCCGAATCCCCATCGAGACCACCTGCATCAAATGAGCCTCTGAAACCAGAGCCGAGTCCTTCGGAATTGCCAACGTCGAAGGCTAGGCTAACCGAGCCCGAAACTGCCCAAGAGGCTGGTCCTGCTGCGGCAGCCCCTAATCCCCCGAGCCAGCAGCCGACGCCCCCTCGTCGGTGCCCTCCAAGTCTGGGTCAAAGAGGAAGCTTGGCGTACGAGAGGATATCGAACCCACCCCCACGACAACGACAGAGGCGGCAGCATTACCGGCGTTCGCCCCACGAAGAAAATCAACCATTGCCAAGGAGCGAATGGGTGGCAAGACGCTCAAGGAGCTGGCAGCTATAAGACGCGAGTCCCGTGAGCCGGCGGCCGCTCCCCCGTCCTCGCGCCCACTCGTAAACCACTCGCTGCCAAGAGCACGAATGAGGAGATCGCCTCCCCAAGAAGGTGGCAGGAAAGAAGGGGACCCTACCCAACGAAAAACCGGGCAAGGCTCTCAAGTCGAAGCTGAGCAAGGAAGACGTGTCGCAGCGACCGGTGAGAGCCAAGGGCCCCGCGGTCGTCGTAATCAAGGAGACTCCCGTCCTCGCCCCCGAAGAAGCGATCATCACTCCCCTTGCCGAACCCGAACCTGAACGCGTTGCCGCGCTCGAGGCCCACCTACTTTCCCCTTCGCCTGGGCCTAAATCTCAAGCCGAGTCTAGCGATACGCCCCCGCCAGCAGATATCTCGTGGAAGGGTGAGACAACGCGCCCCAGCCGTCGATCACGGGCCCCCGTTAGCTACGCCGAGCCCAACCTGCGCGATAAGATGAGGCGTCCGACCAAGGACATGGTCGATGCTGTTTCGGGCGAGGGCAAGTACCGCCGGTCGAGCAATGCACCCGCAGATGACTCGGCGGCGACGACGGAAGGTCTAGCGAAGCCCGAGTCGACCACGGAAGATTCACATGAAAAGGCCCCGTTGGCACTCGAGGCGCCGATGATGAGTGCCCTTCCAGCAAGCCCCTGGCGCAGAAGAGCACGGTCGACGGCAACGCACTCCCGAGTTCCGTAGTCACCGAGAGGAGGAAGAGGCGGTCTTCGGTCCTGACGAAGGATAGCATCGCTGTCGTCGATGACCTGGGCACCCCTCCAAATCCTCCGACGACAGCCTCGATCTATCGATAAGCTCGACGACCGCCTCGGATAGCAGCAGTCACGACGTCTACGACTTCCCCAGCAACTCCCCGATACGAGTTCCGACGCGAACCCTCCGAGACGGCCGGACGCAAGCTGCGCGTGTCCCGGAGGGTTTCGACGGCCGGCCACACCGAGCTCAGCCTCGAGAGGGAGGAGATGACCAAGGCGTCGAGGAAGCGCACGTCTATGCACGTCGGTCGCCGGGCGCGGCAGGACCTCGGCCCTGGAGCGTACGCCGAAGACGGTGACGACGTGGTAGGCCTCGCGGCCGGGGCCAAGGACCGGGCGCTGAGGAGGAAGAGCACGATGCTCTAGGGCGGTGGTGCGAGCTGTTACGGAAAAAGAAGTTGTCCGATCATGATGTCTCTTTTGTTTAGAAACCAGGTGGGAGAGGACGTCTGTACATGTTGGGTCCCCTTTCATGGGCCTGCCCCCCTTTTCACCCCGTTCTGTCACACACTCTCTGTCTCTCTCTTCTTTGTTTTTGCCCTCTTATTTTCTTGATACCATGGGTTCCTTTCGCTCGGGGCGCATCTTTTGTCTTTCTTGATTTGTCATGACAGTACGATACCGAGACGCAGAACAAAAATAACAGGCGCACGACATGCATGCAACGCACATCATATATTCATAGCGATCGATTGGGAGGCTGTCTGTTCTACCTCTTCGTTTAAGGGGGACACGCGTTTTAATAACTTGGGGGCCTTTTTTGTTTTATCTTTTCCCTCTTTATATCTTGATTTTTATCTATAAAGCTTTTTTTCTCTTCGCTTTGACCGACAGATGCGGGCAACTCCAAACCCTTTTTCGACCGTTCTGAAAGGCAGAGTAATGGCGGGATACCATGACGATCCACCCTTTTGTAGAATCCTCTCCTCCGGATGTTAGATGACTGCAAGTCCCATCGTCGACATTGGACGACACGGACACTGACACTTCCGTGCTCAACTTATAACGACATCCAGTGAATCTGTAGAGATATCCATTGGTGATACCGTTCGACCGATCATGAGGAACTCAGCTGTGGGAATAAACAGGCGAGCTTAGCCCGCCACTTGTCATTACGAGTGGGGTATACAACTATATGTATATTGGATAACGTCCAGTTCCTTGGCATCTCGCCCTGGCTTTTGCTCTTTTCTTTTTGCTCTCGCTTCACCCTTGGCCTCGCTCCTCACGCCCCGGCAGAGGGCTCAACCGGCTTGGTATATGTGACTTTTTCCACGGCGACATTCTCGTTGCCCTCCTCGTCCTTCCGTAGTTGGTAGACGTAAAGCGTCAATGAAATTCCTTGAACCTATGTAGGAGTAAAGGCGAGAAGAGGAAGGGCAAAAAGAGTTAGTGCAAATGACCCTCAGGTAATGTATCTACGGCGTTTGGCGGAGTAGCTGGCCGGGGGTGGGGGAATGGCACTCACGTCCATCAAGCAAAAGCTTGGCGTGGGCTCCTGGCCGTCAGCCCAACCCATGGTGAAAGCGCCTGTTGCGCTTCCGGGATTGACAAAGAACTTGTCCATGTACTCAAAAGCGTCGAATTTGTGGGTACCGCCCCAGCAGAGGACGTCAACATCGAGGCGGTTAGCCTCAGCGAGCAGCAGGTCGGGTTCGTTGGAGACGAGGGTGAATCCTCGAGGAAGCCGATTCGCAGGGAGCCGTGCGAGACGACTTGGGTAAGCGGGAGGGAGGTGGCCTCGACGTCGTAGCGGCCCTTGACGATTTTGAGGTCGGGGTGATGGAGCGGAGGTATTCGTAGGTGGTCTTGTCGGTGAGGTTGCCCAGGCACAGGGTCTGGCTTATCTTTCCAGGAGCGAGGAGCTTCTTGAACTATGGTGTCGAAAAGAGAGAAGCGAGGGCCGGTGTTAGCTTACGGGTCGCTCCGGGGGAGGGGAAGGTTGTAGGAAAAGGCGCTGGCAAAGGGGAAAAGCTACTACCTTTGCGGGGAGATCCAGAGCGCGATCTGGTATGTGCATGTCGCCAATGACGAGTATGAGGAACGACATTGTAGCGGAGGCGGCGGAGGCGGGAGAGGGCGAGAGAGGAGAGAAAAAGAGAGAAAGGGGCGGGAGAGCGCGGGCAAGGCGATATTTTTTTCGGAGTGTGTGGGGAGGCGTCGGGCGCAACGAGCGAGGGTGAAATGGTTGGACAATGGATGGAATGCTGAGATCGGTGACGTTAGCCAGCGAAGCTCGCACCAGTCGATGGCGGCGGCCTGGCCCAAGCTGCCATCAGCCCCTCCCTTCCCTCGACGGTGTGTGTGGCTTGAGCACGAAAAGCCCCGCTATCGCTATCGTCCTCGAATGCGACGGCTCAATCTCCAAAATCCCGGGCCAAATTATGTACGCAGCGCTCAGCGAGGATGAAAGCGGTACGTTTAGAAGAGTGTAGGAGAGAGCTGAGGAAGTGGAATCGACGAAAATCAATACCTATACATTAATATCGGCTTTCTTTTTCTGTCGGCATGCTTGAGATATGTGTGTTGTACATGGAGCTTTTAAATCTTTGATGGGTCTGGACGTGGGGGTCAACTGCTTGCACATTGAATTTTTAACACCGTCGATAGCCTCCGCCGCGACTTGTGTGATTCAATATGGTCTTGGTTCAAACTTCGATCCATATCAAGGTAATCACAGATTGGGACATGATTCATCTTTAAGGGCGGACAAGATGACCGCCGGTTGGAGAAGAGCTATGTGAGCCGGGATCTCCACCAAAAGGCAAGCTTATCGAGCTTATCTTGGCGAGCGGCATGTCTGTCTGCTCTGGCTTACTCCCAGAGGCCGAGATCCAATATGATGATTGATATCACCAGCTCTGTCGCTCTTCCCTTGGAACACCCCTTCCCCTTTGCTTGGGTTTACACGGGTTAATCATAATCCTGAGGATGGGGGCCTGGTTTCGAACCTCGCTAGTTTTGGATTCCATGCTGGCGCGGGGTCCAAGGAGACGATGTGGAGCTTCCGCCGATGGAGATTTGCATCTTTTCTGGAGGGGGAAGCAGGGGGCTTCTTTTCCGAGAGGTTTCGGACAGGAGCGCAGCGAGAAAGATGCCGTCGATAAAGGTACATCGGATTATAACTGGTGATTCTAGCGGCTGGATGTACACACAAGAACGGACGCCTGGTGGGCTCGACGCTAGCTGGACGCAACCATAGCGCATGCAAATCTCTCCACCGAAGGGCCCCAGCAAGGAGTAGCTGGCTCTTCACAGCACTGGGCCGTTGGTCCTCGGCTCTTCCAGTCTTGGGTCTGGAGTTCACTTGCCGACGATGCATGTTAGTCAGTTCACGTCAAATCCCAAGACCCGGATTTGTCAACGGGGCTCTGCGGATTTCTGGCGACCTGCTGCTGTTCCCTCATGTGTAGTAGCCGAACTGATCAATGGGATCCTAAATCCGTCTCTCAGTCAATTGACCCTCTCTCCCAATTGTTAGGACTCTGCACCACTCGTGGGATCAACAACTACCCCTCCATCCCACCTTCCCCCTCAAAAACGTCAATTCCGTTCAATTGAATCATCCCGCATTCGGGTTTTACCCTCCTCGTCAGCCAAAGTCTCCCTTGAAGCTTGCTGTCCCATATTGCTCTCGCAACTCGCCCTCAGAAGGCCCCCCAATCCACCCACACCCAACACTCACACCCCCAAAAGCCCGGACACCTCCGACCTCCGGCACTGCTCCGGCATTACGAAATCCCCCATCCTATCCTATCCCAATCCCAAAGCCCAAGTTTTCCTCCATGCTGGCACGACATCCCCGGATTGGAGTCCACCGTTTTCTCTCCTCCACCATTTCCTCTTCATCGCCCAAGTGCATCATACCCTCAACGGCTTTTCACCGCGGAAGCGTACGTGACAGGATAATACGCTCCTTTTCTTCTTGATACCCGAGTCGAACCGCCAGCTGAGCTACCTTCGACTGACGTGCATTTCTCCTAGTTTAACACGACCCCCGCGCTCAAGATGTCTACCCAACCTGCCCACCCTGCCCTCCTCATTCCTGGGCCCATCGAATTCGACGATGCTGTGCTCCAGTCCATGAGCCACTTCAGGTAATTTTTGACCCCACCGTGCAAAACTGTTTGCCACTCTTGTCGCCGAACCCTCCTTTGTAGAAAGGTGGGGAATGCGAGCAGTAAGAAAGAAGCCAGCCCAAGAGGAAGGAGGGGAAGACAAAGGGAAAAAGAGAGAGAAAAAGAGGAGATACAAGGGGACAAGTAATATACAAACGGGCTTGAACTTCGGACAAGAGAAAAGAAAATTATAAACTTGGAGCTCTGAGAAGATTGCGCTGACAATACTAAACAGCGAGAGCCATGTCGGCCCGGGTTTTGTCGCCGTCTTTGGCGAGACCCTGTCGCTGCTCCGCCAGCTCTTCCAGACCACCGATTCCGCGGCCCAGCCTTTCGTCATCTCCGGCTCGGGTACTCTGGGTTGGGACCTCGTCGCCGCCAACCTCGTCGAGGCGGGCGAGGATGTTCTCGTCCTCCAGTCTGGCTACTTCAGCGACGGCTTCGCCGACTGCCTCACCACCTACGGCGCCAACGTGACCAAGGTCACCTCCGCTCCCGGCTCGCGACCCCAGCTCGACGAAATCGAAAAGGCCCTCTCGGCTAAGCAGTACAAGCTCTTGACCGTCACGCACGTCGATACTTCGACCGGTGTCTTGAGCGAGCTCAAGAAGCTCTCCGAGCTCGTGCACAAGGTCTCTCCCGAGACCCTCATCATCGTCGACGGCGTGTGCAGCGTCGCTTGCGAGGAGATTGCCTTTGACGAGTGGAAGCTGGATGGTGTCGTCACTGCCAGCCAGAAGGCCATCGGCTGCCCCGCTGGTCTGAGCATCTCCATGTTCAGCGGCAAGGCCATGGAGAGGTTCCAGAACAGGAAGACCCCTCCCGCCTCTTACTTTGCTTCTATGAAGAACTGGACTCCTAGTACGTTGCCAACCATGCCTCCCCTAACCCCGTCTAGCCATCTTTATCCCCACTGTGTTCGTGTCTAACCGGTCCTATGTATCTTCTAGTCATGAAGAACTATGAAGCGAAGAAGCCTTCCTACTTCGCCACGCCCTCCCCCAGCTCGTCCGCGCTCTCCACACCGCGCTCAACCAGATTCTCACGAAGCCCATTGCCGACCGATTCGCGGCTCACCGCCAGGCTTCGGATAAGATCAAGCAGGCCGTCACTGCCCTTGGCTTGCAGCAAGTTGCCGGAAACCCCGACGATCAGGCTCATGGTATGACCGCCATGTACCTTCCCGACTCCGTCAAGTCCACCGATCTTCTCCCCATCCTTGGCAAGAAGGGCGTTGTGTTCGCTGGCGGCATCCACAAGGAGATTGCCACCAAGTACATTCGATTCGGCCACATGGGTGTCAGCATAGTAAGTTCTCTCAGTCTCTTTTCCTATCAATATCATGGACATATTGGCTGACACATCACCAGCTGGACCCTCCAGGACGGACATCGAGAAGGCCCTCACTGCGCTCAAGGAGGGCCTTGCGGAGCTGGGCTACAGCAAGCCTTGACTATAAGGCAGTGAATTTTAGAGAGAAAGAAAAGAAAAGCTGGAAGCACCCATGCAATTCGTTGGCGTATAGAGATATATAGTCCAAAAATAAGCCTAAAAGAAGTAGGATACCTGGTGATGGAGAGTAAGAAGGAGGGTGGTTTTTTTTTCTTTGTCGGATAGACGGCATTTCTACGTACATATGGCTCCTTGGGAAATCTAATCACATCGTCTACATCGCATCACTCTGGCTCCACCGACTTCTGTTTTCGAGAATTCTGTGATTTTTCTCCTAGGTTCCAGGACCATCGACAGGACCCAGGAGCTAACAAAATAGAGCGGGTCGCTTCTGCGGCGAAATTTCGCAGTATGGAATGTCGAATGACCTATCCAGCTATTCCATTCATAGATCCATAGATGGATGAAATGGATCTATTGTAGTGGGGGTGAGCCAACCGGAGCGGATTCGGTGGCGCCGGATTGACGTGGACCCGTGGTTTCCGACTTGGAACCAACATGCCCTCTCAAAGTTGCATCTCCTACCACTGCAAGGGGAATGCTGCGTCCGGATGTTAGGGAAATCCTATAATCGACAACAGTACGATGTGATTGTTCGAGATTATTCGCAGACGAATACTTGCAGCTCCGGCGGGACTGAGATTCACGTATTCGATGCGTGCGAGACCTTGTAGTTCTGGGAGTAGTCAAGTGTAGGAGGCTTAAAGAGGAACATTGAAGTGAGAGAGAGTCTATCTTTATGGCCCCGTCCTTTCCACTTTCTGTTCCTTTAGCCCGTCTTCTTTGTTACAGACTAGATTTTGAGGCAAAAACAAAACATCCATAGATGGGTCAAGAGAGTTACTTGTAGAGACGAAGTAGGCGTGTGTGATTTTTGGGCTGAGGTCTCATCAAGATTCTGAGGAAGGAATTCGATGTTCAGGAAGCTACAAGTACTAGGTACTTCGCCTCTGCCTCTCCCCAATCAAGATGCACTCTCCCAAGAACAAGGAGCACTAGAGCTCCATCGGCGGTTCTCAATCGAGCTCTCACACTGATCATCGACCACACTGATTCGTAATCTTGACAACATGCCTTGTTTCTAGAAATTGCGCCGATGAAAATGGTCCTGCCGACGTACGCGCTCCAGAGGGAGAGGCCGGCGGCGGACCAGAGCGCTGCCTGTACCTGACGAAAATTTGCAAGGGTCGGCTGGCCATGCGGTGTATTTACAAAGTTTTCTTGCATGGCCAGGCCCGTGAGGACCTGGACGTGGGCGGTACGTGGTTTCCACGGCAGCCGGTGTCAATGTCGAGCGGCGAGGTGGGGGTAAATTGGTGGCCTGGGCTGGACATGTTGATGCGCTGAGTATTGAGGCGGCCAACGATGGGTGAGTGGGAGCGGGTGCGTGTGTGAATTGTGACCGGGTCTTGTGAATTGATTGAATTTTTCTTTTGTAAAATTTCAAGCGTTTTTGACGGGCCAACTACTTGTAGTGTAGATCTGGCGAAGAAGCCTAACAGCGTTAATTGTGAAAGGGCCTTGGCTTGTAAGGCCAGGCCAACACTGCAACATCGGGAACTTGATAGAACCAGTCGAAGCACAGTTCCAGACGCCACTCGACAGCTACCCGCAGCCCCTCTCTCGTCCCCTCCTCCCACCTCGGCCCCTCTGGAGCCTCACACAGCGCAGTCGTCAGGGTCAACCATGTATTAGTGGGTGTGCACCTCTCTCGCGACCCAAATGTACCCTGTACATGGGCCCGCGCGCGCAACCTAGCCCAGCAAGCCCAGCAAGCCCAGTTGCCCTCCCGCCCGGCTGACAAAAAATCAGCCTACCTTGAATGTTGTGTGTGGTCCCCGCCATCGATCTCTTACCTCACCTCGCTCTCTTTGATGCTATCTGCTTCCGCACCTGCACCTTCCGCTTCGCAGCCTCCCACCCCTCACCAACTTTTTCCTGACCCTTGAAATTCCCGTCCAGCTCAGGGACTCCTCCTCACCCTTTCTCCCCGCTTCACGATCGATCCGATCGCGTAATTCTCCTCTCGAACCGACCCAGCTTGCCCATTTTTCCATCGTTTCAACAACCCCCGCAATTCGGAAACTCTGGTCTTGGACTTCCCCGCCATTTCCTCCCCCACCTCGCTGCGATCATGGCTGTCTCCATTGAGGAGCTGGACAGTCTTGTCCGCGATTTCTACGAAGGGCGCGGCGAGCAGGTATGCATCCTGCGCTTGTCGAAGCTATCGGCTTTGCGAACTGTCAACGCTGACCCGTAGCTTTTTTTTTCTCTTCCCCCTCGCGTAGCAAAAAGTAGCACAAGCTCGATTGAACCAGGTATGCACGCCGCCCCCCTCCTCGACACCTCCTTCACCGCGTCGCCAGACACAAGATAGGACACAGTAGCTAACCCACCTCCCCGTGATCTAGTTTAAGGAAGACCCTGATGCCTGGCTTATGGTCGATAAGATATTGTCCGATGCAACCTACCCTCAAACGAAATGTGCGTCTGGAGCCTTGCCAACGTGTATGCTACTTGCATACTTCGACCAGCTACTGACGTATCAATATTTGGTGTGCAGATTTGGGCCTTCAAGTCCTCGATAATGTCATCATGACTAGGTGGAAGGTCCTTCCCCGCGAACAATGTCAAGGTGGGTGAACCGTGAACCTTTCACGCACTCCCCTTCTGCTACTTATATCTACCTATTTGCGCCAATGATCCACAGGGAGTGGCGGACATCAAGATGGCTAACCTCCCGCAGGCATCCGAAACTTCATTGTTCAATTCATCATCCAATGCTCTGGCTCCGAAGAGTCTCTGCGCTCCCAAAAGACGCTGTTGAACAAGCTAAACCTCGTTCTTGTGTCGGTGCTGAAGCAGGAGTGGCCTCACCAGTGGCCAACCTTTATCAACGAAATCATCACGTCGTGCCACTCGAGCCTCTCGATCTGCGAAAACAACATGACGATTCTCCGTCTCCTTTCCGAGGAGGTTTTCGACTATTCTGCCGAGCAAATGACGTCGACCAGGACCAAAAACCTCAAGACGACAATGTGTGCCGAGTTCTCCCAAATTTTCCAGCTATGCCAAGAGATCCTCTCCACGGCAAACCAGCCCAGCCTGATCAAGGCCACCCTCGAGACCTTGCTCCGGTTCTGCAACTGGATCCCCCTCGGTTACATTTTCGAGACAAACCTTATTGATACCCTCCGTACCCGTTTCCTCGAAGTTCCCGAGTTCCGCAACGTTACACTCCAGTGTCTGACAGAGATCGGTGGTCTGCAGACTGGTGGGCCTGGCCAGCCAACCTATGAAGAGCAGCTGGTGAAGATGTTCACCGAAGTCCTAACCACCATCTCCAACATTATCCCCATCACATTAGACCTCAAGGAGACGTACCCCAACAGTAACTCGCGCGATCAAGAGTTTATCCAAAACCTCGCGCTCTTCTTGTGCAACTTCTTTAGCATGCATCTCAATGTAAGTGCACTGGTACCACCACTCATACCATACCTTCCTTTGCAGTCCTCGTCAGGGTGTTTGTTGCTGCTTTGGCTCTTTCCCGTCACCTTTGGCACCTACGCTTCTGGCCGCCCTTGTCCTATCTCCTCCTAACCAAGTGTTGCCGTGCTTTTAGCTCATCGAGAACCTTCCCAACCGCGACTTCCTGTCTCACGGACACTTTTACTTGATCCGAATATCCCAAATCGACGACCGCGAAATCTTCAAGATTTGCCTTGACTACTGGCTGAAGCTCGTCCAAGATCTCTACGAGGAGATGCAGCAGCTTCCAGTCGCCGATCTCAACCCGCTGATGGGCATGGGCGGCGGCATCTCGGGCGGTGGTGCCCCCAACCCGGCCCTCCTGGCGAACTACCCCCTTCGAAAGCACAAGTTCACCGAAATCCTGTCCAACCTACGAGTAGTTATGATCGAGAAGATGGTTAGGCCAGAGGAGGTTCTTATCGTAGAAAACGACGAGGGAGAGATTGTGCGAGAATTTGTCAAGGAAAGCGATACCGTTCAGCTTTACAAGACGATTCGCGAATGTCTCGTATACCTCACACATCTCGACGTGGTCGACACGGAAAACATCATGACGGAAAAGTTGGCGAGGCAGGTCGACAATTCCGAATGGTCATGGCATAACTGCAACGTCCTATGCTGGGCCATCGGTTCCATTTCCCTGGCCATGAACGAGGAGACGGAGAAGCGATTCCTCGTAACCGTCATCAAAGATCTTCTCGGCCTGACCGAGATGAAGCGAGGAAAGGACAACAAGGCTGTCGTTGCCAGTAATATCATGTATATTGTTGGCCAATACCCGCGGTTCCTCAAGGCGCATTGGAAGTTCCTCAAGACGGTGGTGAACAAGCTCTTTGAGTTTATGCACGAGTCTCACGAAGGTAGGTCTGCGTTGCGGGAAGGATCACATAAACCCACTCCCCCCTTCCTTCCTTTCTTTCTTTTCTTTTGCAGCTATTCATCTTTGGACTAACACACCATTTTTCGTGACGTCTAGGTGTCCAGGACATGGCTTGCGACACCTTTATCAAGATTGCTCGACAGTGCCGCCGTCACTTTGTGGCCCTCCAGCCAAGTGAGCAGGAGCCCTTCATTGAGGAGATTATTAGGAACCTCCATAAGATTACCTGCGACCTCACACCTCAGCAAGTCCACACGTTCTACGAGGCATGCGGTTACATGGTCGCCGCCCAGGGTAGCAAGCCACAGCAAGAGCGCCTTCTCGCCGATTTGATGGCACTGCCGAACGCTGCTTGGGATGAGATCATCAAGCAAGCCACGATGAGCCCTGCGATTCTCCAAGACTCGGAGACGATCAAGGTCATTGGCAACATCATGAAGACAAATGTGTCGGCATGCACATCCATTGGGCCTTATTTCTACCCCCAGATCGGGAGGATCTACCACGATATGCTCCAGATGTACCGCGCCACTAGCACCTTGATTTCCGAGGCGGTATCCAAGGAAGGCGAAATCGCGACCAAGATGCCCAAGGTCCGAGGTTTGCGCACGATCAAGAAAGAAGTCTTGAAGCTCATCGAGACGTACGTCGAAAAGGCTGAGGATCTTCAGGCGGTTAGGTTGCAAATGGTTCCTCCTCTCTTGGACTCCGTTTTGGTGGATTACAACCGCAATGTGCCCGGTGCCCGAGATGCCGAGGTCCTCAAGGCCATGTCTGCCATCATCTCGAAGCTCTCTGTAAGTTTCATATCGACCTCTCCCCCAACGATGTTATCTTGCTTTCGAAGGGAGTATGGCGAAAGACGTTTTTAGCTAACACGGCATCCCCTCACCTGTAGTCTCTGATGGACGATCAAATTCCTACCATTATGGAAAATGTGTTCGAGTGCACGCTGGAGATGATCAACAAGGACTTTTCCGAGTTCCCCGAGCATCGATTCGAGTTCTTCAACCTCCTTAGGGCCATCAACTTGCACTGCTTCCCTGCGTTGCTCAAGCTTGACAACCGCCAGTTCAAATTTGTCATTGACTCGTGTTCGTGGGCGTTCAAGCACGACAACCGAGACGTCGAGGCTGCCGGTCTCAACATGTGCTTGGAGCTGATCAACAACATTGCCGAGAAGACGGATGTCCAGACATCCAACATGTTCTTCCAGCAGTTCTTCATTCCCATCTTGCAAGACATCTTCTACGTTGCGACTGATCCCGATCACAAGGCCGGCTTCAAGACGCAGTCGATGCTTCTGATGAGGCTCTTCTACTTTGTTAGCCCTGCGGACGGAACATCTCCCAAGATCCAGGGCCCAATCTATCCTCCTACGGAAGCGCAGCCGGGCACTGGAAACAAGGAGTTCCTGGCCAACTTTGTGGCACTGCAGATGAAGAACGCGTTCCCCAACCTACAGCCGTAAGTGATCTATAAAGGCTCCTCCCCCTCCCCACCCCTTACCCGTCCCAAAACTCCTCACCACCAGAGGAGAGGAAAAGGATGACGGCGTAGCCAAGTCTCAATCCAATCTGTTTTATCTTTTGTCCAAGCTAACATGACCCAGGGCTCAAATCTCGTCATTTGTCGAGAACCTCTTTGCGTACAACACCCAATACGACAAGTTCCGCCTCAACCTGCGAGACTTCCTCATTTCCCTCAAGGAATTTGCCGGTGACAATGCGGAACTCTACATTGTAGAGAAGGAGCAACAGGAGCGGGATGCCAAGGCGGCGGATCTCGAGCGCCGAGCCAAGGTGGGCGGTCTCTTGAAGCCTTCAGAGTTGGAGGAGGACGAGCTGTGACTTCGTCAAGAGCTACGAACAGAATTCCGGCCTAATTATGGCGAACCTGGCCCCGACACAAAGGTCGAAGGGAACTCGGAGCAAGATGGCCTCGATGGCTGGGACGTATACGGACTGTGACCGGGATTGGTGGGGAATGGTTAGCGTATTTGGAGCGAGCATCGGAGCGGGCATCATATCCTCTGGCGCCAACCTCCGTTCTCGCGTGGTGTTGAGAACCCGAGCCAAGCGCGTCACAGTCCGTATTGTAGTGATACCAAAAGAAACTTATGCACCACCTTATCCCCCATGCCTTTCTAACCCTTTTGCCAACAAGAGCATAGTTGATCCGTTGCTTGCATGCTTGCTGCCATTATTTTTCTTTCCCTTCTCTCTCTCTACTTTTCATCTCTTCGATTATTCCAATTCTTCAAGTCTTGTCTTTTTCTTTTTCTTTCTCTTTCCTTTAGAACAACTTATCAGACTCGCCAACGGCTCGAGCGGCAAAGAAGGCGGAAGAATGGTGGGCGGTTGGGCTGGAAGGAGAGAGAAAAAGGGTTTATATCTCATGTCTGCAAAGTGTACCTATGCTGCCAGAGGGGAGAAAAAGGCAGCCAAGGAGAAGAGACGGCGCCGAGGAATCAAAACTAGGGGCAGGCAGAGTGTAGTTGGATGTGCGGTGTTGGCAAAGAAATGAGTGGATGAGAAGACAAAAAGAATGAAATGGTTCATGCTATCTTGATGCGAGTTGCTACTGTCTACACAAATGGGGCCTGTGATTGAATATCTACACAACCGACTTTCTCGGTTTCCTGCATTGACCTTTGTTGGCAGAGATAGAGTCCCCGCGGGGTCGCCGATCGTTCAACGAGCACCCTCGGGCTTGTACAATTTCGAGCCTTCCAAGCCTCCGACAACGCAACGACGTTTCCCAAGAGACGCGGAATCCGAAACACCCTCGGTATCCGGATTGATTGTGGATTTCGTGAGAGGTGGGACGGGACGGCGCTTCAAGACCCAGAAGCCGCCGGGGAACAAGAAAAAGGCCTCGTGTCGCCCGGGGAGGAGGAGGGGTTTTCTTTTCCGTTTTTTTCCTTCTTGAAGCTTCGCCGAGTTCCCTCCTCGGTCGTGTGTGTGTGTGTGTCCATTGCGGCGGCGGGTAGGATGTCCACGACATGAGGAGACCCTGAGGGGAGGCCGTCGGGCGATGTGTAGGACACGGCGCTGAGTTTCTTCCACCCTTTTTTCGTTTGCGGGTGCCGTCCCAGCGCTCCCGTCGCTTGTCTCCCGCACGTCCAAGGACGGGGATGTCTTGTGTTGCTGTAGCTCACGATGGGGGACAGCGGTGGGATACTGGCGCCGGGGGCGCTTTCGCTCTCCCCTCCTCGCGCACGATTTGCATGATTGCTCATCGTAGAGTTGCCACCGCCTCCAGCGTCGTCAGCACCGCTACCGACAGGCTTCTAGACCCGGCCCTCGCTTTTCTCTTATCATCTCTCTGTTTTTATTAGTTTAAGTGTCCTTCTCCTACTTTGTCTTGTAGCTTGTTCATCGAAACCCCCTCGGTCGAGATTCACCCTTTCACGAGAGATTGCCTCATCTGGGTCAAGCCCTTCTCCCCAAGCCGCTCAACTTGGTTGTGACTAGCCACGAGACAGAAAAAGACAAAGAGGAGTGGTTACGCGGACGCACCACCACCCTCCTCCCTCGCCGCTTCACCAAGTACGACGCCCCTCAACACCCCGTACGACGACGGACAAGGCGATCTCACGGAACCCAACAAGCGGGGAGGGGCAAGCTCGAGTGACGTTGGCCAAGCTGTCGTTGTTTTTTTCTTTTCTTTCTTTTTCGTCTTGGTTCGCGGCGGTGTCAAAGGGCGGAGGAGGAAAGGGAGGTTGCTACCCGCGTGGTTGTGGCCTGCTGTCAAAAGTCAACCAAGGTGCGTCACGCCACATCTACCCCGTCTGCCGATGCTGTCGCTTCTCGCCATATCCTGCTTCGCCCCTCGTCAACCCTGTTCCTCTCGTTTCTCCCCAACCATGCTGTGGGAGCGGGGAGGGGTTTCTCGTCGGATATCAGGGTAGCGAAGCGGTGTCTCGGCGGCCTCGACAAGGAAGATGAGAACAAATGGTTAGGCAGTGATCGAGCCACCCATCGCCGCCGTCATTCTCACTCAACAGCAAGGAGACGAACCGATGACGCTCTCGGGAAGCCATCTTCGGCGTCGACGGGAACAACAGCTCACGGGCGGGGAAACGGGGGCCCGGGGGTCTCTGTCAAACCACGCCGACTCCAGGGAGGGCTCCCGGCTCGCGAACAATTACAGTGTGCCTCGTTCTCCCTCCCTCCATTTCGCAAGAAAAGCTGGGAGGGGGCGAGAGGCGGTCCTGCGTAACCCTCTTCTCGCGCCGCACAGCGATCGATCCGCCTTGCTCGAGAATCTGCGTCCGTCCCAGAAGGGGAAGAGACGGGGAAACGGACGAAAAGCTAAGATGCCTAGCAAGAAAAGACAAAAGGGACAAGGCTCCAGCCTACCGTCCATCCCCGACCAGCTCTAGTCAAAGGCGTCGGGCCGCCTTGACGGATACCTCCTGCGACTTAGCGCAAAACTCCTCCGAAAAGAGACAGCGAATATCGCGTGTGCACTATGCTCTCTCGAGCTCCTCGTTTCCCTGCGAACACGCCCATCTTGATATCTGGTTTCTCACGTCAAAAGAGGTTCTTTCGTAGACCCTTCGCTTTCAGTATTCCATCCATGCATCAGCATCAAAACCCTCCCCCAAGAAGGGGGCGTATCGGTATCTTTGTCCCCTGTTGCCTCCAAAGCCCCCTCCCCTCTCCCCACCCTGCTTGCTCCCTCCCCTTGGTATATCTCCGGTCACACAACGCTGGCATGAAAGAAGGAGAAAGGGAAGGGGGGCGTGGCGAGGAGAGGCGAAATGGTATTCTCTCCCAAGCACTTGCGTACGCGAAGTTCCCCTCAAGCATGTTTCGTTCCCGGCAGGCATCGGAGCAAGCGTCCACCCCAAGCCACCCTTTCCTTTCCTTTTCCTTCCTCCCTCTTCCGGTAACCGATGCTACCTCGCTCCTGGCGGATATCGCCACAGCCTTTTGCATGTGCACTCAAGCGCCCGACCCCCTCAGCCCAGGGCCAGCCCGGAGCTGACCTACCGGAGAGTCTTTTTTGATCTTCCCAAGACGAGAAAGGGGTGAGGAAAGGATTAAGAAAAAGGGGAAGCGAAAAGAAAAAGAAAAAGAAAAAGACAGAAAACGGAAATGGCATTCGCATGCATGCCGCTGTGCCTCAACCTTTCGTTTGTTTGCCCACCCCTGTAACCCTATTTCGGCCTTTTGGCGTCGTGCTTTCTTGTAATTTTGCGCGGGCTCGAAACCTCACATTATGTATGATTCTGTAACGAGTAAAGATTGTATGCTGTATGGTTCAAATGTTCTGTCCCAATTCCTGCGCCCTCATCCCTCAGGCGCCTACTTGTAGCACGTCTCATTCACGTCTCCTTGTCCAAGGAGAAAGAACAAATCATGACGACGACGACGAGGGCGATTGGCGACAAGAAAAAAAAAAAGAAACAGAAAAGGAAACACCACAGATGCTGCCAGTTCAGGCATGGGCCCATGCCACCCTCCCAAAGAAGGAGGCAAATTTGTCGTTGGCACCCAAACATCCTTCACTTCGCCCTCTCTCCAACACCTCCCCGGTCCCAATCTATTTCCATTTCCAAGATTCCGGCCCCTCCATCTCGGTTCTGGAGGTTTTCCTCTTCCAGTGCCTTGCAGCGGACAGGGTCTAATGTTCCAAGGCCGGACAACACCTCTATGTGATCCTTGGCCGCAAGTTTCATTTTTTTCTCTCTCCTCCTTTCGGACTCCTCCGCGTCGTCTTTTTCTCTCAAGGTGGCCTGCTTCTCTTATCTCGTGCCACAGCAAGCTCCCAGAGCAAGCTCCATCCACACACACACACACACACACACACACATAACACATACACATAATACACATGCACACACGCACAAACGCACACACGCACCCATCCATGCTTACACACCCCTCCATATGCCCACGCATTCTTCCATATGCATCAGTCGTTCGTAACGGCTAAACGCACATTCCCGTAGAGTTATTTTCAGAGCCTCAGAGGGCTGCCTCCTGCTCCACACTCTTTTCTTACAGGACCGTACCCCGTGCGCCAGCCAGCCCGGGCCAACTTTCCCAACAAGGCCGGCAACCAGCGCCGAGTTGGAGGGTTTCCCAAGGCAGGGGATCGGCCGACTCACTAGAGAGGGAGGTGGTTTTTGGCGGCTGAGGAGAGGAATTATGTGAGATTTTGGCGGCTGCCAATCTAGGATGCCCGCCAATCTCGTGTTAGTGCTTACGGATTACGATCATCTCGTCCGATAAGGGAGACGCAATCGCAACCCCCGGCCCCCCTCAGTTTTCAAGAGCTCGATGGATGAACAAGCGCAGGGGCCCTGTGCTTGTTTGGCTAAAAAGAGATCAAGAAAAAAACAAGTAATAAAAAAGAAGAGCTGCAGCCGGTCCATCCCCAGGGATATGGTGTTATTCTCGGCTTGGGTAGTGTCCGTCGAGGCCCGGCAGCTCCGCCATTCTCGGACTTATTCGAGAAGCAGGGGTGCTCCACGCCGGGAAACGAGCGCGAAGTCAAACAAACCACACACTGGTTTCCCGGCTCTCGCAACATCCTCGACCAAAATGCACCACCTCACCCTTTAATACCGTAAACCCGCTCTCCGATGCCCCTTGTCGTGTGTGTGCGTGTGTGTGTCACGGTCACGGTCACGGGCCCGTGGCGACAGCTTCGGAGAGAATCGCCGCCTACCATGACTAGGCCGATCCCTTCCATCTACCCCTTTGCCGGCTATCGTCAAGGTTTTGTGGATGCCTCAGCATTTTTCAGCGTAGCATCTCCCAATCTTCCACAAGAGTTTTGTGCGACCTACAATCCGACAAGGCGCCCCAGGAGGCCAGGGCCAGGGGTGGGGAGC